CTTGCTTATCACGGTCCTTCGCGTGGCCCCGGAATCGAACCAACCCCCAAAAGAATATCGAGCGGATGCTTTATCCACTCGGCTAACCGAACCACTGAACGCCGCTCTTCTTATTCCACAGCTGGAAATTGTCTTTTTCTGCCAAAGTTGACCTGCTCTATTCACCTGTACTAGTCATTTTCCTAAACGCTGGGGAAAGTTCAGACCATTCCCTCGTAAAAAATTTAGGAACAAGAACTTTTAAAATTTTGCCGCGGGAATTGGCGTGCTGACCCGGCAAACTTCTTGCAAACGTATGATTGAATTTTTTGCAGGTATGGCAAAAATTCTGCAGTCAATATGTTCCCTAAACGCAGTACTTTCATGCCATATATACCTTTTTTCGCAAACTCTTTCATGGCAGGAAAAATCGAAGAAAAATTAATGTCCATTTTTTTGGCCTACCCTGTAATTACGTTTTCCACATTTTTCCTACTCTCTTGATTCCTCTTCTTTCCATGCCTTGCGTGAAAAAAACAATCATAAGCGCATGCCATCAACAAAATTTCCAATCTTTGACGAAGAAGTGGAAACATTCGGCCAAAGAGTGCATTTTTTGCCATGAGGAATAAATACATGATTAACTTGGACTCAATAAAGGAGAAGTCGAAAAACGGATCTTGGATCTTGGAGGTGATAAATTTTGTATCAAAAGGTATCACAGGCACAAGGACCTTTTGAAATCAGAGCTTCTTTTTCCTTTGACATACTTAAACATAAAAATATCTCGATATCCCAACAAACTTGTTCCAGAAATATGTAGAAACAGACTTCGTTATGATTCGATGATGGCTTGCGCTAACAAATTTACCCTTGCTTTGGTACCTTTTTCGACCATGATATCCGTTGCTATCGGCACACGCCATTTGCCTTCCCAGTCATCCTAAAATGAAATTGGATTTTTGACGCAATGACTATTTTTGCAGGACTTTTTGTTTGCAATAGCTTCCTTTTTCATACAATCTTCAACCAACTAATTAAAGGTGGAATAAAGACAACCCATAACTGCTATGCACAGGAACGAATTTGTCCAACTTCACATTTCCTTTCACAATGTGTTCCATCCTTCTTTCTTTTCGCTTGCAGAGTTTGTACTTGCGATTCACTGTCCGCTTGATCAGATCGAAGCAGTCATTCTCCGCACTGTACTTTGTGTGATGAGCCCGTTTTTTGAATCGCTGATGACAAATCCCCGCGAAAAACTGGCTGCAAGAAGGGCTTTTGTAAATGCCATATGGACATGGGATTGCGTGAATCCGGTAATTGATATTCCGATTAAAGAAACTTTCATCGGCTAATCTTCCTACAGTGTATAAACGAAATCGAGCACTACTTCTTGCAAGGGTTAACTGATTTTTTACGCTTCTTGTTGTTGTAAATATTACGTGCATAAAGCAAGCTGGTCTTATATGCATGTACAGGGTGCGCCAATAAAATCTGGACTAATATTTTTGCTTGCCCTGCGGGCTGTAACAGTACGAGAACAAAGTGGGCCATTGTGGACACGTGTAATACGTCCAAGAAGCTATCTTCAAGGTTTCAGACAAAACAATCATCTACGACATTTGTTTTTGCTGTATAAGTGCTTACAACTAACAATAAGGCGCCTGAAACACGGACCCCAAATTGGTCAAAATTTTTATACACTGAAATTGATTTTGCTTCACTATGACAATTAGGCTTTTTACAGCTCGCCAAAGTTTAAAAACAGGCCCTTTTTCCCGAAAACTTCCGTTAAATCAAAGATTTTCATGTAGAAGTTTCCCTGTGTGATTCCAAACATGTTAAGCACCAGAGCTACTTTTGCAAGATAACCAGAGTCTGCCTAGTCGCCTTGCAAAAAGGATTTTTCTATCTGCTGCCTCTCGGGGATGACATAGTGACTGTGGTGGCATAATTTACTATATGCTCACTATTCGAGTGATCTTGGACTAGATATTTCTAAAAGTGTTTTGGCTACATCAGCATTTATCCAGTATACAACTCTGTGTTGTTTTTTACGCTCAAGGCCTTTCCAACCTGTTACAAACTGCAAAAACGTTTCAAGCACCGAATGACCGTGCCTTGAATACCCCCATGAACTTTTATTTATGCAGAAACGGTCCACTTGTATATTCGTATTTGCTTTTACACTATAAAAATTGGCAAAGAATGCGCTCTGTAACCACGGAATTTTGGAGCAACACACATCAAAACTGCAACACAATGCCAAAGTTGCCAAAAAAAGCGAAAATTTAGTTTCTTCTTCAATTAATTACTCCGTGAAAACGTAATTGTTTTGGGTCGTATTTGCGTGAATAAGAAAGTCAGAACAGTATTCTGTTTTTTGATTCCTTCTGGGTGCGTAGAATTTTTGTGTTTCGGGATTTTTTAGGGTTGGAGTGGAACAGGTTTGTAAACTTCTACAAGGTTTTACAAAAAAATGCTACGAAATTAGTGAAAAGCGAATGGATAAAATTGTAGAGCGTGGTAAGTAGAGTATTATATTTTTTACGGCCTCCAAATTTTTCGAGAGCAAAAAGTTTTATCGATTTTTTAATTTTGCGGGTTTTTCACCTATTTTTAGAGTTTTTTGTTGCACGAGCTATAATCTGGCGTTGAGATCCTTAAAAACACAAAAATCCAAAATTTTGGGCCTTTTTCTGTTTCCGCCACCAGCGCCGCCAGACCGACCGCCAACCATGATTCCGTAGGCTGTGGCAAAGTTAGCAGCACGTACTTTATATACAATAAATTTGGAGAACGTCAGTGACCATTAGCAGAAATAATGCAAGAATTAATATCCCTAAAAAAAATGTCTGCACCTCCAAAAAATTTCGATTATTTTTTCCGTCTTGCAATAGGCCTTGACCTGGGCATTACCGTTTGCTATATAGCACGGTTGTTACCCTTTCTAAAAGTGCTAAAAGTTTCCATTCTTAGACCATCCGAAAAAGGCTATATGGAATTTAGTTTTGTCCAGATTTTATTGGCGCACCCTGTATATATCGGTTTATTCGGTAAATTAGACAGCCTTAGGAGTTAATGCAAGCCTGCCGTTGTAATCAAGAACAATGCAATGTTTTTGCAACATTGACCAACCATAACGGAAGGCGTACTTGTCTGAGGGATCTGTTTCTCTAATGTTGAGTTTGCACAATTGTCCACCGTAAGGTTCGGAAAACGTCGCAGTGTTTAATACCAACGGTTGGCCGCCAATGTTGAAGTACATAGCGCTAGACTTAACGCACTGATAGATGATACGACCGTCCTTGTCAATGGAGCCACTCAGGTAATTTTGAATGAGTTTGACAGCAGTCCGAGGAACTTGGATATAATCCGTGTTGAAGTCAAGAACTCCCAGCCAACTTCCGTTGGTTGTCCCATAATTCGTGCTCATGTTGAAGGATGGAGAGCTGAACACCCATGCATTGGCGGTACGGACGGTCTCGGCAAAGACCTTAACATCTCCACAGCGTCTTCTGTCAACCTGGCCAATAGTCAGAACACCATCAACAGTGTTTTTATGACCTTCGTTGTAAATGTAGGCGGTGAGGAGAGCCGAAGGAATGACTCCATGGGAAGCCAGTTGTTTGATGGGAGAGGAGAGTCCGTTAACTTCACTGAAACCAAGCCCAAAAACTCCATCGTAGTTGACAAGTTTGTAGTCTTGGTTGAAGTCCTTCACACGTCCAAATTGAATGTTGTTGGCGGTGAGCCCTGGCCGATAATGAGGTCCAATCCTGAGGGTGTCGTAGCCAGTAGCGGCCTTCACCGTGTCTCCCAGGAATTTGAGGTCGACGTTCGCGTTACCTGAGAAATTATAGATTTTATGTACAGACGGGAAACAAGTAGAGAGAATCACGACACACTTACCTCCAACGTATGATCGAGATTTCTGTGTGTCGAAAACGTTTTTGTTTGTGCACGAGCCACTCTTCTCGTCGACCAAGAAACTCTTGGTACAGCAATGGGAAGCACAAAGCTGAGGGCAAAGTTTCTCTAGAAAAAGACGGTTTCTTTGTCTTCTGGATCAAAGCATTCGAACGTTATATACTTTAGTCCGCACACAGTGTTCAACTCTTACCATTTTTGCATCTGTCGCTGCAAGAGCACGCCGAGTCGGGCACCCACAAAGCCGGCGTATTCAGATCAAAGGCCACATTAAAATCTTGACCTGGAGTTCCCAACGAAATCACTCCAACGTATGCGTTTGAGGCTGTATCAACATCAACTGGAATTCCCGAACTGAGAGTGCTGGCCACGACCCTCCTTTGGATCGGGATTTCAATTGAGCTGACGGCTGCGGCAAGCAAGAGCGACAAGCAAATCGACTTCATTGGTATAATGAGAAACTTCCACAAAAGCTGTCTTTATAGCGTGTATGACAACTGATAAAGGAATTCAAGATCATTGTTGGGAAGTTTTTTTAATTAGACTTTGGCGGGGTGTGCCACAGAGTTATCATGAGTTAAGATAACCGCCGCCCACTTAATTTTTTGTTTCTTGTGACCAAAGATTTCTTGTCTCTTGCGAGTTTTCTTGAGAGCCCTTCGTGAAGGGTAAAAGTTGCGTCGCGACACATGCGGACAGCCGACATTTTCCAACATAAAGAAAGAAACACCCTGATTCTGATAATTTTCAAAAAGCAATAATCAGAAAAAATGAACATGGTTTTCGAAATTCCCGCACTCGAAAACCCCTAAATCGAATTGTTTTTGGAAAATAAAAAAAAAATACGTTTTACACTATTCTTAAGTAAAAAGTAACAATCAAAAAACAATAAAAAAAATTTTGAGATTAATAACAATAAATCCATTCAGATGGTTCAGATGGCAGGTCTAAGCCCTATCTTTGATTTTTCACCGGTTCCGAAAGTGTTCAAATTCCGAAAATGCGTGGTGCCGTCAGTTCATGGCCTTAACAGATAATACGAATTCCGTTCAAAAATGCTTGATTTACTTTATTAGTTATGTTTTTTACTAATTAATTATGTTATCAACGTCGGTTCTGGCCAAGGGGAAGGCAATTCGGCCGTTGTAATCCAAAACAGCGCAGTGTTTCTTTAAAAAGGCGGCTCCGAATCTCCATTGGTAGAAGTCCTTGTCTTCTGCGGGGGATAAAAGCAATTCGCAACGGGCGGTCCCGACTTCAGATGTGAGTTGAGACAGATGGATAGTATAAGTTGAGCGGCCAATGACGTAATAAGTAGCATCTGTGGAGCTGGCGGATGGACATCGGCCGACCCAGGCACCCGAGATGGGGTCTTTAGAAGCGAAGAGGTGGCTAGTAACAAAGTCAAAGAACTTCTTAGGTACGACCAACCCAACAATGTTTATATCGATAACTCCCTGAAAAAGGTTCGTATATTTTGGAAGGGAATAGAATGTGCAGTAGCTGCCAAAAGACTCAATTTTTTTTGTTTTTTGTGTAACTCTGCTCAACGTGGACGGATTTAAACGAAACAAGTACCATTTTGTAGAGAATTATTGCTGTTATCTAGTGGTGTAGCGGTTGGAGCGATTTTACATCTTAGAGTGTAACAACCGTCGATGTAAAACTTTTGGAAAGACGAAAAACTCAATTTTTCCAAAAAAAATTTTACCGCATGCTTACGTCGCTGCAAATCATGGGCTTATATGTACATTCTGATTTTTAAATGAAGTCCCACTGCACATTATTGACCATCAACGGGAGCCAAGAAAATTAATTTAGTAGACCTTTTGGTGGTCCCAAGTTCGATACCCCAAAACAGGACGTTGAAGGAAAAATCGGTTTTTTTCTTTGACTTAGCAGTGTGACAATGCCCTGCGGTAGAAGCTAGACAACCTACAATTATTTGAAATTTTTCAACTTGGGCGTCGACTAGGTTGCAAATTTTTTGCGGGCATCCACTTTGCGGGCAAAATTTGGGGGGTCACATTTGCGGGCAGCTGAAACATTTGCGGGCAGCTGAGACACTTGCGGGCAGCCTGGGACACTTGCGGGCAACCGACACTTGCGGGCAGCCGACATTTGCGGGCAACCGGCACCTGAGGGTAACAGGGTGGAGGTGAAAATATTACTGCGATATTTTGGAAATTTGCCGACATTTGCGCGCAGCCGACGCTTGCGGCCAGCCGACATTTGCGGGCAACAGAAAAAAACAGTCATACAGACTGTATAGGAACTTTTGGAACTGTTGCCCGCAAATGTCGGTTTCCCGCAAGTATTGCCTGCCCGCAAATGTCGGAAAACTTCCAAAATATCGAAGTAATTTTTCCACCTCCACCTTGTTATCCTCAAGTGCCGGTTGCCCGCAAATGTCGGAAAACTTCCAAAATATCATAGTAATTTTTCCACGTCCATCCTGTTACCCTCACAATCAGGTGTCGGTTGCCCGCAAATGTCGGCTGCCCGCAAATCTTCCAGGCTGCCCGCAACTGTCGACCCTGCCCGCAAATGTCCCAGGCTGCCCGCAAATGCCGGTGCTGGCCGCAAATGTCGGCTGCCCGCAAAGTGGCTGCCCGCAAAAAATTTGCCCGCAAACTGGTTGCCCGCAAAGTGGTTGCCCGCAAGTGTGCGCCCGCCGTCGACTTTTTTGTGCACCGAAAATTGCGATTTGGGAAAAAAAAATTCTGAATTCTTGTATGACCACCTTTATATACATATACCTTTTATGGGACCTATAGCAGTTTTCGTTACCTTAGAGACCGTATCGAAGCTGGCCCGGGTTCCCAATTTACCCGACCATACAGGAAATTCCCAGGCCTTGGTCGAAGTGATAGGGATGTATTCCAACTTGTCGACATTACAAACACGGTCATCAACAGAACCAAAGGACAAGATACCGTCGACAATAGCGGTCTCTTCCATGCTGTTCAACCAGAGAGTGACGACTGGCTCGGGAAGGAGATTGCGGCTAGCCAATTGCTTGATGACACTCTTTTCGTTTTTGCCGTTGGCAATAGCGAGGCCAAAGACTCCATCAAAGGCGTTGTGTTCATAAGTGGTGGGGAATTCCTTGACCAGACCGAATTGAACATTTTTGACGGTGAGACCGGGGCGATGACGTGCGCCAAGGCTCAGTTGATCATATGCAACCTTGGCCTTCAATGTAACTCCGTCGTATTTGACCTCAGCGGTCTTGCCGACTAAAAAGAGAAGAGTCATCGTTTTTTTGGTCTGTGGTAGGAGAGTGCCAGCAGTATACTTTTCGAGACTCTTTAGTGTTTTTTTAACTTACGTGTGAAGAATGTTTGAGAGCCGTTGATGTCAAATGCAAGTTTGTGGGTACAAGTTCCGGTCAATTCGGAGTCAGCGGGCTTCACCAAGTCTTCTGGGATATCTCCTTCGCTGCAGCAGTGTGCTCCACATTGGTCGGAGCAAATCTCGGCTAAAGGGCATTTAATAATTGGCAAAAATACTTACGGATTTTACAATCTTCTTCGCATTTACAGTCTGGAGAAGGAACCCAAAGGAGAGAACTGTTAAAGTCGAAGGCAACATTGAAGTCTTGAAGGGGGGTTCCGAGGGAAATTACACCTGAAGATGGTGTGATTTTAGTGTTAGAATAACTAAATATATACTGTTATTCATTGTGACCCGCTCGATTACATTGTAGACCTTTTTTAAAACAAGAATTGACTTAATTTTAAGTCAGCAGCCAGAAAATTGCGGAGTGTTTGTTACGTGCGTCGGAAGCTGACTTACCCACAAAAGCATTATCCAAATACTCCAATCGTCCACCCAGAACATTCTTGGCCTCGTTCTTTACCCTCCGAAGGGGCATTCGAAATGTCTCGGCAACAAACGTTTCGGCCAGCAACGCCGCCACCAACAATTTGATCACCATGTTTGCGATGATTTGGAAGACTGTTTGTAAATCAAATAAACAGTCTGTAGTATAAATGGATCTGGGGCAAGGGCTAAGTAGGCGTTGATAACGATCGGCTCGTTAGATTGCTGCCTATCCCTTTTCGGGTTAATTAAAAAAATTTCAATGGACGCAATCAACGCTTATCATGATACCACGCATTATTTATCAGACCACATCAGAATAGAGGACTACTCTTCTCGTTGTCTTTACATATCAAAAATTAACGCAAATGAAAACTGCAATTCAATTTGTATTTGGAATAGAAGATGCATGCGGTTAAAGTAAATAAATGTTTTTATTGGCAAAGTCTGGAGAATTCTCCCATAATGTGACTGGTTCGACTTTAAGCGGGACTTCAACAGATTAAACGTGCCCCTTGTTTAACATGGTTAATAAAACTTTCAGGAGAGTGAAGCTATACTGGTTGACAAAATTTTCTTTCCACCTCGTATCTCGGGAACTGCTGGGCCTAGAACCTCAAAATTCGGCATAGAAACATCATGGGACAATCTAACACCATACCCAAAAAATCATACCATTTGATGCACTTTCAGTGCACTTTTTATGCAATCGGCAAAAAAAGAGGTGACAAAATTTTCTTTCCACTTTGGAAGAACGTTTGTAAATTAAAAGCCAAAGGCATGATTGTGGTATCGTTGTGATCGCGAAGAAGTCCTCTTTCTATCCGTGTCACAATTTGACAGGAGTTTTCGTTTGTTCGCCCTTGGGCGTCTGCTCATCATTGCGTTGTCCGTTTTCGGCCAAATTGGTGGACAGAGAAGCTCGCAGAAGGACCAATGAGATGAAACTGCCCTTAAAAAATCTGGTATTTATATCTGCAACATTTTTTACACCGGCATTAAAATTAGATTCAATTTAAGTGTGTTGCATGGGAAAATGTGCACTTCCAAGCCTCTCGTTGCCAGAAAATTACGTTATTATGGGAATACTGCAGATAATTCAAATAACTTTTCCTGCTGATATATTTTCTATGATACTGCAGACTTTAAAAATACCGAAGATTTTAGTATCTGATGTCGCGCTTAGTTGTGAGCAGAAGAATGGTTCCCCATGCCCCATGTGCAAGATTTGCAACCCTAAGCTTCCCGGGCAAATTATTTGTCGTAGCAAAAACGTTAAAGGCGGGTCAATCTCAATGTATTAAAGTAGTCTGGCAGTCAAATTTCCCAATATATCAATTTTAAGTTATGGTAATGCCTCTCCGTCATGTAGTGCAACAACCTGTATTACCTAAGACGACATAGACCACAGGGGGTAAGGTAAGACGGTAGGCTTCAACACATACGGTCGTATAATACCTAAAATACGCCATATGTACTGCAAAGGCATGTCATTTCGACGTTTCCATTCTGTACATAAGCAATTTCCCGGTTTCGCGCACTCTAAAGGTGGCGCTTTTTCCCACGCAACACACTTAAATTAAATCTAATTTTAATGCTGGTGTAAACAATGTTGCAGACATAAATGCCAGATTTTTTAAGGGCAGTTTCATCTCATTGGGCCTTCTGCGAGCTTCTCTGTCCACCAATTTGGCCGAAAACGGACAACGCAATGATGAGCAGACGCCCAAGGGCGAACAAACGAAAACTCCTGTCAAATTGTGACACGGATAGAAAGAGGACTTCTTCGCGATCACAACGATACCACAATCATGCCTTTGGCTTTTAATTTACAAACGTTCTTCCAAAGTGGAAAGAAAATTTTGTCACCTCTTTTTTTGCCGATTGCATAAAAAGTGCACTGAAAGTGCATCAAATGGTATGATTTTTTGGGTACGGTGTTAGATTGTCCCATGATGTTTCTATGCCGAATTTTGAGGTTCTAGGCCCAGCAGTTCCCGAGATACGAGGTGGAAAGAAAATTTTGTCAACCAGTACAGGGTGACCCAAAATAACGGAGACAAATTTTGGAAGGGCCCACCGCGAAACCCGGGCGTTATAGAAACACAAGCGACAGTGGGTAATATTCTATAAGACTTTCTCTATAATCCACGAAAATTTGGCGGAGTCATCATGTCGCAGGAAAAAGTTACAGCTTAACAAAAATGCCTTGCGTCGTTTTTTTGGTCCTCAATTTTGGTTCCTTTGTGTTGTGTAGAGCATGGCTGTACAACAGCCGCAGAAATGGCAAGTTCATTTGTTTTGCTAGACTACTACGTCTCTAAGCAAGCAGTTATGTAGGTTTCTGGGCTACGGTTTTTATTTCTACGGTGGTACCAATCTCAACATTGAAGATCGCCATTTTTTCCAAATTTTTTCGATAAAAAATTCAGTTTTTTTAGAATAAAGCTAAAACCGCTAGAACTTATTCTATTCATAAATACAATAATTCTGGAAAAAGCTGTGATTGCTTGCTGGTTGCAACAGATTTTCCTTGACAAGTTTCTCGCCCAGAACTACCCCATGGCACGCGGCTTTGAGAAAGATGGGTTATCGATAACAAAATGACAAGATAGATAAAAACGGCGCATTCTGCTCTTGTACACTTATGAATACGACTCTTGAGAATCGGCCTAGGGCACTTTCGGTCTTTATGTGTCACCGGCTCGACTGGTATTCCGCCTAAGGCAAAAACAAGGCACAATTCTAGTGATTACCAAATAGCATTCCGTAGCAGTTACAAAATGTTTCTCTTTTGGTTTTACGGTGTTCCTTTAATCATGTTCTAGTAACTCATATTACATTTTGCCTTATCTAACATTTAAACTCCTTTTTACCGATACATTTCCAAAAAAGGCCGATTTTTGCACTTCAACTCCCTGAAAATACTCGGCTGTAACTTTTGAACCATCGATAGCTGAGCTTAGTACGATGGCTCGTTTTAAAGGCCATATTATGATAATTAAGCACAGCAAATCTCAAACTATTCCGAATTTTCTTTTTTGAGTAAGGCAGCTTTCTTGCAAAAAGACCCCACGGGCAGAAAGGTCCGAGTCAACCGGATATATTGATGTGGTTCAAGGCACAAGAGCGTCGTACAACAAAACTTCCGGTATATAAAACTACACTAACGTGGTACTGTAGTATAAATAAGGAATCACTCATGAATCTTCATAGGCCGCAGAAAAAACGGGAAATCTTTTGTCTCCGTTATTTTGGGTCACCCTGTATAGTCTCTAAAAACGTTAAACCGTCAGATGCCTGTAGGGCATAAACCAAAGCAAAAAAGACCCAAGTCCAATTTCCAAAAAAAAGATATCGACGGTATTTATACAAAAAGTTACGTCAAGAATAAATTTCTACAACTGTGAGCGATCAGAAGTACGCAGCATAATTGAATTCGGACATGGCAAGAGAGTTAACGCCGCGTTTCACCTTGAAGAATCCTTGGTCGCCCCATCCGACTCCCCACGAGTTCTTGAAGATCCAGTACTTGGTGCCATTTTCCACTCCATACCCAACGATGACGACACCATGATTGATGGACCAACCGCCCGAGGGTTCGGCAACGTCGAGGATCCCACTCTTATAATCTTGAATGCCGCCGGCATCAATACCTAGAGAGAACATGCGAATATTAGTACTTCAGACTTACCGGATGCAACTGGTCCCACTTCATACACAATCTTGGCCACGTTGTCCTCGTCGTACTGCGGTAAGAACTCTTGTTTTGTGATCCTGGTGGCATAGGGCTTTCCGCTAGGGCAAGGGGGGACTGTGTGATCCCCATCTCCGGAAGTGTATTTGAAATCTTCTGCGAGTGTGATTCCATTGTCAATGACGTAGTCCAACACTCCCGGAGTCGTACCGCCATTACAGCCTCCGTTGCTGGTGTACTTGGAGACGTTGAAGGTACACGCAATAACCTGCTCCTCACTAAGATGGAGAGTCTGCCCGGTATGGATAAGGTGTTGGCTTTCTACAACACCAACAGACTGAAATGCATAGCAACATCCACAACCACCCTGGTTCTGCACAGGGGTAACTCCATTATGTTCTCTCCAATCAAAGTTGCAAGGAATCTGGGAGGTGTCTCTCTTTGAGCGGAGCAAATTAGAGCTGTTGGTATTCTTATGGAGCTCCTTGAGGTGCTCAACTCCCTTGAGTCCCGTGTGTTTGGCGATGAATTCTTCTGGAGTCAGGTCTGAGAATTGGTTGATGCCAAATTTGGCCTTGGGGCTCTCCTTCTGTCTATCCTCAATTCTTTTCAGAGTAGATTTGAATCTTTTGAAGCTCTCAGAGACGTGGGTGTGATTGTGGTACTCCTTTTCGTACCTGCAAGATGTGAGCTCATACGAATTGCATACTTACTTTGCGATGAATGCAAAGAATTTGTTGAAGTGCTTGCTATCATTGGAGTCCAGATTTTGACGGAATTCGGTAGAGAGTTTCAGGGATTTCTTTGCGTTGTCACTGAGTCCCTTCAAATTGTCGATGAATTCGTGGGTCTTGTTCTCCTTGAAGAGTTCCTCCAACTTGTCAAAGGCTTCTTTGTCAAAGATGTCATCCAAATCTTTCTTTTCAAACTTGGTCTTCACGAGTTCACTGGGCTGCGTTTTTCCAAGCTTATCCAACAACGCGGAGGATACTGTAGTCAAGAGGGTGACCAGAATCAAACAAGAAATATACCGCATTCTGATATCTTGCGGATATGCAGACTTGGGTTGATGTGATAAAATTAAATTTGAATTGGCTTTTTATAGGCCTCAGAAGGATGAAAATATTTACAGTTCTGAGAAACAGGCGTTGCAAAATAAAAAAAATTCTCCGAATGAACGCTCTATCTGTCTAAACATGGGAAGAGGGCGGTTGAACCCCCAAGCCAAAAAGAACGTTATCCTGAACCGGAAATTGTCTGTTCAAATAAAATCGCTACCGAGAATTCGCATAAATTTTTTCGGGAGTAACAATCCTGTGGTTTCAAATTCAAATATTCACGGAGATTTTGAATTTGCGAACTAATTATACCAGGAATGTCTCTTCATTGCAAAAGCAAACAGAAAACAAGAAGAAAGGACTATATAAGGGAAGAAGACCGGTTGGCAAGTATCAATCGACAGAGTCTTCAACCAGTATGAAGATCATTGTCCTGGCCTTGTGTTGTATTCTTACTGCAGCCGTCACCCAACGCAGATTAACGGACGCGGAACAGCAGCAGGCAATCGATAAGTTGAACGAGGTTCGAAGAAGAGTGGCCAACGGGGAAGCCATCAACAAGGATGGAAACAAACTGCCTCCTGCAGCTGATATGCAACAACTGGTAAGTGCCGGTGATTGTGCGTATGACGGATCATACTTATTAGAACGTCGATACCACATTCGAAGATCAAGCTTACACCTGGGTAACGAATTGTAATTATGATTATCAACCCAACTCAAACCAATTGATCAATGCATTCGACTCACTGACATCTGATTATATGGGCTCTCTCAACGCTGCGATCGAGCAATGGTATAACTCCAGCCACCAATTTTCCGGAAACGTCAGCAAGTTCCAAGACGACGATAACACTGACTTTACAACTGTAGGTGAAAGCAACTTGATCATGAGTCTTTCAGCTCGCGTGGAACACCCTTAATCTCACCGGATGTGCTGTGGGTTTATGCCCGCAGCTGAAAAACGGCGATAATTACCTCAATAACTTTACCTTTGTCGCCTGCAATTTCAACGCGGGCTCGAACTGGATCGGAAAACCAATCTATGACCCTGGAACGGGTTGCGAATCCTGTGCATATGGCTACCGTTGCAACAACTCTCTTTGCTACTATGATACTCAACTCCCCCCTAGAACTCCTGGGTGGCTGACAATTGGAGAAAGAAAAGCTGTTTTGGACACTGTGAATGGTCACAGAAGAGATCTGGCAAATGGAAATGTGACTGATGCGAATGGAAAGACTCTCCCGACGGGAAGCAACATTTTAGAGGTCGAGTACGATATTGGGCTGCAAAGCATCGCCGTCAACAACTTCACAGAGTGCACCAGTGGCTTCCGTGATTTGGCCGACTACAATGTTCTCAGCATCATGTTGCAGGGAGTTGAGACACCAGATGGCGTAAGTTTAACGCTAGAGATTTGTTTAGTGAAATTGACGCGGCTACTGATCCCTTTTCAGCAAGAATACAAGGGCGCATTTGAATATGCGATTAACAGTTGGTGGTACCCCAAAGGTTATAATAACTCCATCAGCAACTACCAAGGGTCCAGCAGCAACTTTGCCAAGCTTGGTTGGGCCAAGGCTTCAAAGATCGGATGCAATCGCGAGATCTGTTTATTCCAACAACAAAACGTCACAGTTAGCAAGATTGTCTGTGTATTGGGAGAGGAGAAGGGCGCTGTTATTGGCCAAGCTATCTACTCCAGTGGAACCACTTGCTCCGCCTGTCCGAGTGGCTACAGCTGCAGCAATTCTCTCTGTGTGAAAACTGTCAGCGAGTGCAGCGTCAGCGACTAGTGCGTCCCTTCCAACTTGACACACACATCCTGTAAAATAAATCGATGGTATTTATATCTTTTATATTTGTAACAAAGTCAAGGCAATAAATCGTATATTCAAGAAATCCTTAACGTCTTACGCACGTTTCACAAAATCGCCCTTCGATCAGATAATTCGGTCGGAAAGTCGTTGGCGGAGCCGCGTCCGCGCTCTGCAATAGAAATACGAATTCTTGTCAAAAAATGTTTTAAATCAGAAAAAGAAAAATGGACAGCGAAGAATCAAAGAGATTTGAATACAAATTTAAGCCGACGACGAAAGTTTTAAACATTTAAAATACCGGAATTCATTTCAAATATCAGTTTGAAAATGTTGAAAGATGCAGTCGTCTTGCTGTTTTTGTTGGTACTGATCAGTGGTAAGTGGCTTTACGGTAGCCACAGGGCTTGCCCGAGACTAAACATGGCTCGTCGGCGAAATGTTCGGCCCGGTCCGTGGGCCGTAGGGGTTCCGGCCGGCCCGGCCAGCTTGAAATTTTCCGTCGGTCCGGCCCGTTTCAAACTTGCTTCGGCCCGGCCCGAATCTGCATGTGGAAATTTGTCTTTCCATATTTGGACCGTGCCTTTGCGACCAGTGACCCTTTATCAGTAAGCCCTATCGGCCTTGCTTTTTCTTACTTTACTACCCCCTTTCCTTTAACATAACAAGTAACATTTTATTTCGAAAAAGAAATTACCATAAACATTACCAAACAATGAAAATTGCATTGCCGCCTTGATCGTCATTCAGTCAAGACGACGGCCAACTAGTAATTTTGCAGTCTTCCTTGTCCAATAAAGTCTTTTTCTCGTCTACTATTATAAGTTGCGAAAACAACTAAACATCCTTTCAACTTCAGAACTGGAAGCAGGGACACAAAAAACTCTTCTTGCGATACTTGCCAATTGGGGAGCCGGTCCTCATTGCCTTTCCAAAATTGCATAACGTTTATATCGGCATCCTCATTGTAATACTCAGCCAAGTATAGCCGTGATAGGAGGCCATTACCGGTCTGTCAAAGGCTAAAATAAGTAAAAATTTAATTCATGAAAATGAAAATAAACACTTTAGAAATAAATGACGCATACTTACATCCCAGGAATTCTCTAACCATGGCTCCATCAGTGTTGAAACCGACGTTACCGAACTTGGTCCAATACAAGTTAATTCTGTCTGAATAAATCAGACAGTCGTAACTTACAAACATTTCAGATTGCATTCGGCGTGGCAGAACAAAATCGGTTTCGCAAAACAGAAAAAAATAAATCGTGGCAACAGTATTCAGAAGAAGCCCTTGGCATCTATTTTACTGGCAAATAAAAATTTCGCTTCGAGACTCAGAATTATAAAAATATTCAGGTCCGGGCCGGAATTGCTCCAGCACCGGCCCGGCCCGGGAGCCATGTTTACCCGAGACTGATAAAAACGTATGGTCGAGGCTCATAGCCCCCGCTTTGAAGAAAAGACCGAGATTTGCGGATCGAAGGTCGGCGAAGTCCGACGACGTAAGGGCCATGTTTCCCCTAAAGAAGATCGTTTCCCTGCACGAAGTTATAAAATTTATGGCCAGGAACTGTTTTTCGGAGCTTTCCGCGTTTCGCACAGCTTCTCGTCAGCAAACATCGTTCAATATCTCTGCAAAGCGAGAGCTAAGCCTTCGGGAACTGTGTGGCTTGGGCCCCGGTGCATCGTCGTACCTACACCAGCTTCACCTCGGCGAATGCCCGCCTTGGTTCTGGACAAAGTGTGCCCGTAGAAATCGGGAGTAAGAAAAATTTACTTTCTTTTCAAAAACAAAGTAAAAACACAAAAATTTCGAACTTTATTTTCGAAAACATATCTCGTTTCTTTGCCGTGACTTTGTTACAAATATAAAAGATATAAATACCATCGATTTATTTTACAGGATGTGTCAAGTTGGAAGGGACGCACTAGTCGCTGACGCTGCACTCGCTGACAGTTTTCACACAGAGAGAATTGCTGCAGCTGTAGCCACTCGGACAGGCGGAGCAAGTGGCTCCACTGGAGTAGATAGGTTGGCCAATAACAGCGCCCTTCTCCTCTCCCAATACACAGACAATCTTGCTAACTGTGACGTTTTGTTGTTGGAATAAACAGATCTCGCGATTGCACCCGATTCTTGAAGCCTTGGCCCAACCAAGTTTGGCAAAGTTGCTGCTGGACCCTTGGTAGTTGCTGATGGAGTTATTGTAACCTGCGGGCCACCACCAACTGTTAATCGCATATTCAAATGCGCCCTTGTATTCTTGCTGAAAAGGGATCAGTAGCCGCGTCAATTTCACTAAACAGATCTCTAGCGTTAAACTTACGCCATCTGGTGTCTCAACTCCCTGCAACATGATGCTGAGAACATTGTAGTCGGCCAAATCACGGAAGCCACTGGTGCACTCTGTGAAGTTGTTGACGGCGATGCTTTGCAGCCCAATATCGTACTCGACCTCTAAAATGTTGCTTCCCGTCGGGAGAGTCTTTCCATTCGCATCAGTCACATTTCCATTTGCCAGATCTCTTCTGTGACCATTCACAGTGTCCAAAACAGCTTTTCTTTCTCCAATTGTCAGCCACCCAGGAGTTCTAGGGGGGAGTTGAGTATCATAGTAGCAAAGAGAGTTGTTGCAACGGTAGCCATATGCACAGGATTCGCAACCCGTTCCAGGGTCATAGATTGGTTTTCCGATCCAGTTCGAGCCCGCGTTGAAATTGCAGGCGACAAAGGTAAAGTTATTCAGGTAATTATCGCCGTTTTTCAGCTGCGGGCATAAACCCACAGCACATCCGGTGAGATTAAGGGTGTTCCACGCGAGCTGAAGGACTCATGATCAAGTTGCTTTCACCTACAGTTGTAAAGTCAGTGTTATCGTCGTCTTGGAACTTGCTGACGTTTCCGGAAAATTGGTGGCTGGAGTTATACCATTGCTCGATCGCAGCGTTGAGAGAGCCCATATAATCAGATGTCAGTGAGTCGAATGCATTGATCAATTGGTTTGAGTTGGGTTGATAATCATAATTACAATTCGTTACCCAGGTGTAAGCTTGATCTTCGAATGTGGTATCGACGTTCTAATAAGTATGATCCGTCATACGCACAATCACCGGCACTTACCAGTTGTTGCATATCAGCTGCAGGAGGCAGTTTGTTTCCATCTTTGTTGATGGCTTCTCCGTTGGCCACTCTTCTTCGAACCTCGTTCAACTTATCGATTGCCTGCTGCTGTTCCGCGTCCGTTAATCTGCGTTGGGTGACGGCTGCAGTAAGAACACAACACAAGGCCAGGACAATGATCTTCATACTGGTTGAAGACTCTGTTGATTGATACTTGCCAACCAATCTTCTTCCCTTATATAGTCTCCTTTTTTATTGTTTGCTGTTTGCTTGCACATGAGTCTTTCCTGGAACGAGCGGTTCCCAAGTCCAAAATGTCCGTGATTATTCGAATTTGAAACCACAGGATTGTTACTCCCCAAAAATTTATGCGAATTCTCGGTAGCGATTTTATTTGAACAGACAATTTCCGGTTCAGGATAACGTTCTTTTTGGCTTGGGGGTTCAACCGCCCTCTTTCCATATTTGAAGGGATCGAGCGTTCATTCGGGGAATTTTCTTTTATTTTGCAACGCCTGTTTCCAGGAACTGTAAATATTTCCATCGTTCTTCGTTCCAAAGCCTATAAAAAGCCAATTCAAATTTAATTTTATCACATCAACCCAAGTCTGCATATCCGCAAGATATCAGAATGCGGTCCATTTCTTGCTTGTTCCTGGTCACTCTTTTGACTACAGTATCCTCCTCGTTGTTGGATAAGCTTGGGAAAACGCAGCTCAGTGAACTCGTGAAGACCAAGTTTGAGAAGAAAGATTTGGATGATATCTTCGACAAAGAAGCATTTGACAAGTTGGAGGAATTCTTCAAGGAGAACAAGACCCACGAATTCATCGATAATTTGAAGGGACTCAGTGACAACGCGAAGAAATCCCTGAAACTCTCCACCGAATTCCGTCAAAAGCTGGACTCCAATGATAGCAAGCACTTCAACAAGTTCTTTGGATTCATCGCAAAGTAAGTATGCAATTCGTATGAGCTCACATCTTGCAGGTACGAAAAGGAGTACCACAATCACACCCACGTCTCTGAGAGCTTCAAAAAATTCAAATCTACTCTGAAAAGAATTGAGGATAGACAGAAGGAGAGCCCCAAGGCCAAATTTGGCATCAACCAATTCTCAGACCTGACTCCAGAAGAATTCATCGCCAAACACACGGGACTCAAGGGAGTTGAGTACCTCAAGGAGCTCCATAAGAATACCAACAGCTCTAATTTGCTCCGCTCAAAGAGAGACACCGCCCAGATTCCTTGCAACTTTGATTGGAGAGAACATAATGGAGTTACCCCTGTGCAGAACCAGGGTGGTTGTGGATGTTGCTATGCATTTCAGTCTGTTGCTGTTGTAGAAAGCCAACACCTTATCCATACTGGACAGACTCTCCATCTGAGTGAGGAGCAGGTTATTGCTTGTACCTTCAACGTATCCAAGTACACTAGCAACGGAGGCTGTAATGGAGGTACGACTCCGGGAGTGTTGGACTACGTCATTGACAATGGAATCACGCTCGCAGACGATTTCAAATACACTTCCGGAGATGGGGATCACACAGTCCCCCCTTGCCCTAGCGGAAAGCCCTATGCCACCAGGATCACAAAACAAGAGTTCTTACCGCAGTACGACGAGGACAACGTGGCCAAGATTGTGTATGAAGTGGGACCAGTTGCAAGCGGTATGTCTGAACTACTAATATTCGCATGTTCTCTCTAGGTATTGATGCCGGCGGCATTCAAGATTATAAGAGTGGGATCCTCGACGTTGCCGAACCCTCGGGCGGTTGGTCCATCAATCATGGTGTCGTCATCGTTGGGTATGGAGTGGAAAATGGCACCAAGTACTGGATCTTCAAGAACTCGTGGGGAGTCGGATGGGGCGACCAAGGATTCTTCAAGGTGAAGCGCGGCGTTAACTCTCTTGCCATGTCCGAATTTAATTATGCTGCCTACTTCTGATCGCTCAATGTTGTAGAAAGTGATTTTTGCCGTGACTTTTTGTATAAATACAGTCGATATCTTTTGTTTAGGAATTGGACTTGGGTCTTTTTTATTTTGGTTTATGCCCTACAGGCATCTGACGGTTTAACGTTTTTAGAGACAAGCTTCACTCTCCTGAAAGTTTTATTTATTAACCATGTTAAACAAGAGGCACGTTAAACCTGTTGAAGTCCCCTTTGCGATAATTCCAATGAGCATTAAATCGCGGCGGAAAGATGCGAGAACAGCCAAATTGTTTTTGCTTGAAGGATTAGAACAAAGAGTGCCTTTGTCAACACCAACATAAAATAATGCAGTGCACAGAGAACAAAGAAAAGTCATCAAGCTCAAACTTTATAAATACTTTTTGTTTTTCACCAATCTGACAAGTAAAATACTCAAGGAAAGAGAGTTTATGGAACATCGCATAAATATAGGCCAATTTTTTTAAGACATATGCGACAGTCTAAGTTCGGAATTTGCAAAAACAACTGAATTTTTTGTCCGAAAGTAGGGAAAAATTACAGATTTTTTTCAAGTTTGTCATGTTTGTCAAATGCTTTTTTTCTCTGACCGCTCTTCACAGTTTGTGCATTCTTTTGTCAAAAAAGATCATTATCATTGCTGCTTGGCACATGGCGCGAACTAAAATATTCAGGAACTGATGTGTGATTACAGCCCGACGCCTAGTGGCCTATGGCAAAGTTTCAAAAGAATCTGAACACTTTCTTTGTCAGTTAACAAAGACATCGCCTTTGTGTTGCCTTGTTGTTATTTTAGTACATTCGCAGAGAGCATTTCTCTTGTCGTAATACGGTTAACTCGGGGCTGAATTTGTCCCCAAAAACTCTTGCTTTCTAGGTAACTTTTGAACATCTTTGTGTTCGCCTTATCTTGCATCTGCATCCTCGGTGACACCATATTCTTCTTTAATTTCCAGGCTACATTCCACAAGCTAATTTTCATTCGAAATCCACACCTTTATGTCACTTTCCCTTTTTCTTAACACAAATTATCTTGAGTATCAGTTTCAAATAGCCTTTTAGCAGATCGTCAAAAAAAAGAGTGCTCGTTAACGTGTCAAAAAGAACAGCTGCCCAAGGTTTGAGGTTAAAGATGAAGACGGGCCCGGAAATAATTGGGAACAAACAAGTAATGCCCTCAGGGTTTCTTCCGAGCCTCCGGACATTCGTTTTTTCGGTTGGGTCAAAGGCTATCAACGGTCCGTTTTGGGTTTGATTAATCTGTTTTCTGAGGCAAATGCTGGTCAGAGACTACTTTTAGGCCGGGAAATAAGGCCATTACAGTCTTAATTGGGTATCCTATGCACTTACTTTGCACTCTATTTTTATGCTATTAACCTTTTTACGACTTATAAAAACCAATCTCACGGCATTTTCTTTTTTATTTTTACGTTGTGTGAAAAAATAAAACGACGATTTTTATTGCTTTTTATTGGCGTCAAAAATTGTTTCAAAACGGATATTCGGATATCTCCCGGATTGTTTTTTTCAAGAAGAGAGAAAATAACAATCCCGGAGGAGCATTACTTCTGCAATTTCGTAGACTCCACAATCGGTGATCGAAAGTTTTTTTATGTAGATGAGGCTCTTCTCTGATTTTTTTTGTCAATTAGGATGACAAAACTCGCAAACTAAATTAGAAAAGAGGGAAGTAAATAAAAACAATTTTTTACCATGATTTTTGTGGGTTTTTCTGAATATTTGCTTACTAATCAACACACAAACTTTTTTAATTTTTTTTTAGAAGAAAATTAATTGGCCTCGAGGGAGATTTTCAGTCGCACAAAAACAGTTTTTCACATCTTACCTTATCAGTTTTGTCATATATTGAGATTTCTTTCAAATTTTGCATAGTCGTTTTTTCCTAGACGCTTATTGTTCTCTAAAAATACTCTGATTATGCTCATAGAAAACCGAATTTTCAAATTTACTATTTTTGTTCAATCCGACTTGTTTCCAATTTTTAATTTGAGCTACTCTTGGGCATCCTAACGAAGTGTTGCAAAACAGTTTTTCCGATTTGAAACTTTGTTTTGTGGTTGATGTGCGGCTCAAAAATCAAACCCTAAAAAATAGCTACCGCGGCAAAGCGCCTAATAATTCAACTTTCAAGGTGACATTTGGGCCTAGCCCAGCTATTCAACAACTTTTTGAGAACTTTGCCAAGATTTGTGCCATGTTTGATCAAAATCTATGACTCTCACCCAGAGTAATCGCACTTCCACTTTTTCCAATTTTCCAATCCAATTTTTCCACTGTATGCCTATTTTACCTCCCTTTCCTAACAATTACCCCGAAATTCTCGTTTCACGTCACCACCCATTCCCGTTGCTTATTACTTTTGCAACAATCGCCTCGTTTCGATTCCATTCACTCGCGTTTAGTGACCAACGCGAAGGCAAACAAACAAGCCCGGACAATACCCGGCTTACGAGATTTACGAGCTCTTATGGAACCCACTTTTCTTCTCTGATAACTGTTTCTTCCACAAAAAAAGTATCGGAATCCACTTTTCTTTTCACAAAAAACATCTCAACCAGATCCACTTTCGGATTTTTTACCATAAATGCTCCATGTTTTCGAGTTTCGAAGAGGTTTTTTGGGGCGAACGGAGAGGTGGTTGAAAAAATTTATAGGTTACGAGTGTGACCAGAGGTCTGACAAACCAGCCGCGGTCATAATATGTTCAGTTTTCGATTTGGAATTGTCATTCGCAGGGTTTTTGTAGTTGGGAGATCAGTTGATGGTCATGCGTAATATATAGGCGATTTTAGCTCATTTTGAAGAAAACAGTTCGCGGTTTTAGTTTGGATAGATCATATCACATATTATTTACTCTTTATGCGATATTTTTCTTGTAAAAAATACTAATTGCCGCCTATATTGTACATGGTATATCAGTTGATGTTCAAGTATAATTTACGGATGTTTTTGACTCTAAAAAATTGTATTTTTGATTCTAAATGACTCCATTTTTTCTGTTCTTGTCATGTTCATAAAACCCAGTTTTAACTTTTTTTCAAATTTCCGTAGACGAAACTTTTATTTCGCAGTCTGCCAAAGCCTCGGGCGCAGTGCGCCACCAAATTATTTTCGATTTTTCGACCAAAACTTTTATTTTCTTTACCGGAGAGTTGAATACGACTTCCTCGCCCACGTTTTGTACACTAATATCTTGTACGATCTTCGAAAAACGTAGAGTCTCGTCCGTTTTTTGCTCCGGACGATCAGAAGAAGCAATCCGACGAGCTTTTCCTCAAACTTCGATAATTCCCTAGTATTTGTAGTGAGCGCCGGCGTTCCGACGCCTCCTCCGTTCTCCCTCGTCGCCCATCGCATCTCCTCCTCATCTTGTTTACCATCATAGAGACGATCAAGAGCGGCGGCGAGGAATATTATATTAGTCTTGCTGTGGTCACTCGAAATGAGTCAGTTCGTCGCGATTTTTAATTCAAATGCGCAATCAGCGGAAGATGGGATAACGCGTTTGGGGGAAGGGGGAAGTCTTCGGGGCGATTGTCTTGCTCATCAGCCGTTAATTGTGGGAGGAATTGGAATCTTTTTTGGCGGCGGCCCGCATCCTCATGGATAACATAATTTTTGCGATTCTCTGGGGCTAATTTGAGGCTTCGCGGATGAGAAACGACTCTGTATCCTTATACACGTCCTGATCTCTCATTTCTTGTTTTTATTTTTATCGTTTCCTCATTTTTTCTATTTTTGGTCATGGATAATATAATTTTTCCATGTTTTTGCTAATTGCTCGTTTAGAAGTTGAACGATTTGTCTTGTTAGGCTTTTTTGTCTTATATATAACCAGTTTCAGACTGATTTTTGAACATTTTTGTCTCATTTTTTGTAGGTGTCATAAACAATATAATTTTTTATTTTTTGTGCGATTTTTTTTATTGGAAGGAATTAGAACAGACAAGTTAGGTTATGGTTACTAAAAAATTTTTTATTTCAGGAATGATGGAGTACTTCACCCGAAGCTACCACACTCCCGACGACCGTTACAAGCCCGCCGACAATAACAACACCATTAGCACATCGAATGGTTCTATTCCAAATAGCATTCGATATTATAACGAGGATGAGCTGACCATCCCATTGCCCAACTCATTTATGCCCACAAAACCGAATGGAGAGATCACTTACAATTACTATCCGATGAGCAGTAGTACGAGCAGCTCCAGTTATCAGCCCAGCTCGGACTATGTGCAGCAGGAAGAGGAATGGGATCGAGATGCTTTGTTGGATCCAATGTGGGAATATCAGCAGAAAAAGGTGGGGGTTTTATTGGGTTTTGTCTTTATTTAGGTATGGAGGAATGGGAAAGATGGACAAAGATGAGGAGCAACATTCTGCGGGAATTTTGTATTAGATACGTATAAGATGTAAAATATGATGTGATAATAGATTTTTTTTGATTGAAAATAGCTCAAAAGACGTTGGAAAGTGGTTTTTTTAAAATCTTTTTCTTCACCATCTATACCTAAAACAACATCTCCCAAAGCTTTCAAATCCAAAAAATATCTGCATGACACATCGCAAAATGACGTAACCTTTGCTTTCCAGACCTTCACCGCCTGGGTAAACAGTCATCTACGCAAAGCCGGAACCAAAATCGAAATCTTAGAGGAGGATTTCCAAAATGGCCTCAAACTTATGCTCTTATTGGAAATAATTTCCGGTCAGCCGCTGCCAAAACCCGACCGAGGTCGAACCAGATTCCACCGGATCGCCAATGTCAACAAAGCCCTTCAATATATCCAATCAAGAGGAGTCAAACTGGTTTCTGTTGGGGCTGAAGGTAGTGTAATATTCAAATTGATTTTATTCAAATGTTTTTGCAGAAGTTGTTGATGGAAATGTGAAATTAACCTTGGGACTGATCTGGACTATCATTTTGAGATTCGCTATCCAGGAGATTAGTGTTGGAGGTAGGTGAAATTTAGGTTTTATATTGTTTTAGACACCAAATGTGTCTGATTCAAATTTTGGATTTTTAGAACATTCTGCTCGCGATGGTTTACTATTGTGGTGTCAGCGGAAGACTGAGCCCTATGAAGATGTGAATGTTCAAAATTTCAGCACCAGTTGGAAGGACGGACTTGCTTTTTGCGCTCTGATCCACCGACATCGCCCAGAGCTCATCGATTACGGCTCTTTGGACCCAAACAACCACATTGGAAATCTGTCAACGGCATTTGATGTGGCTGAAAAGGATTTGGACATCCCGAGAATGCTGGATCCAGAAGGTAAAAATGTTTTTTTAGTTTAGTCATTATGGATAATATAATTTTTGAAAAAAAGTTTAATTTTTTTCTACTTTTTTGCTTTCCATCTTCTTTAGCTGTCGCATTCACCCCTCGGCCGGACGAAAAGTCCGTGATGACCTATGTTTCCTGCTTTTATCACGCTTTCGAACCAAAACGCCGCGTTTTCCCCCAAAATTTTCCGCAAAAAGTCCGACAGAACCTTCAAAGACCTCGAATGTTCACTCCACCACCTCATAGGTCGATGGTCCAAGTTCTACCACCAATAGAAACCAGAGTTATGGGGCGAAAACCCCGGCCAATTTCGAATATTTTTGAATATTCGCCCAAAATCATGCCGAGAACCGAAAGTTTCGAAAAAATGAATGGATTCCGACCGCAGCTCGTCAATTCTCGGCTTATGCAGCCCGCCAAAGAGTTGAGGGTGGAACTGCCTCCGGCTAAACCCGATCCAAAGGACGTAAGGACGATTTGTGTCCGGGTTTGCAGTGATTTGACAGTTTTTGGGATGATTTTTGCCATTTTTTCAAGATTTTTGTTGATTTTTTGTCGACAAATCATGTGAATGTGAACTATGTTATGTGAAATTATGTGTAATGTCATTTCAGTCCTGGTTGATTCGTCCATCCCTGACGAAAAAGCGATTATGACCTATGTTTCAACGTTCTATCATAAATTTACGGGGAAAAATAAGGTAAATATTGATTTTTTATGTGATTTTGATGTGGATTTGACTTGCTTTTGATAGTATGTGGGATTAGGAATATTTTCGACCGTATTTTAATTAAAATCAAATTCAGTATAGCAAAGATTTTGTATAAAAAGAGTAAAATTTTGAGGGTTTTGATTTGTTTTTTTTTGTGATTTGATGGATATTTGTGTATATTTCCGATTTTTCTCTGAAAACGACTGATTTTAGCTAGAAAAAGCCGCAAATCGAGTGAGCCGAGTCCTCTCCCAGAACAAGGAGAACAAAAAAATGGCCGATGACTACGAAATTTTGGCTGATGATTTGCTAAAATGGATCGACCATTGGATGCCAATTGTGTCAAATAGAACAGAAGAACCAAATTCGAATGGTTTAAAGAACCGACTGAACGATTTTAGACAGTACAGACACAAGGAGAAACCACCAAGAATTGAAGAGAAAAGCCAATTGGAAACACTGTTTAACACCTTGCAAAATCGATTGAGATTAGGAAATCGACCGGCTTTTATGCCGAAAAATGGAAAAACTGTGAAGGTAGGGAGGCCGTGGATGGAATGTGAGGTGATTGGGAATCAGGGAAGAGCTGAATTTTGTGATTTTGCGAATTTTTGATCAAATTCTGGCTAAAATTTTGGCGATTTTGCCGAAAGAGTTTAAAAAAGGTGTATAAATTTGGATGGAAAAGAAGATTCATGGGGTTTTTATGGCCTTGACTGTCGTGCTAAGAAGAAGGAATATTTTTTTTCTGGTTGCATTGGAAAATTTGGCTTGGTCGATGTTACACTTGACATGATTCAATAGTTTTTGGTGATTTTTGCCTAAATTTTGATTTATTTTCTTCGAAATTGTTGATTAAAATTTAGAAAATGGATAAATATGAGTTTTTTTTTTATATTTTTTAAGTAATATTGCATATGTTACACTTAAAATCTATCATAATTATAGGATGTGAACCTTGCCTGGAACAACCTAGAACAGTCCGAAAAGGGCTTCGAAGAATGGCTTCTCTCCGAAATGATGAGACTTCAACGACTTGAACGGCTGGCCGAAAAGTTCCATCGAAAATGCACCTCTCATTCCCAGTGGTGCCAGGGAAAAGAATCAATTTTAAAGTCAGAGGACTACAAATCCGCAGATGTACATACTATTAAGGCAATTAGAAAGCGTCACGAAGCATTTGAGAGCGATATGGACGCTCATCAAGAACGAATTGAGCAAATTGTGGAGATTGGCAAAGAATTGACAAGATTAAGGTACGCAAAAGCCAAAGAAATTGCCGAAAAATGCGGAGAAGTTGTCGGAAATTGGGACAAATTGGAAGTTCTGGCTAAAGAGCGAAGTGAACGGTTGATCGAAGCCGAAAAAGTGGCTGGAAAATTGGACGAGATCCATCTGAAATTGGCCAAACAACTCGGACCCTTCAACTCGTGGCTGGATTCGGTCAAGGAGGATTTAACCGATTTGGTGATCGTAAATCAGATGAATGAGATTGAAGGATTAAGCGAGGATCATCTGAAGTTCAAAGAGACACTCCCAGAAGCGGTCAAAACTTTGGAGAATATCAAGACATTGGAATCGGAAGCAAAAGAATTAGTCGAAAAATATGGTCTAGGTCCAAAGTTATTGGCAAACCCATACACAGACCTTTCCATGAACAAAGTAGAAGGCTTGTGGAGGGAGATTCAACAGTTACTTCCAGAAAGAGACCATCAGTTGGAGGCAGAGAGGGCTCGGCAGCAGAGTGAGTCATTAGTAGCCCTAAAATAATATTTTGATTTAGAAAATGAACGTCTGCGAGATTTGTTCGCTGAAAAGGCGAATGAACTTGGCCCATGGCTCGAGGATTTACTGGAGCAAGTCTTATCGGCCAGGTTGACTTCAGCGTCGACATTGGAATCGATTTTGAAAGCCCTTGGGGATATTAAACATGAGGTAAATTTCGTTGATTTTATGTTGAAATTTGATGGTTAATAGACGTATTGGAACCTGTGGAGTCTCAAAATAGGATTTTATAGGACAGGACATGTTTTGGACAAAGAATTTATATTGTTTTAGAGAGCTGAGTCATGGTGAATATGAAATTTTAGTAGAAATGAGTGTTTTACTGGAAAAATAAATGGAATATGACTAATAGAGGTTTCAAAGGTTCAAAAAGCTTTTTTTGGATGTTTTTGGTATTCAATTAAGGATTGCACATTTATTTTTTTTATGAGTAATATAATTTTTTATGTTTTTTTGTGTTTTTTTGAATTTGGATTAATTTCTTGTCGTTTGAAACCATCTACAGTTCGATTTTATAATGAGATTGACAAAATTTTACATTATTTTTGGCAATTTTTGATGAATCTTTAAAATTTTCAGCTATTATATGATCTCAAATCTTTTTTTCAGGCAATCCTGAACAAGCACCAGCTCGATGAGCTCGAAAAAATCAACCAGGAAATGCAAGAGAACCTTGTTTTTGAATCCCCGAAGTCAAAATACACCATGGAATCGATCCGGGTTGGCTGGGAATCCCTGATGACGTCATTGAACAAGGTCTCAAACGAATTTGAGAATCAGATCCTGCTCCGCGACAGCAAAGGATTATCCCATGAACAGCTGAAGGAATATCGCCAAGCCTTTGCTCACTTTGATAAAGACTCGAAAGGCCTGAATGAAGAACAATTGAAGGCATTTTTGATATCAATCGGACACGCAGAAGACCCATATGAACTGTTTTTGAAGCTGGATTCGAACTCGATGGGAACTGTCAGCTTTGATGCTATTTTGGATCATTTGACTCGAGAACAGACGGACAGAGACAACGCGGAACAGATGATAGAAGCATTTAGACTGTTGGCGAACGGAAAATCAGCGATTACAGAACAAGAAATCCGAAGCGAACTCCCACCAAAACTCGCAGAATATTGCCTCCAAGAACTGGACTCCTTCCACGACCCATCGGACAAAGGATTCGATTACGAAACGTTTTGTAAAAACATATTTATCCAGTGATATATTTATCGTCAACATAATGTAATAAACTTATAACAACATTGTTGGTAGTGAACGATACTTCGGAAAAAAGTTTTGACATTGCATACTAGTCCTTCCGGGAACTTGCCGGGCTGATTTTTGGCGTTTGCAGTGTGTGAAAAAGTCAGGGTGCGAGCGACAACCGAAAAAGCCGATTGCACGGTGCAAAGAAGCCTTTTGTCTTCTCGCAGTGCGTGTCGCCGATTTCAGTCCGCCGACTTTCCGGAAGGACGGGTACTGGGCTCAAGATTTGGAAATGAAATTAAAATTTTTTCTTTGAATTTGTTTTGGTCTTGAGACAATAAAGTGGAATTAATTCCTGAATGTTTTAGCATTCAGGAATTGATATTTACGCTTCGCAAGGCCACCAAGATAATGAACAATCTTTGCCGCCGAGAGGGAACGCTAAACGCGGAGAGTGGTCAGAGAGAAAAACTCTCTGGCCATAACTTTGCTAGTTCAGTGCGGAAAAAATTTACTTTTTGTGGACACATTACCCTTTACGGTAGAAATCGGTATGACAACTTTTTGTGCCCAAATTCGGCGAGAAGTCTCAAATTTTTGCCGACTTTCGATCTAAAAATCTCGGTCCTTTCTGCAAACCGCAAGATAAACTTACAGGGGAAGTACTCCAAGTGTGACGCTCAGATTTTGATGAAACTTGGCACAAATTCAGAATAATTTTTTCTGAGATATATGCGAGAATCCTAGCTCGCGCTTTGCAGAAACCACCGATTTTTAGATCGAAAGTCGGCGAAAATTTAGGACTTTTCGCCGAATTTCGGCACGAAAAGTTTCATGCCTATTTCAACTGTAAAGGATAATGTTTCTACAAAAAATCAAATTTTTCCGCACGAAACTGCCAAAGTTATGGCCAAAAAACGGTTTTCTCTCTGACCGCTCTCCACGTTTAGCGTGCTCTCTCGGCGGCAAAAATCGTTCGATATCTCGGCGACGCCCGCAAAGCGCGAGCTAAAACTTTCAGGAATTGATATTTAGTCCATACCCGACGTGTGTGCAAAATTTAAAGAAAATCTGAGCGTCACACTTGGAGTACTTCCCCTGTTAATTTTTTTACGTATTTTTCGAAAAACTTGTCTAAACCTGTCATCAAAATCTGTTCGGTGTCGCACTTCGGGAAATTCCCCTGATAGCCTTAAAAACAACGGTTAAAAATGACGTGAGGCTACCGGGCCGGGCGGTTTCGAAAATTTTCAAACCGAGCTAGGACTGCTTTGCAATAATTTTCAGTTATATCTGTATTCAAAAAACCTTTGAACTCCGTTCCTCCTTTCCTTCTGTTGCTTTTCAAACTGTCATCAAAATAAGTCATAAATCAATTACTGTTATCGCCTTTTTCAACACACTACAAACCAAACGTTTTTTTTTATTTATTCTCACAAAATTTCGCAATCACTTATCACTTTCGGAAAGCGCAGTATTGTTAACAATCGCGTGCCTCCCCCTTCTGATACAAAGTTTTCTTATGAGAAACACGGCCATGACGCCAGAAAAAGAATAAATTTCGATGAGTCACTCATTTGACTCCGCCTTTTGCACTAAAATTGTTCTTGAATGAAAACAGCGGATTTTCGGGTCAACATTTATTTCCTGTAATAACTCTGGTCGCAGAGGTTTGTTACTACAATTTAATGTTGCTAAATTGTAGTTGAAAATTAATGAAAATTAAATTTTTTGAGAAAAACCACTCTTTTACTTATTTCGAAAAAGATTTTTTGGCAGAAACTTTTTGTTTTTCCGATTTTTTGCTCTTTTGACCCCTAATTTTGCTGCTTCAGGGGTTTTGATTAATTTTTGATTTTTTTTCGTCTTTCGTAATACGCAAAACCTCTGTACAACGAATTGTAAGCAACCAAAAAAAAACTTTTTTATGGAAAGATTTCGTAATACAGAGGTTCCTTTTTGGCTTACAATTGAGTTTTCGGACTTCTGAAAATTTTCGTTATAGACAGGTTTCGTTGTAGAGAGGTTCCGCTGTACTAAATTTATAAACTTGATCTTTTTTCATCTTTCAAAAAATATTTTTAGAATAACAAATGTACTCGGTTATACTGACCGCACTCACTGGCTTGGCCAGCATTATCATATCAAATCGAGGTGTGGCCAAATCGAAATACGAAAAATTAAAATCCAGAATTTATGAAATTGTAAGTTTTTTTTTTAAAAAAATGTAAAATTAATTTTTAATTTTTTTGATTTCAAAAATTGTTTTTTTAGGATACAAATATCCTGAGGAAAAAAATTAAATTTATCCAAAATTATTTATGGCCAGAAGATTCAGTGGTCCGTGCAAATGTGTCGATCTGCCTCATTTTGATGGGATTTAAGAGAATTGCAAATATTTTGATCCCATTGTGCAATAAATGGATAGGTAAGTTGCAAGCTTGGATTTGTCATCTCTTGGTTACGAAATTTGTCTTTTTTGTAAAAAAAAGGACTTTTTTGTGATTGAAAAAAGGTGCTTTTGAGGCTTCGAAATTTAGTAAATTTTTTCACCAAAATGCTAGCTAATGTTGAGAAAATGGACACTGAAAAAGCGAAATTTTGATTGACTTTTGATTTTGGTCACGTTATAACATGACCAAAAATAAATAATGTTTTGCATGCTGGCCAATAGAAAATTGCTTCCGAAGTCATTTCTGTAAAAAATAATAGGCCCAATTCGCATAGATATAGTCGATAGTCCTTTTCTCTCTGTCTATTCTCCGCATTTTTGTGGTCTCTAGTCGGTTTTTGCTCTTGCAAAACTCGAGCTAAAATTGTGTTGATGTTTATTCGAGATATGGAATGCTTGAAAAAACTTCAAATTACGGTGACATTGATGACTTTTAATCTAATTTTTTTAGTTGACGATCTGACCGAGAAGAAAAGCTTTTGTTGGGAATTGATTGCCTTTGCATTTCTACTGGCTGTGCTCAGTGGTGGAGGTTGTAAGTTAAAAATTATTTTACAGTGGGGGGGGCTGATCCAGTGGCAAAAAACGTTCCATTTTGCATCCGGGAAGCATCAAAAATGTGACAAAATGCTTACCTCTCTAAGTGAAAAAAAACTTCGTTTTGAAGGGCATGCCTTTTCTTTCCTTCACAAAAAGAGCGGGCTCGCTTTTGAAATCGGAGTTTTTTCACTTGGAGAGGGAAACATTTTGCCATATTTTTGATACTTCCAGGATACAAAATGGTACGTTTTTTGCCACTGGATCAGGTCCCCCACTGTATTTTGCGTTGTGCTATCTTTTTCGATTTTTCCATTCTGCTTCCCTAACTTTACTTCAAATATTTTCAGTTAGTTCCGGAGTTCTTCGCTCTCTGAGCAACTCGGCATGGAAGAAGGTCGAAAATTACAACCATCTTCATATGGAAGTGGACGTCTACAACCACGTTCTCCGTCTCCCCTACAACTGGCATGTCAACAAAAAGTCGGCCGAGCTCTGGGAGATCGTGAACCGCGGCACAAGCTCTGTGGAGATGCTGATCCACATGATTTTCTTCAGCCTCGGCCCCACTCTCTTCGATGTTTTCTCGTCACTCCTCCTTTTCTACAATGTTTTTGACGGAACGCTGACTTTACTCGTCTTCATCATTGTTGTGATTTATGTCATCACAACGGGGGTTGTTTGCAAAATGCAGGACAGACAGCAAATGTGGAAGGCCAGAGGAGAGGCGTTGAGTTTGAGGGCTGATGCGTTGATGAATTATGAGACGGTGAAGTACTTTTGTAACGAGCCAATGGAAGCGGATCGGTTCAAAGAGGCGACCATAAAGTAAGCTGTTACAGCGGGGGGCCTGATCCAGTGGAAAAAACGTACCATTTTGCATCCGGGAGGTATCAAAAATGTGGCAAAATGCTTCCTTCTCCAAGTGAAAAAGCTCCGATTTCAAAGGCGCGCCTATATTCTTTCTGTGAGGAAAAAGAACGCGCTCTTTAAAACAAGGCTTTTTCACTTGGAGAGGGAAGCATTTTGCCGCATTTTTGATGCTTCCCGGATGCTAAATGGCACGTTTTTTGCCACTGGACCGGGTCCTTCACTGTATTTTTTTTTGATTTGTAATGAAATTTCGGGACTCACCGAGGAGGATTGCCAGATTTGGACTGCATTTTTAGTGTACTATTTCGCTTTAGTGCTCTGTTTAAAAACATTTCTTCCTATTCCAGATACCAAGCCCACGATGATGAGAACAAAATTCTCCGTCGCGTCACCGACGGAGTTGAGAACGTCGTCACCGGATTCGTCTTCATGTTGGGCTCTCTGTTAGTCGCCTACAAGATTTCCCGTCCCGGCTCCAACATGTCGGCCGGCGACTATATCCTCTTCACCACGCATTTCACACAAATGATCAGCCCTTTGAGCTACATTAGCTATGTGTTTGACAGTGTTTGGGAGTCGTTTTGTCAACTGGGGCCTCTGATTGAGCTTCTGGAAATGCCAACCGAGAATCAAAAAGCCATCGGCTTCGTGGACAGCGAAATTGAAGGCTCAATTAGAGTGGAGAAGGTGTCATTTGCGTACAAAGAGGCAAAAGTGTTGGATAATGTGAGCTTCGAAGTGCCGGAGGGCAAAACTGTGGCGTTGGTGGGACCCTCGGGAAGTGGGAAATCGACGATTGTCAGGATGTTGTATAGACTGCTGGAACCGACCGAAGGTAAGACATTTTGAATTTTTGGAGGAAAAAATCTAATTTTTCTTTTGATTTTTTCGACAAAAAATTTAGTTGCATTTCAGTTACATCTAAGTAAGACTTGCTAAATTTTCTAAATTTATTTAATATTTGCCCTAGAACAGATATGCATTGAAATTTATTATATTATAACGATTTATTCAACGTATTTTACGTTCAATTTCTAGGCTCCATCTCTCTCGCCCACAACGACATCCGGAATTTGGACCTCTACAAGATGAGGAGCAAAATGGCCACGGTTCCTCAGGATTGTGTTCTTTTTGATGACACCATCAAATACAACATTGGATATGGCCGTTCCACCGCGACTGATGAGGAAATCGAGGAAGCCGCGAAGAATGCGCAACTATTGGATCTGATTAATCGAAGTGCCGAGAAATTTGAAACCAAAGTTGGGGAGAGAGGACTGAAATTGAGTGGAGGAGAGAAACAGAGAGTCGCCATTGCGAGAACGTTGCTGAAGAACCCAAAGTATTTGTTTTTGGATGAGGTAGGTGTATACTATGCTACCTGCAGTGCACGTCAATCCAAAATAGAAGAAAAAATTTCCCGCCCCTTTTTGGTGATTCGTTCAAAACGAAATGTAACTATCCGATAAAAAGCATTTCTTACCTTTCTTCTTCCTTTTCGAGAAAAAGTAATTATTTCGGGCGAGAAAAAGTGCCGATAATTTCGCGACATTTCGTCTCTCTTTCAAACCAATGAAAACGACACGAAGTTTCGAAACGGTTCAGGAAATGCGCTGGATTGACGTGCAGTGTAATATTTATAAAAAAGATTCCCGTACAACAAAAACTGTTTATAACGAAAAATTTCTTATAAAATCAATTTAGACCAATATGATGAATCTTAGTTAGCCAACTTTACCTAGTAAAAATCAGTTTTTTCTTCGAGGCGAGATCCTGGGATGTGTTTGTGGAACTTTAAATACAGTGGGGGATTTGATACAGTGGCAAAAAACGTACCATTTTGCATTCGGGAAGTATCAAAAATGTGGCAAAATGTTTTCCTCTCCAAATAAAAAGCTTTGTTGTGTAACCCCATTGTACATTGAATTCTGAGCGCCGCAGTCTTAACACTTCTTCTGTCATCTCAAATTTTCAGAAGGGTACAAATCCACCTTTAAAAATTTATTTCAGGCCACTTCCTCGCTCGATTCCTGCACCGAAAAGCAGATCCAATCAGCACTGATGAACCTGTGTGAGAATAGAACTTGTGTGATTGTGGCTCATCGGCTCTCAACCATCGCTCATGCTGATAACATCGTTGTTCTGAAGAATGGCAAAGTTGTTGAACAAGGAAATCACAATGAGCTCTTGGCCAAGAACGGCCTGTATTCGGAGATGTGGCGGATACAACAGGAAGGTCAAGGGGCAAAAATGACGGGTGAAAATTGAATAAGAACGTGTAAAAAAAAAGAAAATCATACGTGTATATTGAAAAAATTATGATATCATTTAAAAAAGGCACTTGATAATCGCTTATTTATTGTTGTATAATGTAATATGTCTATAACGCCATGTAATGCTCTTTTATTGTTCAAAGAATGTATATAATAAATCGTGAATATGAAACCGATGTTGTACAACAATGTAATAACTTTATTTTTCTTGTAATCTGGACTGTTAACAGCAGGTTGTTCTCAATTGGCTATAATAAATCGACGTTCAAAGGAACCTGGTCCAAGGTAACATTCAATCTCATAATTTCGTAGCCAGTTTTGTTGAGCCCAGTGAGGACCTCATTTTTTACAATACATCTAAGAACGCTAGACGATCGAACATGCTCCTATGTAAAGGAGTATGTTCTATGTAATCTTTTTCATATTCTCTTTTATACAATGAAAATTCCGTAGAGTCCTCAAAAAAAGCCAATCAGAAAATCCGGATGGTTTCTGGGAAGCTATAGATCTGACATTATATATTTACATTGCATCTTTGAGGCTATTACTCCAAATTTAAGCCCTTTTACCAGTATGATTTAGCGTTCCATGACTCCAAAAACTCCCCCAGATTTTATGACATTTCTTTTTGATTTCAATTAAAAACACTTTATTTTGGAGGCTGTAAATATATTTTTTTTATTTTAACTAATGATCATTGCTGTGTTACAATCATCTTTCTTTCTAATACCTATCATTCGATTCATTATGATGCTGAATGACATTTTCTAACATTTAAACCCCGGAAACTGTGGAGGCGGTCCTTTGTGAACAAGAAATAACAAAACCATTACCAATAACGCTCTCTTCTCATATGGCGTTCAAAGAGAAACGTCCATTGTATTATAATGAATCAGGCCATAAGAAAAAATCATTCCTCAATTTCGCAATCAATTGCGAAATTTATTTGAAAATTTTGGGCTATAAAAGTGTTGGATTCCGGAACAGACGCACGCATTCTAATTAAAATTTCATGATCAGCGAGTTTATTATATTACTTCTACTTGTGTTTCTTCCTGTTTTTGTCTTCAAACGTCTTGGAAATTTGCATATTACCTTCGATTTAAAGAAAAAATATGATGAATTTGTAAGTTTAAGCTGATAGATCGCCTTTTATTGTCATACATTTATAATTTTATATTTTCGAAATTTTATGATCGTTTTGTGTTTAGAAAAGAGGAAAAAATGGAATAAAACTTGGACTTCTCACTTCCAACGCCTGGCCAAATGATCGTCAACTTCAAATCAAAGTCGTCGCCTGTTTTGGCCTTATGGTCTTTAGCAGGATCATGAACATCTACATTCCGCTATGCGGAAGGTGGATGGGTAAGCTTCTTTTCAAATTTCATTATTCAAAGCTTAGTTTGGCGCCTCAGATTTTACTATTTAAAACTCGGCACAATCCTATGTCAAAATTTAGTGAAGCATTTGCGATATTTTGAGCTCGCGCAATGTAGAAGCCATCAAGATTCTTAGGCTGTGAATTGGGGAGAATTAGTTATTTTTTTGCCCTGTTGGTCAAAAAAGTTTTCGCCTCATTTTTACCGTCAGGAGACGTTCAGATTTTTGATAGAATTTGGCAAAAACTTATATCAATTTTTGCTAAAACATACAGTGGGGGACTTGTTCCAGTGGCAAAAACGCGCCCTTCAAAACAAAGTTTTTTCAATTGAAGAGGGAAGCATTTTGCCACATTTTTGATACTTCCCGGACCCTAAATACTTCGTTTTTGCCGCCGAATCAGGTCCCCTGCTGTAAGCGGGATTTCAAACAATGTAATAAGCTCTGCAGAAACGCTATCCCTTCACCTTATTTTTTCAGTTGATGATTTGACCTCCCACAACAAGGGCTTTGTCTGGGACATGATCTCAATGTCATTTGGATTCCTCTGTCTTCAAGGTGGCGTCTACATCGACACAATTATCTCAACTCTAGAAACCCGGCTTCGATCGTCCGTTAAAAAAGAAATGAAATTGAAAATCAACTCGGATATTTACAACCGAACTCTTCATTTGCCATACTCGTACTACACCAAAAAAGGGAATGATTACGTCTTCAATATTATGACCAAAGGTGTCGAGGCGGCTACGGAGTTCCCTGAGTACATTGTGTTCGAATTGATCCCGGTCCTAGTGGATCTGCTCGCCGCGTTTTACTTCTTTTCCGGCTCGATTGACCCGGTTTTTGCGGGTGTTATGTTGGTCATCGCCACAATCGACCTTGGTAAGTTATTGAGGTTCAAGAATGTGTGTAATAAGTCTAATAGCCTTTCTCACAACAGTCTTGAATGAGTATTCTTTCAGGAATTAGTCGTTTCGCTGTTCACTGGACTTCACAAAGACTGGGTTACGGATTGTCATTCTTCCGTGATGAGCTTTCCGTAAAATCCATGGGCGTTTATTCGGCGGAGAATTTCGAGAACATCAAATATTTTGGAAACGAAGAATACGAACTTCAAATCCATAATCAAATTGTTGAAAGGTAAGTGTCATAAAAGCTTAAAAAAGTTTAATTAATAACAATATTTCCAGAGAGATCGAACGAGACCGAGATGACAAAATCACAGGCGGCTCTTCCAGACTCATCACTTCATTGCTCAGAGACTGCATTAAGCTGGTGGGCACCTTCTTCATCGCCCTGCAACGATCATCCAACGACTCGAAGCTCTCGACTGGCGATTATTTGTTGTTTACCCATTATCTCCAAAAATTTACTAATCCCATTGCAACCGTTCAAGGGGTTTCCGGACAAATGAGGAGATTCTTCTTAGACGTTGAGCCATTATATCGGCTACACAAAGCTCCAACCGAATTAGTCGAAGCTGCGGATGAAAATAACAATGAGATGGAAATTTCCGGAGATTTAAGGATTGAGCATGTGTCCTTCAGCTACCCAAAAAGTAACCTCGTTTTGGACGACGTCAGCTTCGAGGTTCCGGAAGGAAAGACAATTGCTTTGGTGGGACCTTCGGGGAGTGGGAAATCAACATTGATTCGATTGATGTTCAAACTTTTGGAGCCAAGTGAAGGTAAGCGAATCGCGAGAGAGTATGCAAAACGCGGAGAGCGGTCAGAGAGAAAAACAGTTTATATTTATTTTATTTCTCTCAAATTTTATAAAAATCTGAGCGTTCACTTGTAGTAAATACTTCCCACGTTAGATATGATATTAAAAGATATTGTTAGACTCATAAAAAGCAGGCCAAAGTTTCAAGGATACTTTTTGATGTCTTTTTGAGTTGTCAGGGGTCATTTGTTCTCCCTGTAAACCTGAAAGTTCTTTCAGCCTCTTCGAAGATTGATATTAAAGTTTTTCCTTAATTAAGTTATATTTTTATTGACCATCTACTAATTTTCAGGCTCCATCCTCCTCAACAACGTCAACATCAACCAACTCGACGTCAAGAAGTATCGCAGAGCAATTAGCATCGTTCCCCAGGACTGCACTCTTCTCTACACTTCAGTGAGGACCAATATTCAATATGGACGACTCTCGGCCGACGACGAAGCCGTCAACAAAGCCGCGAGTCTAGCGCAGATCGGCAAGGTTCTCCGTCGAGAAGACAAAGAGGAAAAAAGAAGACTAGCGAAGAGAGGGCAAAAAGAAAAAGAGCAAACCGCTCAGCGAAATAAATGGCACTTCTTTTACGATGACTATGACGCCTATAATGAAAGTTATGATTTCCTTGACGAGGAGGAGGACGAGAGGATGGCAAAAATTCACAAGATGAGCGGAGGGGAAAAACAAAGAGTTGCGATCGCGAGAGCAATCTTGAAAAACCCGAAATATCTGCTCTTGGATGAGGTATGTTTTTATTTTTCATTTTTTAGTGTTCCTCGTAAGCTCTTACAATCGTTATTTCAGGCCACATCGTCACTCGATTCGGTAACGGAACGCCAAATTCAAAAAGCATTGCTAGAGGTGGCCAAGGGCAAAACATGCGTCATCGTCGCCCATCGACTTTCCACGATTGCCCATGCCGACAATATCATCGTTTTAAAAAATGGGAAAGTCGTGGAACAGGGAACGTAAGGATTTTTAATCCACTTTTTTAAAATATGTTGTTTCTATGACTTTTAAATCCAGTAAAAAGTACATAAACAAAAATGCTTTCAGCCACCAAAATCTACTGGCTAAAGACGGGTTGTACGCGGAGATGTGGAATCTTCAACAAGGAAGCGATCTCAAATAATCAGCAACCAAGTGATCTGATCAAGAGGTGAAAGCATTATCAAAAAAAGTACCGGTGCAGTGTTATATAAGCATTCCAAAATTGTATTTTTTGTATTTTAATATTATTCCGGGCGTTAGCCTTATGCTGACTGTTACTCTATGTGTATATGTATATACCTAATAATCGTACAGAAAATTTTAAAAATAAAAAAAAGTGTGTGCAAACCTCTCGGCTTTAATTTGTATAGCAATATAAGAAATTTAAGCAACCAGAAAATTTCACGATCCTGCGTCAAACGAACCGCGGGCAGCCGAGATTTACCGATTAGAATTACAAATTTTTCCATATTAATCTACGTACTATGATAGACATTTTGCATTGACAACTCCCTGGTACTGATAAGTACACGAGTCTACTGAATTCATCCACAGTTTTCGAAATTATTGGAGTTTTTTTTTAAAAAAAAAAGAAGTTTTCTGTACGTTTAAAAATGATTGATAAACCTTATGGTAAATAACTCTTTCAACCACTTATACACCTGTAAACTTAATTCGCAACTTCCAAGTGCCAACTCCATTGTTATAATTTCCTGTAGTAAGCCAATGTTGGCCGATTTCCAATCGTGTCCGCACAATCCCCGTGGTTCTTCTAGCTGCCCGCAAAGGGGTTGCCCTAAGAGTCGTGACGTCAAATGTCAAACAATAAAAGCATGAGACTGTCATTTCGCACAGGAAATGGAAGAAAATTATTGTACGACCAGTGCGGTGGCCACCATCACTCCGTAAATGCCACTTTGCTCATTGTAGAGGTCTCATGACGTTAACTACTCCCCTGCCACCCTGAGTTTACTGAATTTCCGGCAAAAATTCCAAAAGAATCATTATTTTTCAAGTTATGACTAATTGGATACTTTTTTTTTATAATCAAAACCGACGCTTCCTTTTGAAATCGAACGGAGGCAACATACATTGGTAATGAAATTTTAGACGCATTTTTTAACAAGCGGAACTCGCCATTCCCTGTCAGGTCCGCAGAAAAATGCTATGTTTTAGTCCTATCGTAACTTTTGTGGTGTCTTACCTGATTCCGAGATGGGTGATTAACTCAACAACGTATCATGACTTAAGAAAATACTGGGAATCTTTCGTAAGTCGTTCTGACGTTACAAAAATTTGTTTGAGGACAAAGAAAAAACCAAGGAGCGGTTAAAGTTGCTCTGTATGCATGTTTGGCCAGATGACAAAGCAATTCAACGAATCATGGCGCTTTCTTTCCTCTTGATGATTTTTTCTCGTGTCGTTAGATTCGTCGTGCCACTGTTTGGAAAGATGATTGGTCCGTTTTCTACAGATGTAAAATTGTTTTCTAAAGATGTACAATCAGCTATGCTAATTTAATTTCAGTTGACGAATTATCGGGAAAAAAGTATTTTTTCTGGGACACACTCTCCATATCGTTTGGATATCTTTGTCTACAAGGCGGAGAATATGTCAACTCATTCTTCGACAGCTTACAAAACCGCCTAAGTGCAGAGGTTGATGAGTATCGTTGGATGAAAGTTGACGCAGAAATATATGAACGTCTTTTGCATACTCCATATGCGAGATACGTGAAGAAATGGGGACCTTTAAACTCCTTTGTTCGGAACATGTGTTCAAATTCCATCAAACAATTTCCGAACTATGTAATGTTTGAGCTACTGCCCATTGTCATCGATCTGGCTACAGCGTTATTCTTTTTCTCCGGATCTATAGACTATGTTTATACCGGAATCATGATGGTTATTGCTTGTGCTGACATGAGTAAGTGGGATGTGCAAGGCACAATTGTAGCGGGGTTTCATCAAAAAATTTAACCGGGGTGTCAGCGAAAACTTTAACGCTGTTTCCAGACCTTACTAACGTCATGGACTACATTGATCCCCCATTCTATATGAGGCCCGACTACTACGACCGAGACGAAGAAGATGAAAGCGAAGAACATAACCTTGATATCTCACAGATAAACGAGTTTGAAACCGTTAAGTATTTCTGCAATGAAAAGGAGGAATTGCGAAAGTTCCGATTGAATAAAGCTAAGTGAGTCAAAACAGTATACACATTTAATGTATTATAACTATTAAGCGACAATATCACGTGCTATGCAAACTATTGGTTCTCAAACTCAATCAAAGACATGTTGCGAAATGGACTTATGATGATCGGCAGCGTCTTGATGGCCTATCGACGCCCCGCGGATTCAGAGATGACTGTTGGTGACTACATGCTGTTTGCACACTATTTCTACCGATTTACTTCACCGCTAAATACAATTAGTGAGATCGCACAAAGACTTCGCAGTTATTTTGATGATATGGATGTGATCTACGAGCTTTTTCATGATCGCACTGAAATCCCCAGCGAGAATTCAGAAAATGTCGAGATTTCTGGAGGAATTCGAATTCAGAATTTGTCGTTCTCGTATTCAGAAGACAATAAAATCTTGAAGAATGTGAGCTTCGATGTGCCGGAAGGAAAGACAGTCGCGTTGGTGGGGCCTTCTGGAAGTGGCAAGTCTACAATAATCCGTCTTCTGTATAGATTTTTGGACCCCGACCAGGGTATGTTGCAGTGTTATTCGTCAATATTTAGGCTTTTAGCCACTTTTAAGAGCAAAAATCTATCACGTGCACGTACAGAGACGGACCTGACCCAGTGGAAAAAGCACCATTTTGCATCCGGGAAGCATAAAAAATGTGGCAAAATGCTTCCCTCTCCAAGTGAAAAAAAAATCGCTTTGAAGGGCGCGCTTTCGAAACCGGAGTTTTTTCACTTGGAGAGGGAAACATTTTGCCATATTTTTGATACTTTCCGGATGCAAAATGGAACGTTTTTTGCCACTGGATCAGGTCCCCCACTGTAAATTCATGTCCGAAATGTTCTAGGGTCAATTTTTATTGGCGAAGCAGACCTCCAAGGTCTAGACATCTACAGTTACCGCAAAACGGTCAGTATTGTCCCTCAAGACTGCACCTTGCTCCAAGCAACTGTCCGTAAAAACATCGGATACGGCCGAATCTCAGCGACAGATGAGGAAATCGACAAAGCCGCAGCTTTGGCAAAAATCGACAACTTGCTTCAGCGCGACGACACGATCGAACAGAGAAAGATCCAAAAGAAAAAGTTGGAAAAAATGCAAAGCAAAGTCCGCAAACTCTTTGGATTCCCATATTACGAAGATCTCGACGATTATGCGGAGGAGGAAGAGGAGATGCAAATAAACAGAATGAGTGGAGGCGAGAGACAACGGGTAGCAATTGCAAGGGCACTATTGAAGGACCCGAAATACTTGTTTTTGGATGAGGTAGGCTTGCTTAGTTGCACTTTACACTTACAGTGGGGGGACCTGATCATTTTGTCAAAAATGTGGCAAAATGCTTCCTTCTCCAAGTGAAAAAACTCCGATTTCAAAAGCGCACCCGCTCTTTTTGTGAGGGAAAGGGCATGCCTTTCAAAACGAAGTTTTTTCACTTGGAGAGGGAAGCATTTTGCCAATTTTCGATGCTTCACAGATGCAAAATAGTACGTTTTTTGCCACTGGATCAGGTCCCCACTGTAGATTCCTTGTCGGTATAACAAAAACTTTCAGGCAACGTCCTCATTGGATACCATAACAGAGAAGCAAATTCAACATGCTTTGACCGACGCGGCAAATGGCAAAACCTGCATTATTGTCGCCCATCGGCTGTCAACCATTGCTCATGCCGACAACATTGTCGTACTAAAAGATGGGACGGTCGTCGAACAAGGAACGTAAGTTTTATTTTATAATTGGAGAAAAGCGACTTGCTTTTCAGTCACAATCAATTGCTGAAAATCCAAGGATTGTATTCAAAAATGTGGCATCTTCAACAAGGGGGTGATCTCAGTTGTGTAAACTTGGATTAGCCAGAGCAAATCATATGTTAATTACGGGTTTTATTAGAGCTTTGCGGCAGTTTTAAATTAAAGCAGTCTTGACAATAAAATGTTTATTAAACAATTGCATGTTATTGATCCTGACTCCAGTCTTTGATATCATTAATGAAACTAAAAACAGCTCGTTTGACTTGTTTTGGTTTCCACATTGGAGACATATGTCCACAGCCAGCAATAGTCGTGTAAATCAAGTTGCCATCATAGACTGTTTTGGTCCCCGCAAAAGTCTGATCGACATACCAAACAGTGGACCGTGGGTTCTTGCCAATCTTTCTTGTGAACAAATCTCCCGTGATATGGTCGCACACAATATCTAAATTCCATTGATAGTTGAAGAATACAGAATTTTTAGTTTCAAAAAAAGTTCTAAATGATCATCATATGCGTCTTACCGGACTCTCCATAGAAATACAGGAATTTTATCCCTTTGTTCAGAAGCTTTCGGACATACGGTTCCATGTCAACGCACATTTTGTACCGACCGTAAATACGGTAGCTAAAAACCAAGTTTCATTTTTCTCCTCGACTCACTTCATGTCCCTCCATACTTTTTGATCAAAATGCAACGCTTTCTGGACAATCGGCATGTTCAAGTACCTTGTCAACGCCACATTTCCAACACTTCGCCGATAAAGATCGTACAAGTTGATACGGCCTTGCACACTGGAGTTATACTGCTCGGCAAAACGCTCTTTATTTTTGATCGTGTCGTTTGCTGTAAAAACCTTCTCTTCTAACCCACAGTAATTTTCAAGCCCTCCTTTGCAGTCCTTGTTGAATTGAATCAAACGTTCGACTGAGTCCGCACCATGCCCCACAAAAACAAGATCAGAGAACTTGTACATCCAGTAAAATTTTGTTACAGGATTGGCCAGGATCACACCCTAAACAATGGAGTTGCTTCAAAAAGGAAAAGAGGCCGTTTCTTGGAACTGCAGGAGGCCGTCGCGACACTTTGCGGGCAGCCGACGTTTTTTGATTAGAATTACGATTTCCCCTACGTAATCTACGTAGTATGATAGAAATTTTACATTGGCTACTTCCCGGTACTGGTAGGTACACGAGTCTCTTGAATTCATCTACTGCTTTCAAAGTTATGGCAGTTTGTTTTCAAAAAATGGATGGATAAGCTTATGGTAACTATTCAAGCCATTTATACACCTAGAAACATAATCCGCAACATCTAGCTGCCAAGTTCATCGTTTGAATTTCCGGCTGTAAGCAAACTGTTGACTGACTTCAAAACATGCCTGCAGAATCTCCGTGATTCTTCAAGCTGCCCGCAAGTGTGGGCCGCCCCGAAAGAGCGTTATTTACTTTGAAATTCACTTCCAATCCCTCTTTGTGATCCACAATGTCGCTAGCTAGCGTCGGCAAAAAACAGCCGGCATAGCTCTCACCGGTCAAGTAGAAATCTCGTCCTCGATATTCCGGATATTCTTTTATGAAAGATTTTAGGAATGCAAGGTTGTCAACAGCGGTCTGAAAGTGATCTTATATGTTCGCTTCAATAAAAAAAATCACCGTGTTGTCATTGAGTTCGTAACCATCTAAATTGTCGTTGACCGAGAAGCCGACTCCAGCGGGGGTTTCCAGATATAAAACGTTGGCAAACTGAAGCCGTGAATTCAACGTGTCATAGACTCACTGTGTTCCAAGCATACTCGTTTTTCGTCAATTTGATTGAAGCATCTGAGCCTTCGTCAAATCGGAATGGACCGTGCTCCATGAGCAATCCAAAGAAAGAAGATGAACCCGGACCTCCATTTACCCTAAAATTTCGTGACGAAGATTCGATACATGCTGCTACAAAAACAAAGGAGTTTTTTGGCCTACCATAGCAGCAATGGGTCCTTGTCTTTATTGTTTTGCGATTCTAACAGCCTGAAGCAATAAACTCTGTATTTTAAAGAACCGAATCCTACCAATAAGACAATTTCCTGGTCTTTGAAACGTTCAGATAGCCAGCGTAGTGTTTGAAATTAAGCTGATGATCCAAATAAGGCAACTTTTTTATTTCATGGTAATACCGAACGCCTGCAGCTGACAAATCACAAATAAGGCAGTATATTATTACTAAAAAAGGAAGCATCACACAAATTTGAAATTACTTTTCGTATTGAATGCGCTCTGATATGTATCACTCAGGTCTTATGCAAGAGATAAGAACGCTGTTTTTGTTCCGGAATGAAGGGGGAGGCTGATAAAAGTTCTTGCATATAAATGTACGCAGTTCAGCCTCTCTGCAAAAAAATCCTGCACATGCAACCTGCATAAAACGAACACTTCCGAACGTCTCAAGAGCCCATTTAAGGTCACAATGGACATCTGTGCAATGAAACCTTATATGATGAACAATTTTGTTGATTTCTTACGATTCGTTGTACAGAGGTTTGGCTCTAATTGTAAAAAGACTTCAAAGTATAGTTAAATTGCCTTTGCAATGAGAAATATTACATTTTGTGAAAAGTATATAATTCATTACATTGCTTATCTTACATTTAATTTATTTTGTTGATATAATATGTATATCCACTTATAGCATCACTGCAGTTTGGAAATTCTTGTAGAAACGTGCAATAAGTTTAAAAAAAAGTACAAGTATCCATGGAGATTTTTATCACCAGTTGTTTCGAGGATCTGTTAAAACGTTTCTTTGAAGTGTTTTCAATTTATAAAACACCCACAAGAGGATTGTAACCTTACAAATCATTAGGCCTGCCAGCAATGGTGCTGTCACGATTAAGATCGTGAAGAATTTCATTTCCTTGAATAATTAAGCGACAAGGATCATTAAACTAAAAATAGTAATCATCCTACTGAAAGGCCATTAAATGATTCAGAAACAATCCCGGTGCTCTTGCAATTTTCAAAACCCTCGAGATTATTTGGCAAACAAAGAATATGCTCTACCATTACAAATGGATCAACTCCTGTTATCGTTTCAAAACGAGACCCTACAAGCTTCAATTCAACAAAACATTGGATTATTGCTGCACATTGGAATGAAGGATGTAAAGGTAACTCATCGAATTCACAACACAGGCTGTACCGGAAAAATTGAGCAAGAATTGACAGGGTGTCACTCATGCCATCAAGCAGCACAGTTAACTCTCAACTGTCATTCAACGAGATTCACTACAGGTATGCTGCGATGTGGTACCGAAGACTACACATTGGCCAAAAGGCCAAAAGGACTAACAAACCTAATAATCATTTCTACGACAAATCCTCATTACAAAGAACGATGTTCACTTATTTGCCCCGCATCACAGCAAAGTATAGAAGTATCCGGAGAACTCAAAACCATTGAAGATACTTTTGGGAAAGCTTGGGATCATTCTTCAATCTGGTCAAAACCTGCTTCTTCAGTTCCAGTGCTCGATATTATCGCAGAATTACCGCAATGGTTAATGGGGCAGGTAAATTCATTTATCAAGTCTATATTCCTAAATCCTTGGGTTATCATTTTATTGGTAACAGCCCTTGGTTTTTTCTACATTTTCTTTCTACGAACTACAACCACCATCATTACTCCAATGACTGCGTATCGAAGACGGACAAACAAGATTTCTACAAAAACTGTTTAAGCGACTTATTGTAGTTTGTTTATCCTTTATTTTATTCTATATTTGTATTTTATTTTGTACAGTATGAAGAGTTCAAAGCTAAATTTTAATGACTCCTTTTCCCACCAATAAAAATGTTAATCAGAAGACCTTTCAAATAACCAATAAAAGACGACAAATTCGACACTTCAACACTTAATTATCTTCAAAATTAAAAAGATATGTAAAACTGAACGCCAAAATCCAGGACATATTGCATTCTTATGATAATAAAGAAGATACTCCGCCCCAAATCTATCCAAAAAGCATACTACAAATACTTCGGCATCGATCAAGCCTCACCAGCCAACTATCACCAACCCCACCATCAGCATGTCAGCCGTCGCCGGAAACCACCAAGTCAATGGAAAGCCCGAAGATATCCAGAAAAAGTGCCTCTTCTGCTCCAGCCGTCAACATCACTCATGGGAGTGTTTCCGGTACGAAACCCCATATCAGAAGTTTAGCAGGGTCCAGATTCTCGGACTCTGCTTCAGACCACATTTGGCAAGAGATTGCCCAAAACCACACCAAATGTCAGAGATGCCCGACCCGGGCCCACCATATCCTCCTCTGTCCGCGTCTAACGGAGGATGAGCAGGCCAGTCTACGAGAAACCTTCAACAGACTTCTCCAAGAACGCTACCATTAAAAAACTTCGTCATATCTCTTGTTATGTCCCGGTAAGATAAGATAATAAATAAACTTATCTAATAATAAAAAAGTTATCTAACAACACTCGGCCGATTTGACACATATTCGGCCGGGAATGTCACGATTAAGATCGTGAAGAATTTCATTTCCTTGAATAATTAGGCGACAAGGATCATTAAACTAAAAATAGTAATCATCTTACTGAAAGGCCATTAAATGATTCAGAAACAATACAAATTTATGGAAAAGCAATTAAATTATCATAATGTCTTATACTATAAAATGGCAAGGGAAGAAGGATCGAGGAGGTTCACTTGGCACGTTAGGAAGTTCACTTGGCACGTTAGAGAGGTTCAATTTGGCACACTAAGAGGAGGAAGGTCGGTCAGAATCCTATCCATATTATTCACTATTATTACGTTGTCGTCATTTACTTTGTGTTACATCAATAAATATATATAATATATATTTCGGTTTCTGTTGCTTATTTAGGACAGGTGCTCCCGATGCTTGAAAACTTTCCGCAAGGTATTTTTTTTCTCCCATCTCAAATTTGAAACAGAGCACTCATTTCATAACTGGTATGTATTTTCTACAGTCAGTCGTCATGAAATCTTAATAAAATTTTCGGCAGATGACTCATTGCTAACAACCACACTGGACATTCGTTTGTAGGATAGGTCTTTTGCGGAACATCAAAACAAAAAAGCGTTCCGCCTACAATTTCGAAACCAAAAACCCCTTCGAGGGAAAAGAGCCCGGAGGAATTCACTTTAGTTGTCAAGCGGGTCTTGCATCATGTTGCTCACACTGGCCCTGACCACTTTTGTGGTCGGGGCTTCTTATGCCTTTATTCGATATAACGATGTGCCTAGCAAATTCTTCGCGTACAAAAAGAATGTCATGGAATTTGTAAGTTAATATTTCTTTTCTTCCAACAACATAGTTTTTTTAGCTAAAATTTCTATTACTGGGTTTTTTTCAGGACTACGCAGGCTATTGCCGTAAATTAAAATATCTTTTCCAATATATGTGGCCACAAGACAACCGAGTTCGACTCAAAGTTGTGGCTTGTTTTGTATTGATGATGATTGAGCGAATTTTAAATGTGCTCGTCCCACTTCTTGGAAAAATGATAAGTCAGTAATAATTAGCTCTCAAAAGTATATTTGCGATTTTCCCACAGAATATTTGAGAAATCTAAATACTAATTAAATTGCTTTTTAGTCGATCAACAGCCCCAAAATTCGCATTTTCTTTGGGACTTGGCATCGATGACATTTGGATACCTCTGCTTGCAAGGAAATGGATGTAAGCTTTATTCTTCACCTATACTGGTCAAAAATTTTTCCCACCTGAAACGAAATCCTTTGGCCGAGGATCTTGAAACAAACTTTCTGATTCGTTTGAACACCATACCCTAAAAATCGCCTCGGCGACCTACATGACCTAAAATAGATCATTTTTTGGTCAGATAGGGGGAAGAAGGCAATTTTTCGAAAATCAGATGCCTGCATTGACTTCACGTTTTGCAGGAACCATGTTTTTAAGCACATTGTCTTTACTCTAGAAGTTTCAGACGTCGTCCAAGTCTTCAGCGGCCTCCAGAGAACCATTTATAACTCCGTCAGAAATTTTATGTCCTCTCAAATCAAAGTCGACATCTACAAGCATCTCCTCCGTATGCCGTATTCATGGTACATGAAGTCAAAAGACGAAGATCCAGTTAGCATTTTCTATGCAAGTGTCGGTCGATTCGAACATTTCCCAGAATATATACTTTTTAACCTCACCGGCTCAATCGCAGATGCTTTCCTCGGATTTGCCGTTTTCGCGTCCACTTTTGACTTCCAATTGACAGTGATGATGTCTGCAATAGCCATTGCCTATTTCGGTAAGACGGGTTTTGAGCTCGTCATGTCGATAACCATCTTTTTAGTCTTCAACCGTTACATTTACTTCTGGGGCCAGGTTTCATTCGAAGCCAAAGACGATGAGGATGAAGATACAGATGAGGAGCTAAACTCTTATGTTTTGTGTCAGGATGCTCTTGAAAACTTCGAAACTGTGAAATACTTCTGTGCCGAAGACATGGAACAAGAACGATTTGAGAGGGCCATAAAACAGTGAGTTTTTTATGGTCATCAAACTTCCGTAAACCGAATCCCCTATCTGATGCAAGCCTTTTCCTTTTTAGAGAAGATACTGGCTATCTAAAGACACAAGGCTTCGACGAGTTCAGATCCACATTCATCCAACTATTCAACGACTCTTTGATGATGCTTGGCGCGTTCTTGATGGCCTATCAACGGTCTTACGACGAGAATTCGACCCTCACAACAGGAGACTATGTTCTTTTTACTTCATTCTTCCACAAATTCACACAGCCCTTCTACGATATCGATAATTTTATCAACCAACTCAGAGCTTCTGCAGGGGAAGCTGATGCGGTTATAGAACTTCTGGCTCAACCTGAGGAAAACTTTGGCTCCAAATTGAAGAATGTCAAAATTTATGGCGGACTGAAGGTAGACAACGTCTGTTTTTCCTATCCAGAAGGGGAGGAAGTTTTGCACAAAGTAAGCTTCGAAGTGCCGGAGGGCAAAACAGTGGCTTTGGTAGGACCGACAGGAAGTGGAAAGTCGACACTGATTCGGCTATTATATCGGTTTCTGGAGCCAACCGAGGGAGCTATTCGGATCAACGGCACGGATATCAGAGACCACGACATCTATGATTACCGGAGACAAATTGGGGTGGTTCCACAAGAGTGTATCCTCTTCGACCGATCGATCAAATACAATCTCAGCTACGCCAATTTAGAGGCGACCGAAGACGAGATTGAACATGCGACGAAGGCCGCACAAATCGATAAAATGATCGAAAAGAAGCCAAAAAAATTGAAGACCAATGTTGGCTACAGGGGAGCCAACTTGAGCGGCGGAGAGAAACAGAGAATGGCCATTGCCAGGACGATTCTGAAGAAGACCAAGTATCTGTTGATGGACGAGGTAAGAGAAAGATCAAAATCTAGGACATGCAAACTTTTCATGGATGAGGTAGGGACTTAGAGGACCGTTTTGTGACAGTGGTAGCCAAATCTTGGTTGGTTTTTCTTAGGCTGTAGAGCTAATATGGACTATAAACTTTTTCAATTTCAGGCCACTTCCTCGCTGGATACCGTAACCGAACGCCAAATCCAAAAAGCCTTCGCCGATCTAGCAAAAGACAGGACTTGTGTCATTGTCGCTCATCGTCTCTCCACCATCGTCCATGCCGATAATATTGTCGTTCTCCAAGACGGACGGGTATTAGAACAAGGAAATCACAAACAATTGCTGGAAAACAACGAGTTGTATGCTAAAATGTGGAACCTTCAGCTTGGAGGCGATTTTGACCTGTAATTCGGTCGTTGTTATTGTTATTTGTTTGTACAGTTGTTGAGTTTGAAAACTTTATTGTTGTTGTTATTACGTGTTATAAGTTATTTTACGTCAAAATAAATAATTTTTAATACCATCTTTGTTGGAATTGGTTGAAAACTTTCTAAAATTCCAAAACAAGCAAAAAAATCACGCAAAATCATAGAATTCCGCAAAAACTTCACAAAAAATGGTGAATTTATCCAAAATATACCTAAAATACGACCATTCTGTTGAATTATAGTAAAAATAACGACGCGAATACCTAAAATACATAAGAAAGCCTCTGAAAACAAGTTTCCTAACGCGTTGCGAATAAATTGCACAATGCTATTGGTATTCCTTATTTTCGTTGCGGGACGCAGTACGATTGCTGGTGTGGTTGCGATATTTCGCACGAAATCGACTCAAACTTGCACAGTGCAATGGATTGAACTCCGTAAAAGGCTTTCTAATCAGCAAAAAGGCTAGTGGAAGGACTAGAAAATACAAAACAATTATCATTTATGTTCCGGCTGGTGTCACTGGCCATAAAATTACTCATTCTTTGTTTGTTTGCGAAATCTGAACCGCATTTTGTAGTTTTATTTCTTTTCCACTCCTCAAAAAAAAACTCAAAAAAGAAGGTTTTTCGTTCCATTTGGGTGGACTTTGATGTCTTGTTGAATGACTCATCTTCTGACTATATTTTATCTCACACTGCTATCATGGTACAGTTTGAGGGCTTGAGAAGACAACAAACTAAGCCACGCCCACTTTGTTCTCAAGATTTCGCAAGAAAAGGGCGAAAACTCGGAATAAAGAGCATTTCACTCCGAAAATTGTTGTTTTAGACAATTGTTCGTTGTGACTCATGTTGTTTAGTATTGTTGTTGGCTTTACTGTGATCTATGCTACTTATTATATTCGTAAATACATTAAATTAACCTATGTTGATAATATTTTTAATGTTTGCAAGCAAAAAGTCGTCGATTTCGTAAGTTTACATCATATTTTTGTTGTCTTTAGGGTTTTTTGCGGGGAAAGGGAGTAAAAGAAGGAGTTTTTGAATAGGTCGGATTAAAATCCGTGAACAATTTTCAATTTTTTCGAGATTTGAAATATTTTATACCTAAAATAAGTTGTTTTGGACGCCACAAGTTCATTTGAAGTGGCTTGGCCTGAATTTTTGTGTATTGAACTTTATTTTATTGCGATTTTTTATTTTAGAGCTTTTAAAGGGTTTCCCATTTCTTTACAGGTTCTCTAGCCGTTTTTTACCCATTATCATGGGTAATATAAATTTGCTACGTGCTTAGTTTCTTGTCTAAGATTAAGTTTTATACCGTTTTTGTCCTAAATAAGGTGTTTTTATACTTTATTTTAATAAGACTCCTGTAACAGATTGTATTTTAGGATTATGCCGGCACCTGGTACAAAACCAAATTTCTCTGTAGATACATGTGGCCGGATGACAGGATAATACAAATAAAAACTGTGGTCTGCTTTGCTCTCTTGATTACTGGTAATGTCATGAATATGGTGGTACCGTTATTTGGAAAATGGATGGGTAAGTTTCAAGTATAATATAAATTTTTCGTCTTTAGTTGACAAGTTGTCGACTGAGAAGCATTTTGTGACGGACGTCCTCTCCATGACATTTGGCTTCCTTTGTCTGCAAGGAAATGCATGTAAGTCTGCATTTTCTTCTTTTTTTGGATTTTAGGTAACAATTTGACTCCAGTAAACGATTTTCTGCGAAATGACCGCTGTATGTCTTTTCAGACTTTAATCGTGCCCTATCTGATGTCCGCTCAATGATTCACACCTCCGTCCGACAGTATACCGAAGCCCGGGTTAAGGTTGATATCTATAGTCATCTTTTACACATGCCTTACACCTGGTATACGGAACAGAATGGTCGGATGGACTCGAGTGATTACTTTCATCAGAGCGCTTATACGTTCCAGAGCTTTCCGGATCTCCTGGTTTTCAGTTTGCTCCCAGCATTTGTCGATGTTTTTATCGCGACCACGTTTTTTGTGCACACTTTTGATCTGCAACTCACGTTGATGGTGGGAACGGTGGCGTTTCTTTACTATGGTAAGAGACCAGTTTGAATTGATATTATCTGTTTTTTCTCGCAAATTTTATGTCTTGCTCGAACATAATTGTGCGATTTATGTTCGAATAAATAATTTTTCTTCAGCGTCTACTAAATGGATGGATTATTTGATCAGTCGATATGATAATGAGTTCAATGATGACATCGATTATTATGGAATGTCTTGTGAAGCCCTCAAGAACTTCGAGACCGTGAAGTACTTTTGCAATGAGAAATTGGAGCTGAACAACTTCCGGAAGGCAATAGCGAAGTGAGTTTTTTAAAATTTTTCGTTGATTTTTAGGAAGCATGAGGTCGAAAAGAAGCAGCAGAACTCATGTCAAATCAATTTGTCGGTCCGCAGCCTACTCACCGACGGCCTGTTGATGCTGGGGACCTTTTTGATGGCCTATCGTCGTGCCGTTGACTCGACAGAACTCACCGCTGGCGATTATGTCCTCTTCACCAATTTCTTTTACCAGTTCACCGAGCCTATGTGGTCTCTAGAAGGGGCCATCGAGCAGATTAAGTATGCTTTGGAGCAAGCTGGACCACTAATTAAACTTTTTGACACCCCTTTGGAAGGGGAGGGTGGAACTTTGAAGGGGGTTGAGATCAGCGGCGGATTGAAGCTGGATAATGTCAGCTTCAGCTATGTGGAAGGCAGTGAGGTGCTCCATAATGTGACGTTTGAAGTGCCTGAGGGGAAGACAGTGGCGTTGGTGGGACCAACTGGAAGTGGAAAGTCGACGGTTGTTAGGTTGTTGTATCGATTTTTGGAACCGACTGAAGGTAAGAAGCGGTGTTATAAGATAACAATTGTTGTTTTTTTTAATTGCACGGCATAAATAGGCGGGAAAATGACAAATAATCAATTGTTTTATAAAAATGTCTGGTGTAATATAGATTTTTTGTTGTTTGTCTCACCGGGGAAGTACTCCAAGTACGACGCTCAGATTTTCATTAAATTTTGCACACACGTCGGGTATGGACTAAATATCAATTCCTGAAAGTTTTAGCTCGCGCTTTGCGGGCGCCGCCGAGATATCGAACGATTTTTGCCCCCGAGATAGCACGCTAAACGTGGAGAGCGGTCAGAGAGAAAAACGCTTTTTGGCCATAACTTTGGCAGTTTCGTGCGGAAAAATTTTATTTTTTGTAGAAACATTATCCTTTACGGTTGAAATAGGCATGAAACTTTTCGTGCCGAAATTCGGCAAAAAGTCCTAAATTTTCGCCGACTTTCGATCTAAAAATCTCGGTTGTTTCTGCAAAGCGCGAGCTAGGATTCTCGCATATATCTTAGAAAAAATTATTCTAAATTTGTGCCAAGTTTCACCAAAATCTGAGCGTCGCACTTGGGGACGACTTCCCCTGTCAGATTTTTTTTTGAATTATTGACTTTCGATAGCTCTAAAAGGACGTAAAATGAATTTTGACTTGTTTCCAGGCGCCATTCTCATCTCTGACACCAACATCAAACAGTATGACATCTACGAATACCGAAGGCAAATTGGAGTAGTCCCGCAAGACTGCGCGCTCTTCAATAAATCCATCCAGTACAATCTAAACTATGCCAATTGGGATGCGGATGAAGAGGAGATTGAAAAAGCCACCAGAGCTGCGCAAATTCACAGAATGATTGAGAAAAAACCGGAGAAATTGAAGGAAAAGGTCGGAGAAAGAGGAATGAAGCTGAGTGGAGGAGAGAAACAGAGAATGGCTATTGCCAGGACCATTCTGAAGAACCCAAAGTACTTGTTTATGGATGAGGTAAGGGCGTTTCGAGATTTGAGACAGGTATTTTTGGACGACTTGTGGGGGTTTACATTATTCGTGATGATTTCTGGGGTTGCTAAAAATAAGTGAGAACAAAACATACAGTTGTTTTTGTGCTTTATGACTGTTCTAAAGACCTTTTGTTTATTTTTGTCGAGAAACTTTATGCTCTTTGACGAATTTTATGGTTTTAAAAAAACTTGTTTTGATGGCTTTGTTTTACAAGGAAAATACTTATACGGGGTATGGAGTTACAGATCGAGACATACAAAAAATCGCAAATTTTTTTTGATTCAGAATATATAAAAGTTAGCTGCCTAATTTTGGTTTGTAAGGGTGAAAAAATCATCAGAACTTTTCCCGCGACAGCGCGCTGCAGCGTGAATGCCTTTTTGACCAAATTTTTACTAAATCAAAAGGTTTGTTTTGAGCTAAAGCAAACCCTGGCATCTTGACAAGCTCTAAATATCAAATTTAATTAATGTTACACCTTAATTAGTAGCTCCAATGTAAAAAACGGGCATTTGTCTGGTGTTGCGAGAAAAGTTCTGAGGATTCTTCACTCTTAGGCAGCTAACTTTTACATATTTTGAATCAGAAAGAATTTGCGATTTTTTGATATATGTCTCGATCTGTAACTCCATACCCCAAAGAAGTACTTTCCTTGTTAATTTTTTGTTAATTTCAGGCCACCTCCTCGCTAGACACGATCACTGAACGGCAAATTCAAAAAGCTCTGACCGACCTCACCAAGAATAAAACTTGTGTCATCGTCGCTCATCGTCTCTCCACCATTGTCCATGCTGATAATATTGTTGTCCTCAAAGATGGACGGGTATTAGAACAAGGAAATCACAAAAAATTACTGGAAAACAACGGGTTGTATGCTAAGATGTGGAATCTCCAACTTGGAGGCGATTTCGACTTGTAATTTTTGAGTTTTTTTTTGTTTGTTGTTGTTAATCTATTGTAATTTATTGTTGAATTTGTAAATATTTTGTTGTAAATAAAGTTGTTGTTGTTTTGGAGTTGATTTTAAGGTCGAAGAAGTTGATTGACTTCGAGGTTTACTTGATTTGAATATTTTTTAAAAAATAATTTTTATTTTATATTAGGGGTAATTTCCGCATGCTTTTTGGCATTTTTGTGGCTGGCCTGGTCGCTCTTTTCACTTATTTATTTTGGATCAGGAGCGGATATGGGAGACGTTTTGACCTTTGGAAACAGGAAGTTGTGGAATATGTGGGTTTTAAATTTTTTTTTTCTTGATTTAGGGGGCTTTTGGTGATTCTAGAGAGAAAAAAGTCGATTTTCAGAAAAAAGTATTAATTGTAAAAATTTAACTCTTATATTATCTACCTAGGTATATTTTTGAGATTTTTAATCACCAAAAAGTTATTGTCGCACCATTTTCTAGACAATTTTTATGAAAAAAATAATTTGATATCCAAAAATAAAATTTGCTCTTATTTTCAGGACTATGCCCGCCTCCGGAAAAAGCTCAAGATCCTCTGCAGATACATCTGGCCGAATGAAACCAATGTTCAAATAAAAGCGGTAATCTGCCTTATTCTCATCGCCACCGGCCGCATTTTCAATTTGGTCTTCCCTTGGCTCGCGAAATATGCTGGTCAGATTTTTGAAATCATAATAGATGGATTTTGAGTGTATTTTTTTCATTATATTTTTGAGCATTTTCAGTCGACGAAATGACCCATGAGAAGCACTTATTTTGGGACTTGGTCGCGATGACTTTGGGCTTCTTTTGCCTTCAGGGCAATGGATGTGAGTTGAATTTTTAGGGGGTTTGTGGACTTTCAAATTCACGCAGTCAGTTATTTTTTACTCAGGATCAGTTTCATTACTATTTTTTTTTGTTTCGGCCTGGCTTTTAAAAATTTAACAAAATGTCACAAATTTTTTATTGGAAAATTTTAAATGGATTTGGTTTGAGTTTTCATGGTGTCTGGGGAGTCTCAGGTGCAATGGAACAGTAATTTTATACCCAGGAATTGGATTTTACAGTCTGAAATGGGTTTTAAAAAATTGACGAAATGTCACAAATTCTACTAGTCCTTCCGGAAAGTCGCCGGACGGAAATCAGCGACATGCACTCCGCGAAATCGAAAGTTCACTTTGCACTGTGCAATTTTTGGCTTTTTGCACTGTGCAATAAGCTTTTTCGAGCTGTCGCTCGCACCCTGAGTTTTTTCCCACAGTGCATGTCGCCGATTTCCGTCCGGCGACTTTCCGGAAGGACTAGTATCGGATTTTTTTTTAGTTTTTGAAACGGTTGAAATTTTGACTGTTATGGTAAAATACGTCGTTGGCTTTCCCTATTTGTTCTAATTTTGCGACAGAAAGTTGATTTTTTGCACTTTTACGAGAAAATTTATGGGAAATAATATGTTTTTATATTTTTTATACATTTTTTTTAATTTCAGATGTTATGGATATCCTTTCGGACCTCCAAAACATTGTCTACCTCTCTGTCCGTAATCATATGTCCACTCGAATTCAAGTTGACTTCTATCGACATCTTATCCATTTACCGTACACTTGGTATTCCGACAAAGGTCATAGCGAACTGAGTGATGAGTTTTCCATGAATTCAAGGGTTTTTAAGGACTTCCCAGACGACCTGATTTTCAATTTAATTCCTGAAATTGGCGACGCGCTGATCGCTTTGGTATTTTTTACCACCACTTTTGACCTCAAGTTGGCCGTAGTTTTGAGTATTGTTGCTATGGTCGATGTTGGTAAGTGGGATTTTTTTGAAGGTTTCTTGTGAGAGGTTAATCACAGAAGCCTTTGAGACGTTTGTTTTAACTTTTTTAGTAAAGAAAAATTATTTTTTAGTCATCAACACTATGATCAACCAGTGGAGCGAGAGAGTTGATACAGCGGAATCCGAGGACTGCGATCAAGCCGATTCTTCCGCCGAAATGATCGGACTTTATTATAACGAAACGGTGAAGTATTTTTGCAATGAAGAGTTTGAAGTGAAAAGATTTGAGAAACGAATGGAACTGTAAGTTGATACAGATTGTGGATTACTACTCCGTTCGCCAAGTCGCTGGAGTGGTTTTGGCGTTTACACTATGCGATAAAAGTCAGAGTTCGAGCGACAACCCGAACAAATTTTGCACGGTGCAAACAGCGAGAAATTTCACAGTGCAAAGAAAACTTTTGTTTTTGCACAGTGCATTTCGTTGGAGTGACGTTTGGCGTTTGCACTGTGCGAAAAAGGGCTAGGGTGCGAGCGACAACCGAAAAAATTAGTGCACGGTGCAAAAAGCGAGAAATTGCACAGTGCAAAGAAAACTTATGTCTTTGTGGAGTGATTTTTCGCATTTGCACTGTGCGATAAAAGTCAGAGTTTGAGCGACAACCAAAAAAAATTTTGCACGGTGCAAAAAGCGAGAAATTGCACAGTGCAAAGAAAAATTTTGTTTTTGCACAGTGCATTTCGCTGGAGTGATTTTTGGCGTTTGCACTGTGCGAAAAAAAGGTCAGGGTGCGGGCGACAGCCGAAAAAATGATTGCACCGTGCAAAAAGAAAGAAATTGCACAGTGCAAAAAAAAACTTTTGTTTTTTGCACAGTGCATTTCGCTGGAGTGTTTTTTGACGTTTGCACTGTGGGAAAAAAGTCAAAGTGCGAGCGACAGCCCCGAAAAAATCTGTTGCACGGTGCAAAAAGCAATAAATTGCACAGTGCAAGAAAAACTTGCTTTCGCACAGTGCGAAAAATTTCTCCAGCGGCTTTGCGAACGGACTGATCCTAAAGCATTTTTTTCAGCGAAAACCGTCGTCTCATGAAAAGGGAAAAGTTTTCGCACTTTACCTCCATGCTTCAGTGTGTTTCCAACGACATTCTGTTGATGCTCTCCACCTTCTTCATGGCCTATCAACGAAATTCCACCGCTTCCTTGGACTTTTCCGCAGGCGATTATGTTCTCTTTTCCAACTACTTTTTTAAAGTCACATCTCCTCTTCACACCATTCAATTTTCCATCCGTCGAATTAGAGAGACCTTGGAAAAAGCGGACAATTTGATTGAGATTTTGGAAATCCCAGAGGAAAATGAAGGAAAAAAGTTGAAAAATATCGAAATTCAAGGCCCATTGAAGCTTGAGAATGTGAGCTTCAGCTACGTTGAGGGCACCGAAGTTCTCCATAATCTGAATTTTGAAGTGCCTGAAGGAAAAACTACGGCTGTTGTGGGGCCAACTGGAAGTGGAAAATCGACTTTGATTAGGTTGTTGTATCGATTTTTGGAGCCGACTGAGGGTAAGGTACTGTATTATTATGTTTTAAAATTGAATTTCTGAACAATTTTGAGTATTTAGGAAAGAAAAGAAATACAAAAAATAGTTGATTTTTCATCGAAAAAATTCTAGTGCAATATAATTTTTGCTGATTTTTTTTTGGTCTACTTGATATTGAAAAGTTGAGTTTTCTTCGCTTTGAAATTAGAACGGGTTAAAAAATAGTATGGAAATGTGCTTTTTTAGGCACCATCTACATAAACAACGTTGATACTCGAGACCTGGACGTCTACGAGTATCGAAGGCAGATTGGAGTGGTGCCTCAGGACTCTGTTCTCTTCAATGACACCATCAAGTACAATCTGAGTTATGCCAAGCTGGATGCGGATGAAAAAGAAATTGATCAAGCAACTCGAGCCGCTCAAATCGATGAAATGATCCGAAAGAAACCCGAGAAATATGAGACAAAGGTTGGAGAGAGAGGAATGAAGCTGAGTGGAGGGGAGAAACAGAGAATGGCTATTGCCAGGACCATTCTCAAGAACCCAAAGTATCTGTTTATGGATGAGGTAAGGACTTGGAGGACTTGCCGTTTTTTGATGAGTTTGAAAAAATTTTGAGGCTTTATCTGTCAAAGGCTTGTGTTTTTATGACTGTGGCAGTCTAATCGTTATTTTTCTTGCTCCTTGCGTAGCTTGCGGAGTTTTTTCACTTGGAGAGGGAGGCATTTCGCGACATTTTTTGATACTTCCTGGATGCAAAATTGTACCGGTTATGGCAATTTTGTATGTATCGGGAACATTAAATTTTAATTTGTAACGGCACCAGCTGAGTTTCAAATTATGCCTAAAGGTCTAAGTTTTCCTGAAATAGAGATTGACTCCACTTAAGTTTTAACTTTTTCATTTTCAGGCCACTTCATCGCTTGACACCCTCACTGAACGTCAAATCCAAAAAGCTCTGGCTGACCTTGCCAAGGACAAGACTTGTGTGATCGTCGCTCATCGTCTCTCCACCATTGTCCATGCCGATAATATTGTTGTTCTCCAAGATGGACGGGTATTAGAACAAGGAAATCACAAAAAATTACTGGAAAACAACGGGTTGTATGCGAAGATGTGGAACCTCCAACAAGGTGGCGATTTTAACCAATAATTTCGTTATTTTTGATTTTTTTTGAACGATTGAAATATTGTTAGCCATACCGAGGCGTTGTTATATATTGTACATATTTTGTTGTTAATAAAGTTGTTACTGTTACATGAATTGATATTTGAGTTAGAAGAGGTTCAATGGCTTCGAAATCGATTATTTTTGAATTTTATTTTTATTCGAATTGTCATTTTTTGGCATAGTGTAGGTTTGTAAAACAGTACAAAAATTTGGCCTGTGCTGGGCAAAAGTGTCTAAAGTTTTTTCGAAAAGTTTTTGGTACCCTATTTATTCTAGTACATATTTGTTTTTGAAAATTTGAAAAGTTCGCAAATTTTTTTACCTCAAAATTTGGAAAGGTGTAACAATTTTTTTTTCACCTAGATGACTCATTTTGTTTTATCGACACAAAAAATGAGAGAATTGTTGTGTTTAAATTTCGAAATTGTCCGGATTTTTCTTATCGAGGAAGCCTCTGCCTTTCTTGTAGGTGGAGTTTCAAATAATGTTCATTTCCTCTTCAAAATTTTGATTTGCCTTTTGCAGCGGACTTGGGTAATGTTCCTCGGTGTTTTGGTCGCTGTTCTAACCACTGTTTTAACTTATATTTTGTGGGGAAAAGGTGGATTTGGCGAACGAATTGTGAGCTGGAAACAAAACACTGTGGAATATGTAAGTTTTGGGGAAAATTAAAAAAATAGCGGAAGTTTGAGGTAAAAAATTGACGATGACGCTGCATAGTGCAGTTAAAACCTTTTTTTTAAATTTTTATTAGGGTGTCCCATAAGTCTTGTGTATTTTGGGGTCGTTGACTTGTGCGAATTCCTGTGAGCTTTGTAACGCATTACGAGATATGTTAGACATACGGTTTTGAAGATCAGGAATTGCGCTTATAAACCGTATGTAGCAAGACTGCAAAAAATCCACTAGACATCAAAAAAAATTTTGCTTGCTGATGTTAAAATGGGTATATACTTTGGAAAATCAGATGTGTACGCCTATTAAACATGAAAATAGGACGCACAAGAGCCCTAGATGTTATTTTAATTTGCGCTGCAGCACGGGCGGGGGTACCTTGGTGGTGGTGTAAATAACATGAGAACTGCTGCACTCATGCTTTTCAGACTCAATTTTCCAATAGTAGAAAGTGTTGGCTGTAGCTGCGTATGGTAGCTAATCTACTGTTGTTTGTGAACACAACGACATAATAATCACCGCCTGTGTCACTTTTGTTTCTTGAAATAAGCTTAATTTAAAAATTTCCTAATTATTTTAAAAATTTACAGAAAATTTTTTAAATTGAGTGATTTTTCAGCCCTCAGCACCTCTATTCCAAAATCCTCTTGCTAAAATAAAACACATATGACACTGTTTAGAACACACTACACTACAATGTTATTTGTATCCATACCGACTTTTTTGGTGTTGAGTAAATGCATCACATTTTTTCAAATTTTTTTGGGTTAGTGGTAATGCAGAACAAGGCAGCCAGCGGATTCATAGTTAGGACGCATGAACGTTATGTTTTTTTCACTCTGGTATCGCCGCGACCTGAGCAACCACCCTCAAAAAATGTTATACGCAAAATTATGTACATCACAATATTCACCATGGTGCCTAATACAAGAAACCTGCAGGACAACGTCATAAGAACAAATTCAGAGGGGAAAACGGTTTATTTAGAAACAGGGTACTTAGTAGATGTGTTAAAAAATGCAATTGCAAAGGTGCAGCCCCATTTATCAAAAAACGGAATGGTTTTCCCAGCCCTTCCCAGAAGTTGATGATATTAAAGAATTTCAAGTATTTTCCCGGAGGGCATGTTATTAGTTAAAATTTTTATGCTGCTTATAAGTGTAAGAGATGGCGGTTTCAACAATGCCAAACATTAAGGGATGCATTCATTTAGGCCTGCGAAACGAGACTTTAATTCTCAAACCCAAAAATACACAAGACTTATGGGACACCCTAATAAATAGTTTTTTGGTTGGATTTTTCCTCGTTTTGTCCGACTTTTCAAAAAAAAATTCAAGATAAAAAAATTGTTTAATTACAGGACTATGCCCATCTCTGGAAACGGGTCAAGCTCCTCTGTAAATACGCCTGGCCAAATGAAAATAAAATCCGAATAAAGGCCATAATCTGTCTTGTTCTCATGACCACTGGCCGCTTTCTCAATTTGTTGATCCCTTTGTTTGCTAAATATGCTGGTAAGTAATTCTTGGCATTCAGAGTGACAAAATAATGATAAAAAAGTCTCGAAAAGATTTTTGAATTTCGGTTTGTTTGCTAAATTTTGATTTTCAGTTGACGAAATGAGTCACAAAAAGCACTTCTTTTGGGATTTGGTCGCAATGACTTTTGGCTTCTTTTGCCTTCAGGGCAATGGATGTAAGTTGAATTTTTATGGTGTTTGTGGACTGTCAAGTTCATATATCAGTTATTTTTTACTCAAGGTAATTTTCATTACTATTTTTTTAAAATTCGGCCTGGTTTTAAAAAATTTAACGAAATGTCAAAAATTTTATTGGAAATTTTTTATATGCGATAAAAACGAAAACTAAATTTACCACGTCGTATTTTAGATATTACGGAAGTGATTTCTAACATTCGATCGCTCGTCTATATCTCTGTTCGACAACACACTTCGACACGGGTTCGCGCCGACATTTATCGTCATCTAATTCAGCTACCCTACACTTGGCACGCCGATAAAAGCCATAATGACGTCATGGACGCTTATCAAAGGAGTTACCAGACTTTTGAGTGGTTTCCGGAGTATGTTATGTTCGAATTCCTCCCTTCGATTGTGGACGCAACTGTTGGGTTTGCCTTTTTCGTCAACACCTTTGACTTGTATTTGACAATTTTGTTGAGCTTTGTGGCTGCGCTGGATGTTGGTGAGTAATTTTGAGCTGAAAAAAAGTTATTTTGAATGTATTTTTTAAAATTTTTTGAATTTTTTTTAAATTAAATTTTCATTTTTTTTTTATTTTTTTATTTTCAGCGACTTCCAAGTTTTTCATGGGCTGGGAAAGCCGAACATGGGAGAAAGAGGCCGAGGAATATGAAAATATCTCCAACGACATGGAAGGGCTTTATAACAACGAAACTGTCAAGTATTTTTGCAATGAAGAGTTTGAAGTCGAGCGGTTCAAAAGAGGATTGGAAGAGTAGGTCAATGAATTTGAACGGCTTAAATAAAAAAATTGACTTAAAGTGGTACGATCAGATATTCTTTTTTCTGACACTTTTTTTTGTCATGGGGATATCTCCAATTCAATTGCCAAAAGATCGAAAAGGAGATGAAAAAAGTCCGAATTTGGTATCAAACAGTATCACAGAGCGAGAAAGGGACTGTTTTCTTCTTCCATGCCAAAAGCAAATGTCTCTAGAGATGTTCAAGAGGCATTTTCTACTCAAAGGAGCAACTTTTTTTGTGTTTTTGCGATAGTTTTTGTACCAATTTTTGGTGATCTCCTTTGCCGATTTCTTCCAGTTGGACGCGTTGATCGTTCTCAAGTCTTTCCACGATGCTGACTAAAATTTTTCAAATGATTTTTTTGGATTTTTTTTTGAGTTCCATACCATTTTTTCACAGCCCTTTGATTGCTCCCTGTGAGAGAGTGATCTAGGTAAAGTGGCGGACCTGGCCCAGTGACAAACAAAGTATCATTTTGCATCCTTGAAGTATCAAAAATGTGGCAAAATGTTTCCCTCGCCAAGTGAAAAAAAAACCGATTTTAAAAGCTCGACCTTCAAAACGAAGATTTTTTTTACTTGGAGAGGGAAGCATTTTGCCACATTTTTGATGCTTCCCGGATGCAAAATGGTACGTTTTTTGCCTTTGGATCAGCTCCTTCACCATACCATATTTTTCAGTGAGCACCGTCGTGAAATGAAACGTGAATTCTTCAACTACTTCTCATCTATGGCCCACTGTTTAAAGAACGACTTCCTCCTGATGCTCGGCACCTTCCTCATGGCCTATCAACGTTCGACCTCTGAGACTGCCGACCTCACCGCTGGCGACTACCTCCTCTTTTCCAGCTACTTTTACCGATTTACTGGGCCGCTCAGTCACATCGAATATGCTTACAAACAAATTGGTAAAAGTTTAAGCCAAGCGGACGACTTAATGCAACTTTTGGAATTGAAAGGAGAAAATTGGGGAGCAAAGTTAAAAGCCAAAATTGAAGGCGGAATAACGGTGCAGAATGTGAGCTTTAGCTATGTGGAAGGCGCTGAAGTTCTCCATAATGTGACTTTCGAAGTGCCTGAGGGAAAAACTGTGGCTTTGGTGGGACCGACTGGAAGTGGAAAATCGACCATGATTCGGTTGTTGTATAGATTTTTGGAACCCAATCATGGTAAGAGGCGGTGTTATAAGCTAAAATTTTTTTTTTTTTCTACAGTGGGGCACTTGATCCAGTGGCAAAAAACGTACCATTTTGCATCCTTGAAGCATAAAAAATGTGGCAAAATGCTTCCCTCTTCAAGTGAAAAAACTCCGATTTCAAAAGCGCGCCCGCTATTTTTGTGAAAAAAAGAAAAAAACGAAGTTTTTTCATTTGGAGAGGGAAGCATTTTACCACATTTTTGATGCTCACCGGATTCAAAATGGTACGTTTTTTGCCACTGGATCAGGTCCGTCACTGTAATTTCACGTCAAAAATAGGCGGGAAAATGACAAAAAACCAATCGTTTTATAAAAATGTCTGGTGCAATATAAATCTTTTATTATTTTTTCTCAAATTCGATTTCAAACCTTTCCCTATTCCAGGTGTCATCTCCATAAACAACGTTAATACCCGATACCTGGACGTCTACGAGTATCGAAGGCAGGTTGGAGTGGTGCCTCAGGACTCTGTTCTCTTCAATGACACCATCAAGTACAATCTGAGTTATGCCAAGCTGGATGCGAATGAAAAAGAAATTGATCAAGCAACTCGAGCCGCTCAAATCGATGAAATGATCGGGAAGAAACCCGAAAAATATGAGACAAAGGTTGGGGAGAGAGGAATGAAGTTGAGTGGAGGGGAGAAACAGAGAATGGCTATTGCCAGGACCATTCTCAAGAACCCAAAGTATCTGTTTATGGATGAGGTAAGGACTTGGAGGACTTGCCGTTTTTTGATTATTTTGATAAAATTTTGACGTTTTATCTGTCAAAAGGCTTGTTTTTTATGACTGTGGTGGTCGTCATTTTTGACGGATTCCGGGGTTTTTATGCAATAACACGCCGGAAAAAAGACCGCGAAGCAATTCACGGGGGTGGACCTGATCCGGTGGCAAAAAACGTGCAACTTTGCATCCAGGAAGTATCAAAAAATGTAGCAAAATGCCTCCCTCTCCAAATGAAAAAACCTTGTTTTGAAGGACTTTTTGTACCTCCCTCTCGAAGTGATAAAATCCGATTCAAAAACGCGCCCGCTCTTTTTGTGAGGAAAAAGGGCGCGCCCTTCAAAACGAAGTTTTTCACTTGGAGAGGGAAGCATTTTGCGACATTTTTCGATACTTCCTGGATGCAAAATTGTACGTTTTTTGCCACCGGATCAGGTCCCGAATTGCTTCGCGGTCTTTTTTCCGGCATGTTATCGAATAAAAAAACCGGCGGAGATCAAGCAATTACTCTGTCGCGTTTTTTCATGGATCATAACGGTTGTCTCCATCTCCGAATTTTTCTGAAGAGGAGTAAAATTATAACGTTTTCAATTTCAGGCCACTTCCTTCCTAGACACCGTCACTGAACGGCAAATCCAAAAAGCGCTAACTGAGCTCGCCAGAAACAAGGCTTGTGTAATCGTCGCCCATCGCCTTTCCACCATTGTCCATGCTGATAATATTGTTGTTCTCCAAGAGGGACGGGTATTAGAACAAGGAAATCACAAAAAATTACTGGAAAACAACGGGTTGTATGCGAAGATGTGGAACCTCCAACAAGGCGGCGATTTTAACCAATGATTGGTTGTTGTTAATAATGTAAATTACTCTGTTATTGTTGATTACTGTATATAAACTTGTTATGAAACACTTGAAATTTTTTGTACTTTGTGAAAGTATGCTGTATAGTTTGGGAAAGCACCATACACATAACCTTGAAATAGTATTTCTTTTCAAGGACCGGGGTCGATTCCCTCGGAAGAGGCGATAAGAGTATTCTGTATCAGATTCGGTGCTCCTTGACAAATAAACAACGTTCGGAAGAGGGGAATAACATTTCGGATTCGTGCGGAATATGAAAATGTTTGAGTGGGTGAAAGGTGCTGAGAATGGGGCGTTCTGCGGAGTTGTAAAAAATGTTACGATTGGTCTTCAGAAAAATTTTTTTGTAGACCAATACATAGTTTTTATTATTTATTTATGGAACAAGAGTTCAATTGATTTTAATTGGGATGGGGGTCCGAATTACATGGTTGAAAAGGTAATTACATAGCTTTTAAAGGTGGCTTGATGAGCTCGCGAGTCCTCGTACTTGAACCGTGCATATATAGGTCTTCCTTGACGTAGGGACAAAGAAGGCACTCTCTGTGGCGCCGTTGACAATTGAGAAGAAGATTTTTTATCATACTAGTCTTTACGGAAAGTCGCCCCACTGAAATCGCGACATGGACTGTGAAAAAACAGTTTCTCTTTGAGATTCTTTGCCCTATGTTATTTCTTGATCTTTGCACCGTGCAATAGGCTTTTTTGGACTGTCTCACGCACCCTGACTTTTTCGCATTGTAAAACGCTAAAAATCAGTCCGGCGACTTTTCGCACGTTAGCCAATATCACCGTGAATTTCTGGACATTTTAGTCTGCGCTTTTCATGGGCAACAGAGAAATTCAGACGGGAAAGTGCGCAGAACACAAAGGGCGGTTAAGAAAGTCACTATCCTTGTTAACCTTGCGTGTAAAACTTGCTAAAAAACTCACTAAAATCTGTTACTCTCGACTATAAGAATCTGTTACTCTTGAGCTATAAAACACGGTTGTCTCTGCAAAGCACGATATGGGAACCTCGAACCTCGTAAAGTAACCTAAATATATACAAAGTTTCTTTGAGGCCTGGGCGTTTCACTCCGAGCATTTTCCGGGTTATACAAATTCGCGGCAGTTCACGTTGACATTTGTGCTTTCTGTCCTAACAGCTTCCCCGATTTTAATGCTTCAAATATCACTTCAAATTGTATACAGCAACCTTTTATCAAAGGTATAAATGCACTTTTGCTTTGATTCTCGTCAGTATTATGATGTCCGCGTCAGCGCCTTTGACACACCGAAAGACCAAAGACGTCCGGAGTCTAGTTTCCGACCGTTTTCGGGGGCCGCGGAGTGATAAGGGAATTTCATTAAAAATATTTGTTTTCTCTCTTCAGCGCCACGTGGTTCCGATAAGGGAAACGGACCATGATGAGGAATTAAAAGGTGAAACAGCCATTTGTTCGGGGAAACGAGGGAAAATAGTCATGGCCTGAGGGCGTCGGACCATTTTCTGAATCAAAAAAGCAAACGAGCCGGCTTACTAGCTGAGTCTTTATCAAATGTTTACATGTGCAGTTATGGTCATGCGAGTGACTGGGAGGTTGTGGCGGAAGGGACTGTTGCGGTTTTTGTTGTAACCGGGCTTTGTATTCTCTCAGAATAACAGTCCCAAACTTAAGTGCCGTTTACAGTGGCTGAAATGACCAGTGGTAAAACGTAAAGTTTTGCATCCGGAAAGTATCAAAAATGTAGCAAAATGCCTCCAACTAAAAAAACTTTGTTTTGAAGGGCACCTCATTTCCCTGAAGACTTAAAAAGCCCTGAAGACTTTGCCTAGCCCTTTTTTATGTGTTTTTAGAGTAGCAATGTTTAATTTTCGACCTTAACCTACAAACATTTGACATGACGGCCTTCTTTGCGGATGTATCAAGAAAATTATTCAGAGCTTTTCGAAAATTTATCAAATTGCAAAGCAATGATCATCTGCAACTTCTCCTATGGCTAAACTTGCAATCCGCATTTATCGGCCCACTATGTTTGACGATTTCTCTTGTCAGCACTTTTAATTTCAAAACTCCCCTTTTTTATGCAAATTACCCCCAATCCACGAGCCCCCTTGATCACGTGGCCCCACACCCTCAACAAGCCCGACCTTGATTCTTGATTTTGATCCCAAAAACATTCGAATTAACCGACATTCGACGTGTTTTTGGCTGCAAAAGCTGGGAACAGCCATGCCGAGGGATTTGCACACTAATAATTTGCGGAGAAAAAGGCCTCGGGGCGGGAACTTGTTTTCTAAATTTAGCCCCAAAATGCTGAACCTTCTCGGATTTTAATCTTTTTATAGCAACTTTACGTTTTTCTCGCCGAAATTGCGAAGGGTAAATACTCAAGAGGTTTTGAGGGTACGGAAATTGTAGGCCAACAGGGACGTCAGAGTGGTCATTAAGTGCTAAAAGTTTTTGAAGAGAAGGTTTATTACTTTTTATGTGCATGTAGAGGGGCCCGCCTTTTCGTAGAAAATATACAGCATTATTCGCAACTTGAACTGCAAAAGCTTAAACGAAGATCACTGCATTTGAATGGGCAAAAGTGCTACTTTCACTCGTAGTCTGTGACGACGCTTTAATTCCTACATTCTGATCGATGCGGAGAATCCCGCAACAAGCTTATTTTCATGTAGGATAGGTTTGTAGAGATGCTGTTGGGATCATTCTGAAGAGGAGCTTATTTTCCAGCCACTACATAGTGTCTTCTTTGTGTCAATCTACGGAGATTGGGGACAGCATTTTAATTGACTGAAGCTCTCTTTTTATAGCAATGTGATGCTTCATCTACGCAAAACAAACATAGATTTGCGAGGCTTGGTGTGTTTTGTTTATATGTACTTTTGCGATGTATAAATGTCCGAAATTTGCTGTTGGGCTTTGCGGGCACAGCTGAGATACTCTGTAATTGTGACAGGCAAGAGAGTGTGTTGAATGTGAGCTAATAGAGCAATTTTTTTGCCTGTAGTCTTTGACTTTGTACGACATGTGTTCATATGTGTCAAAATCTTTACTATATCAACCTGTCGGGAAAATAATGAGGGCAATGTAGCTAGGCCGATTGTGCCGCTAAAGGAAAAGAAATTCGATTTTTCCGCGACACAATTCATTTTCGCGGTGGCGATTCAAATCTGATAAAAACATCATCAAATTGAGTTTTTTTAGTTGGAAAGCGAGGCATTTTGCTACATTTTTTGATGCCTCCCGTATGCAAAATGACACTTTTTTTTTACCACTGGATCAGGTCCGTCACCGTAACTTCCTTTTTACGAAAGCTTTTCAAATGTTTTTCTTTTTATTTCTAAGATCATTTGGCTTGATTCACCCATTTCTTTACAGTATTTTTTGACCACTCATGAATTATGAAATCATTTTCCCCACTCCAAAAATTTTGAACAGCACATAAAAACAAAATTCCCTGTCTTATCTTGCACATCATACATCAGTTTTCTGCCATACAAACATTTTCAAACTGATTATTCCCGGACTTGTTTTATCGATTGCCGAGGCGCATACCCAATCGTCAATCGGACTTTCTGGGGATTAGCATAAAACGAGCGGTCTGAATCACGTTTTATCGAATTTGTCAGGGTCACGCATTCCCAAAACTTTGTTGTTATTCCCAAATATGTCGGCGTTTCCACTGCTTCTCGAAAGTTTTCCACCAAAGTTTGTATATGTAATTTTCCACGCAGTTTAACCGGCAGTCAGTATTTATTTCGGCGATGCAGACGGATTATAAAGGGGTTGGGGTTGCCGATTTGTTCCTGATAGGAAGGCTGAATATATTATCTACGTTTAGGACGGATATTGAAAGAGATATATCAGTATGTCGGGAAAATAATGGGCATTATGTAGGAAGCGAATCACCGTCGAGAACATAAATTTTATTATGACAGCATTAATGTTCGATTGGCGCAACGATATTGCACTCAGTATTTTCCCGACAAGCGGATAAAAAATTTACGGAAAAATAAGCCATGTATGGTTTTTGTATCCTATAAACATCATAGTGTCTTTATTAGTACCTCTTATGTGGAAGTAGAATAATATCTCGGCTTTGCGTTTTCAAGCTTGCCTGTGGGCCAGTTTATTTTTACATAGCCTATTTTTCCCCATTCAAATGCGGACGCGAATTAAACGATCCATATTTGAAAAGACAGGTACGTGACAGCTTGAAAATAAATTGTTTTTTATCAGTGAATTTATTAGTAGTGCTGACTTTTGAACTGCTTCCGTTGCTGGTCAATGAGCCTTCTCTCTTCACTGAAAAAGAGCGATAAGGGGGTGACTTTTGAACATTGAAACTATTAACAATAAAATGTAACGGGTAGATCGTTATAAACTTTTGCCTACACAGCTTTCCTAGAGGGACTTCAAATACTAGAAAATTTAGTTGGAGCTTTGCAGGCGCTGTTGAATATATTATAATGTGTATGTGGAGGGGTTTTGAAATAATATATATCTCAAGTTATATAATAGGTTCAAAAAAGATGGCGGAAACCGCACGAAAAATCAGCTATGCCTTTGCGAACGTACGTATCTTATAATCTTTTGCCCGAAGCCTTGACGAATTTCCCTTTAGGCCTTCATTTTCGGTAGATGAATCCTTCATGAGAACTCCCATCTTTTCTCAATTTTATACCAACAAAAGGGAGCCTTTATTCAACTCCGGAAATTCATCCATTTTTATCGACACTCCTCTATATTCCACTTCCGTTATTCTTATTTTCACATAGATAATATTATAAAGTCATACCTCAATTCCCTCATTTGTATTCTCCACAATTTAACCGTATGATAATAACGGCCGGATTATTGGTGATGTAACCGAGTTTCCTTGACGATAATTTTGGAACATAACCAAATCCTGACCTATTTACATGCCTATTTTGGTTTGTAAATTCTGCTTATTCAAAAGATATAAATATGTTAGTTTTGCTGTGCATAGATTTCAAACACCCTCTCGTGTCTATAAAGTTCTTTGGTTTGTTTTTGACGCTTTATTTGCAGGGGATTTGGTGGGATATTACTCAATGTGTTAGGTTCTACAAAAAGTACATATATGTGGGCGCTTCCGTGTTCGGTATTGCTTGCGAAATAATTTGTTGGCAGGCTAAATCTAATCAGCAAAAAATAGGCTGGGTTGTGCGGGGGGGATATAGTGCATACAGAAGTGGAGCTTGTGATCGATCGAAAAACGTGGTAGCGGAATGGGGTTTGTGGAAATAGCGGAGGAGTAAAAGCAAAGGGTCATGGTGAAAGTTGAGGGTCGTGTTATGCGAAACGATTTTTCGGTAACTGTGAATAATCATCGAATGTATATTCGAGGTTTTTGACAGTTATCTTAGGATGTCGTGATAACGATCTTTTCTTTTGTCGGCTTTTTTTATCGGGGTTTTTTACAGTGGGGGACCTGATCTAGTAGCAATAAACGTACCATTTTGCATTCAGGAAGTATCAAAAATGTGGCATAATGCTTCCGTGAAAAGATTTCGTTTTGAAGGGCGCGCCCTTTTTCCTCACAAAAAACCGGCGCGCTTTTGAAATCTGATCTTTTTCACTTGGAGAGGGAGGTATTTTGCCACATTTTTTGATGCTTCCTGGATGCAAAATGATACGTTTTTTTGCCACGGGATGAGGCCCCCACTGTAAGGGAACGACGTTCCTCAATTGGGACTCCTTGTTGTTAGAATTTTTCAAATATGTCTGGTAGGACTGCTTTTTGAATTTTTTGCAATTTTTTTTTCTTTTCTTGACATTCAACCATGCCTACAGGCGTCACTACGGAAACCGAGTTTGGAATCCGTATAAGAAATTCTAAATTCTCGATCCTAAGCCCTCTAGTTTCTGCAAGACGCGAGTCGACGATCTCAAATATGTCTTGGTGTAACTTAACCCAAATTTTTAATACAATTTTTATATTCTGCTCCTTTGGACTTCCTATTGTATTCGAACAAAAAAATGTTTATCACATTTCTGACCTTTTCGTCCACTGTATAATGTATAACAATACATTTCAGAACCATACATTCGAAACGTTTCTATCATACTTTTCGTTCAAACGACCTTTAATCTTTGACTGTCAATCCTATAGTTTGCAATCGGATTTTTTACCTATTTACAAACATTGATAAGGAATTTTGTTCCATTCAACAAATGCAATCAAAAAACTAAGTAGCTAATTTCCAAGCGTGTGATTTTTTAGAAAAAAAATTCTCTGTCAGCAAAATGACTATTAAATTTTATGGGGTCATGTTGATAACTAACAAATGGGACTGTTTTTGAAGCTACGACATAAAGATTGGTTGACTTTCACTCAATTTTGTAACGTTCAACGTTGTCGTAAACAAACTGTTTCGATCTTTACGAGTCAAAAATTTAATTTCGAAAGTGATTTTTGAAGAAACGCTCGTATCTTCAAAAGTTTCCCACTGAATTCTTGATTAGAGTTGTTTGTGTGATTAGAAAGACGTCCTCCTGGAGGTACGGTGTTAGTGATAACGCTGTTATGTCACAGCTTCCGATCTTGTGACATCGTAAAGTTGGTCAGACCAAATAGCACTTTTATCGGCGTTGAGGTCACGCTAGAGTTGTCGAATTGCATCATGAAGCGGTGAAGACGGAATGTTTGTCTTGGCAAAGGGTAATTTTCGATTAGAATGATGTGATCAGCGCTTTAGTTTAGAGGCTAGTTTAAGGTGTTCTTCAAAATCATAATGTTGGAGCGGGAGATGATAAAATACGCCTGGATTTTATCCAAATTCGGGCATGAACAGTAGTATATTAGCTCTTGAATAATTGAGCTCTGGCTTGGCAGACGCTGCAGAGGTATTTAGCGAACTTTTCAGGCAAAAGTAAAGATAAAAAACAGTCATAGAAACAAATTTTTCTCATGGTATCTTTAGGATTTGTGTTCCAAAAACTGCCGTGCATATTTTCTTAGACTACTGATATTTTACTGAACATGATAGCCCAATTTCTTCTGGAAAATCTCTGTTTATAAATGGCTTGAAAATCTACCAAGTCTTAATTTTTGTTATGTCTTGCCTTAACGCCTCTTCTGTCCAAGAATTCCCCCTATTTGGCGTAATGAGGACATTGATTACCCCCTCTTTCAATTTCCAGAACACAAAATTAATGACGCAATCTTTATCAAATTGTTCCCGCAAATCAATACCATTCCCCCTATTCGACCTTTATTTTTGTATTTGTCTTGTTAAATTCACCTAAAAAGTCCTCAAAACTCACGTTTTCTTCGCAAATCCCAACGAACTCCGAAAGTTCATCGAGCACTTTATTGGCTCCAATTCCGAGCCTATGCGTTTCCGCGTTCCCCTTTACCAGTCTCTAATTAAAACTCGAGAGTTTTCGTTGTCGAAATAAGTGTTGTTTTTGCACTAGTGTCAGTTGTAATTGGCAACACGTGGGCAATATTTGCGATATTTGAGATTCTTTTGGTTGCAATATATAGGTGAAGTGATGCACATAATATAAAAACCAATGAAAATGATAAGAAACCCTTTTGTAATTCTCCCCTAAAATACTGGGAGCGCCCATTTTAAATCGTCTTTTTACGTCGTAGGATCACATTAACATGGTCTATGGAAGCTCAGAAACGTGTGAGGTAGACTTTCGATTTCCCAACTCTATTGAGGTGACTAACGGTGCCTGTTTTTATAACCCATTTTTCGAAATAGGTAAACAGAGTGTTGGCGGACATAACCGAAGTTGCAAGTTGTAGGGAACAAAGCGGGCGTTTTGACTGTTCAGGTTACATTTTCTTTAGGAATTTTATCGAATTTTAACGGTTTTGTTTATTTTTGGGAGGGCTACATCCTTATTTTGTATGAAAAGATCCGGATATTTGCTTCACTTTACTTTCTATCGCCTCAAGAATCTTTTTTTTTGTGTATTTTTGTCTATATTTGTCATCATTCTTTTTTGAAACTGATTTACAAACTTCCCGCGTCGTATTTTATCCATATTTTTTGTTATTTTCCGGTAATTTGATTATTTACAAATACCTATTTTTTCTGAAAGCCCAATCATCTGTTACATACATGTGCTTTTTCCTTTCCACCTTATGATATCTCCTTCCTCATGTTCACTGTTCAAACACTGCCATCAGAATTACTTTCCACATATCGACATATTCATCGTCTACATATGTCTTTAGCCTCCGCGAAATAAAAAGTTTCCATGCCATGGGACAAATACAACTAACATTTCTTACAGAAACACTTTACACTTTGCGAATTTTACAACTGAAATTCAAGCTGGATTCGTCATTTGTCTACACAGACGCGCTGATGCGCATGCCGCAGCAGCGGCGCTACAGCGTCGCTACGCCTGTGGATATCTATGGTCACGGGCAACGGCAACAAGGTGGGTTTGACGTTGGATTACTTGAACTTCTTATATGGCTCAGAATAATATTTTACACTGTTTTTATGATAGTTTTCTTTGTCTCACAGTCAGATGAAGGTAGATGCCATCAATTTCGGGGTCGTGTTCTTATGAAACTTGGTGAGGAATAGGGGTAAAGTTTTCTGAAGGCCTTTTGCGGCGTCAAAGAAACTCTGATTTACCAAGTAGCCAGAACGAAAAAAAAATTTGGCTTTATTTTACATTTAGTATTACATTTAGCGCTTACAAGAACCGCTGAGATTTCCGGAGTAAGCTAAATCTTTGATAATTTACATTTACATGTATGCGACTGAGGTAAAATGTCTACCAAAAAATTTGAAGTCGATCTGAGCTCACAGTCTCTTAGTTTTATTATATATTTCGATTTTCTTGTCTGAAAAAACACCCTCACGTCAATCCAGCGCATTTCCTGAACCGTTTCGAAACTTCGTATCGTTTTTATTGTTTAAAAAGAGAGACGAAATGCCGCGAAATTATCGGCACGCCTGAAATAATTGCATTTTTTCGAAAAGGAAGAAGAAAAATAAGAAAATGCGTTTTATCGGATTGTGACATTTCGTTTTGAACGAATCACCAAAAAGGGGCGGAATTTTTTCTTCCATTTTGTATTGAAGCGACCCTCTCCTTCCTTGCGTTTTTTTATAACTTCAGAATGGTTTATTAACTTATCCAAGATACTGTATGATATGTAGGTTTTTATAAGTGCATTCCGACATATCACACGACGAGTGGGTTTCTGGTGTTCCAGAAAACACCTTGGAATTTTAAAAAATATATGACAAACACCCTGAACACTGTAACCGTTTTTTCTTTTAAAACATCACTGGATTTAATGCACTGAGCACCCACGGAAACATGACACGCTCTTGCCAGCTAATTACCCTGTAAATTGCTTTACTTTGCCGCTTTATCCCAGGCGTATTTTTGTCCGTTCCTGTCGCTGAACGCTCTCTTTGGTCTCCGAACGGAGATTGGCTTATTTAAGGGTCGAAAACGGATTTTTCCCCGGGGCGGAGAACTTAATTATGCGTTCTGATTCCAGCACCGTGCCGTGGCTGGAACGATGCTCATTACGAGAGCGCGCGGGGTTCGTTTCCGGAAGGCTTTGGCAAAAATGTTTGCATTTTTTTCATGAAGTTTGGACTCTTGGACTCTGTTTTTGCATTTAAATATCACAAAAGTAACAAGTTTTTAAGTCTTTAGTCATCAGCAGTTTAACAAATTCGGGGTTATCATCCACGTATTTTACCATATACCCTCCATAATCACGCCCAAAATACCTTCAGAAACGCCATTAAATTGCAGCGTTTAATTGATTGAATATTCCCACCTCCTAATTACCTCACTTCTCCTCATTGTAAACCCTAAACATGCATTTGTAAAGCCATTCAATTCCCATTGAAAGGTCTTTTATTCCTGCCCGCAAAGAACTGATCGTGAGTTCTTTGTGATTAATTAATTTCTTCTGGATACTACTTTAAACTGGGTGGGAAAAACTTCTCCGGACAAATGTTGAGACACTCGTTCTAAAGGTTTGAACGGTCTGACCAAAAAAACTACTGTATTCCGTACTACTTCTCTATTACACTCTAAAACAGATTTCTGAAAGGTTGGAGATTTTGATCTATAAACTGTCCCTTGATAAAGTATTGGGCATTGTTTACTAGCTACTGGGAGTTGAAGAGTTTCAATTGCTTGAACCCTATTTTGACCGTGGAATGTTGTGCACCAATATTTGTAAGGATTTTTAAAACTTTTCTTCAGTTTATCAGCGAGGTGTTGGAATTGTGACGTTCGAATGTTGATAATTTTGGCAGAAGCTCATAGAATAAAACCTTTATTGGCATTTACTACAATTTCAGCTCGCATTATAGAGTATGAAGACATTATTTCTCCAAATAAGTCAACCATTGTCACGAAAAGTTCGAATTTTGCATTATACGGGCATATGGCGAGAATACTCTTCAATCTATTCTCAAGCCTGCGGAGATTTTATGATCTGCTCTTGCAAAAAAATCAGAATATTTCTAGCTAAACTTGAATTCAACCCTTTAAATTTTTTTTTCAAAATAAAAAATCCCGATTTCTTCCAGCCTCCAAAACAATCCATTTACCCCACATTTGCCTTTACAATACTCCATTTTTTCACTCCACAAAAGAATTCGGCTAACTGAATGACCTCATTCCTTACATTACTCATCCCCCGTCTTTGTGTCGCTCTTCCGGTTTCTTTCAATTATTTTACGTAACCTAACTTTTGCCTCATTTACTGCTAGTTTTGGCGATTACTCAGACGACGAGTTTTCGGGTAGCGGGAAAAAAGCCCACTCTTGCAGTTTAAAAGAGGGAATGAACTTTTTGAGGTAGTGAAAATGATCTTACGCTGTTAATTGTGCGGCTGCAGGAAAAGATGGGACTTTGTAAGTTTTTCTATGGATCTTATGGGACCTTAAGGGGCTATTCAAAAACTAAAGTTTTGTTGAAAAATTGACCAATTTTTTGTCATTCGTTATCTCCAAATAGTCGACTTAGTCGACGCTTTACTACTGACGCAGCTCTTGCACTGTCTGACTGACACTTTTCCATAGCTCTTCTATTAAATGCTACGGCCACTTCCGGCTTTCTGAGAACGAATTGAGTGCATGCTGCAAAACAATATAGGCTGACAAGTCCGCTTTTGAGTTGTTGAGTATTTACAGTGCACTATGAGGTAATTTTAACCGGAATTTGACTGCTTTAATCGCACAGGAAGTCACAGTTGTCTCCATAATGATTCTGTGACGAAAACTACCTTAAATAGACCAGTCAATTTAAAAAAAACTATATTTTCAGGCCCTTTATATAATGTTAAGGCAAAATGTTGATGATGTTTAAATTAATTTTTTAGTCGTTTCCTAACTTTGATAAGCACTTTTAACCCTATTTGCCCTCATATTTCTTCCATTTTATATTACCTTTATTTGCTTCCTCAAAAAAAAAACTGCGGGAAACCGGCTTTAAGCGAGAAATTATCGACCTTCCTTGCGCGCAGGTCGAGGAAACTTGATTTTCACTCAGTTGGAACGTTATGGGAACGATCTTGAGGGGTTATTTAAAATTTTTACAATTGATGAAAGTCAAATTTCCGTTTTTCGTATACTTCTTGATCATTTTTGGTTAGTCATGCTATACGGTGTGGGCTTTCAGGCGTTCGAGTGTAAGTCATCTTCAAATTTTGTATCGCAAAATTTAAATTAAGTTCGAAGTTTGTGACGGTAAAAGGAACGGGTTGTGGTTTTTAAAGAGCGCGACGGTCAACTAATTTGCTTGTAACTGATGGAAATTTTTTGTAATAATAGTACGTGTTATGTATTGTTCTTATAGACAAAAAGTATTCGGGGACTCATTATTTCGATACCGGCCTTCAAAATTGTGGGTTTTCATGCTAATTAGTAGGCTTTGCCCCGGAAATGCCCTTACACAAGCACTGAGAAGGAAGTGTTCAAAAAATGCGATGCTTTTTTTCTACAGTTTTGCACAAGCCTTCGGCGTAGGCCACATACTGATGCTTCAAAATTTTAGCTCGTGTTTTGCAGGGGCGTCCGATTTTTCAATAACCTTTTCCATCGAGAGGAGGGACAAAATACTGAGAGTAGGCAGAGAGAAAATCGTTTTTTGGCTACTCATATCTTTGCTAATTTTATGCGGAAAAAATCGATTTTTTTCGGAAGTCAAGCTTATGCTTTGTAGGCCAAACCCCCCAAAAAACAGACAATTTTTAGGCATTCCTAAAGATCTCACAATCAGCCGTTACTGGGAGTTACGCCAGCCAGAAACTCCCCATAGGCTGTTTAAAAGTGTGTCGAAATTACTGCCAAAACTGATCAAATTTGAGCGAGTGTATCATGTTTTATTCCCTGAATTCGAGAGGGCTCAAAACATACCTCGATTTCAAGCCCATGATTATTGATCAACGGATTATATCCCCGCCCAAAATCCACTTTATGCCCGAGCATAACAAGCTCATCCGCGTACTCTTCAACTCACGAGATCCCCGTATTTACAGCGCTTTCACAATATCCCATGCGATCTACCATGTGCCAGATTATCCGGTATCAAAACGTAGCCAAGCAGCCTTCTCTTTCAGCTCATTTTTTCCATAACAAGATTTAGTTTACAACGCAAACCCAGCCAATCAACCCACCGGGTTTTAACTTCAAATTACGTGGGCAGTGAATCTGCCGCCTCCTCAGTTAGGATCTTTTGTTTTCTTCAATTCCGACTTTCCCAATCGGTGATTTACAGTAAGACCTTTATTTTTTTACGGCGACTATTTGCTGGCAAGTTGAGTTTGGCGAATATTAGTGATTTCTCAACGAGGAACTGGAAAGGGATAGCTGGTTTTTGCTGAATTCGGAATATTATTGGTGTAAATTTGATAAGTGAGATGGACGTCAGTAGATTTGGAGAAATTTGGGGGTTTTCTTGAAGAAATATGATGGAAAAGTGTTTGGCAATTGGCGATAATTAGTCGATATCTCTGCAAATATAAATAGAGATCAAACATGTTCTTTGGAGCACTTACGAATTTAGGATTTTTCGAGCCCACTTTGTTCACTATAACTTTAAGAAACCTCTCTAAATCTGACAACAAACTAACCGCTGTTCACTAAAGGGGATTTAACTACAGTGGCTGACCTGATCCATTGGCCAAAAACGTACCATTTTGGATCCGGGAAGTATCAAAAATGTGGCAAAATACCTCCCTCTCCAAGTGAAAAAAAACCCCGATTTCAAAAACGCGCCCACTCTTTTTGTGAGAGAAAAGGCGCGCAGTTCAAAACGGAGTTTTTTTTTAGTTAGAGAGGGAGGCATTTTGCCACATTTTTGATACTTCCCGAATGCAAAATGTTTCGTTTTTGCCACTGGATCAGTTCCCTCACTGTACTCGTAAGCATTTTTGATTAGTTAGATTACCATTGTTAGGTAACTTCTGTCGCTCCAAAGGTTCTCCGGAAATTTACCGCTGCCCCTTGTAGCAATTTGAAAGTATGTACGTGGGAAGAGAATTAATCTTTTGTCTCCAATTTGCATTAAAACTCTAAAAGTTCAACGAATTTCAGAGAAAGACAGGGCGAACTGTAAACATTCGATTAGAAAATAGTACAAAACTCAACCTCGCCTGATACAAAAAGGGCATTTCACAAAATTTGTCTTAATTCTCTTAAATTCAGTCATTTCAAGAACTGGCGAAACTTTCTGAAGCGAAAAACAATTGATTACAAAAAATATCTTGCCCTTTTACCAGTTTTCCAACAAAGATCAACCCACTTACATGTCTGGTCAAAAAATTTACTGTAATTTTTGACCAGACATTTTTTAAGAAGAACTTTTACATTTTAAAACCTTCACAAATCGTTGATTTTTCTTTTTTTATAACTGCCGTCTTTGAGACGTCCTTTGAGTTCTGAACGTTTCTTTTGGAAAGACATACGTTCAGGGGTGATGTAACTTTATTTACCCTTTGTTTTACTGTAACAATTTGATCTTCCACAACAGTCTACTGATTTTTTTAGTGAATCAAAGTGGGAAATTAAAAATCACGCAAGCACGGGAGCAATTAATTGACTAGTAACTTTGACAATACCAAGGAGTGATTTTGGAGAATTTCTCAATTTTCTAGGGTCTACCGGCCGTAAAAATTGAATAAAATCAGTGTGGTTGTAAGTGGAGGTTCGTGGAGAGTAGAGCTGGCACGTGTCTGTTGATAACGAGATCATGGCTGAAAATAGAGGTTGTTATCAATAATTTGATAGTGTTTTATGGCCCTTTAAACACCGGACTTTCCATTGGCGATTCAGATTTTACTCACAATCAGGCTTGCTAAAACTGCGGGGAGTGCTTTCATGAGGGTCTTAAGAGAATTGCGCCTTGCTTTGGAGTTTTAACTCGCTAAAGCAAAGCACCAGAAAATTCAATCTTTGCTTTGCGCAATGCAGGTTCGGCCTAGGTATTCGATAATTTTTTATATCATCTTTTTTTTGTAGGCTTCAAATTTAGAGGTGGCAATCGGGCTGGGCCGGCCCGGTCCGGCCCGGCCGGGCCCGGTGATTGGGCCGGGCCGGGCCGGGCCTGAGCAGATTTGAAAAAACCCCGGGCCGGCCTGACCGCTTCGGCCCGTCGGCCGGGCCGACACTTTCGGCCCGGCCCGGCCCGGAAGCTAGATAAGTAAAAAAATTCTTAATGCTAAACCAGCAAAATAAAGCACAAATGCTTTGTAGAAATGATGGAAATTAGATTAAACCTTTTTTGACTTATACGCTGTTTTACTACCTTTTAAAATTATGTATTTATATGTATATGTAACTTATTATGTATATGTAAAATCCCACCCAAATATGCAAGGGTCGGGCAAAAATCTTCGAATTTTTTTATGATAGATTTAAAAATTTCACTGTTTTGATTCCTTGATGTAAATGAAAGTGTTTAAACAGTTTTTGGTTAACCATGTACCTTATAACGTCCATACTTTTATATAGCTGACTTCCTATAGGATTAAAAAATTTAACACAATCCAACTTTTTGGCTAATTGTAAGTTTTAGCTACCTGCACGGATGTTCCAGTCATCCGGCTAGACTTTTTAATTTCGCGCAGACACACGTAAAACCTTCTGGAAAGCATAAGAACTTCCAGTAGAAAGTCCAAAGACTTTTATCCAACTTTTATGTATAGCGGGCCAAACCGGGCCGGGCCGGGCCGGCCTGGGCTTTCATCGGGCCGGGCCGGGCCGGGCCGGGCCTGAGCAAATTTGAAAAAGCCCTGGGCCGGCCTGGTCACTGCGGCCCGCGGGCCGGGCCGCAAAAATCGGCCCGGCCCGGCCCGATTGCCACCTCTATTCAAAACATGTGCAAATTTTGGGTCAATCTGTAAATTTTGGGGTGAGAATTGCTTATACAACTAAATTTTTATAAGCGATTCCTAGCCGTGCTTCAAATCTGTATCAAGTTTAGCCTGATGGAATGCATGGTACTATGTCTATTACCGTTACAAATAATCTAGTCGGTGATAAAAATCACTAACCAAAATTTTCAACTGATTCCTATATTGTATGTAGTCTGGGGCCTCATTGATTTCGTTGTAACATCCAATTGTTGAATGAAAGAAGACAAGTTTTACACCGCCCAGAACCTCTCAATCACCACCCATTTTCCCGACTTTTGATAGGCACAGAATTCCTCTTCCATTTCTCATTCTTTCTTCTCGACCGGCTGGTCTTTACACTACCGCCTGCCCATAAAATTGTAAACATTTGTTTGGTTTTTAGCCTGCAGAATTGTGAAAAAAAAAAGATTATCCGCAATTTGCTGGGGTTTCCAGAAAAATCTGTACAATTTGTTTATCGCCTTGTTTACAATGTAACTGCGTCTTTTGCTTCCATCAAGGGCCGTAAAGTCGCTGCAAAGTAGGGTCTTAACCGTCGCAGTAAACCGATTCCTTGTTGTTTGCCTCAAGGCGTATTGCGGACGATAGTAAGTTACTTTTTACACTGTGTACTGAGCATCTGGTAGTCCAAAATAGAGCAGTCCAAATCAGCTGAGCGGTCAGAAAAAAACCGTTTTTCGCTGATATTTTTGCTATTTTCCTGAGGGCAACTTAATTTTTTATGGAAACTTTGCCCTCTACAGTATAAATTGGGCCAAAAAATATGCTAAAAGCTTGCAGGGCCAAGTGTTTTGCCAATTTTAAACCAAACAATGGTGTTTACGGAATATAAACGCAAAAACAGCATTCGTTTTCTCTGAACCGTCCAATAATTGCTTGATGGCCCTGTTTAACTAGTGAAGGACATACTCCAGAGCATGTAAACTGCCTACGTAATATTTCCTGCGGTTATGAAGAATGGCCGTTCTTGCGAAGGCGTTCGTTTTTGGAAATATTTTTAAAACTTGGCGGTCAGAGATTGGCCAAGCCTTAAAAATGGTCGAATTTTATGGTAGGCAGTAAAATAGAGCCTATGTATGTCCTGGTACTAAGTTATGCAGGTTGCAGGATATTTCATTATCAAAATTTTCCTCTGCCTTCACATGGCTCATTTCGTGACCTCTTATTACCAGTTTTTTTATCTTGAGAATGACAATGAACCCTATGGCCTATAGCCTAATTTATAATATTATTTTCCCTCAAAAGTCGAAAAAAACACTTTTTCAAAAGAATAAATTTATAATAAAAGCGGAAGCAATGGACCGTAGAAGAAAGCATTGTGTTTTTTTTGACATGACGAACCTTTGGCTACCGTAATTTTAAGGAAGATTCTAAAAATCTCAAATTTGGGATGCTAAAAAATGTTTTTCGTATCAAAATTCCTCTCAGTATGTATATTTTTGCAATCCCTTCGATTGAGTGTTTATGGTATGTTTACACTTTTTGGACGAGGAAATATTATTTTTGGCCGGAAGGAATTTTGTTGAAATTCTTTTGAATTCCAACACTTTTCGCATGTGAAGGCTGAGTGGGTTGAAACGACGCGGGGAAATGCGCATTTTTAACGGGATCCTGGACAATTGTACAAATATTTGAAGCGAGTGCGGGAAGTTTATAAATATTTGATAAAAACGTCTTATAATAGTACCTTTGTAGAGTAAGTTACCATGGAAATTATTCCGGAAATTTTAGGTTTTTTTAGATTTTTACATTTTTTGATTAACAAAGTTTTTTTTATACCTCAAAACTGTAATATCTTTTGCTGTTTGACCCTTTGACCCCAAATCTTTTTCTCATATATCCGGTTGAATTTGACGTCCCCTGAGGCCAGGGATGCGTGAAGAAGTGATTCGTCTTTCTGTTGACGGAACCCAATATTTGCACGAATTTGTTTGCGTTCAAAAATTTGATTCGGACCAATCGGTCCACGAGGACTTTGGAATTTGATACTAATAACAAATTTTCGGATAGTAATTAGCTGTGGGCAGGTCCGTTTTTGTGAGTCGTCAAACTTGGCAAAGACTTAACATTGTCTTGTGTATATGGTATCTGGCATATATGTTTTTACAATATAGAATAATGCTGCCACTTATAACTTGTGCTTCAATTTCCGACAGTTTTTCCATCATTTTCTCATCTAACTTGTTCACAATTTTATAATTCTTTCTCATCATGCTTCTTGATGCCCTAGTGTAATATAAGTAATCCTTTTCATAACCAAAAAACACATAATCCATTCTAGAAATAACCTCAACTCTGTCCGCGGTCCCCAAATATGCAAATATCTTTCCTCCCATGACCTTAAAGTCTTCCCAGCCAAAAAAACTTACTGACACCTGGGGGTGTTATCATATGCGGTTTCAAATTAAAATTCAAAGTCCACGGTGAGCTTGTTTTCGCGAAAATTCGGGGTTGGATTGTGTTTGTGATTCGGTTATTCTCTCGCCGATCATAAGGTAACGCCGGGTCAGATTAAGGTCTGTTCGCAGTGGGAGAGATCTTGAAACTGAAATTTTCTAGTATTCTATTATAAAATATAACTTTTTGCTGTTTTGGTGAGAAAAAACCAAGTATCTAGCTGAAGAAGCAGATAAAGTATTGCTATTTTACTATACTCGCCTGTCGGTTCAAAAAATCATCAACCTTTATTACACTTATCAGGCTGTTGGCAGAAATGTTGGACCTCGAAATCAGCGAGGAAATTGGTGAGTCTGTATCTTTTGCAGATCCCCATGATAATTTGGCGTGACTGAGAAAAGGGTATACTTACTATTTCCCCTATTATTAAGAGAGATACTAAGTATACAGACGTGCTAAACAGGTTGCACAACCCCTCAATTTATCAGTGTCTCTTGTCCTTCCGTTGAAACTCCATATGATATCCGATTTCGCCTCTCTTTAATTTAACGCTTGGCTCGGTTTTCCAGCATTTTTGATCCTTTGACGCTTGCGGGTAAAGGTTATTCCGGCCCAATTTTGTTAAGTGAAAACGTCAACTTGCAGTTATTCTGGGAGGATAAGAGTGACGGGTATTTTTTGAAGCGGTCATTTGAGAATTGGCAAATTTGCAATTAGATCGTATTGGTTGTCAAAAATTTCTGTTTCTTTAAATTTTAGTGTCTAAAAATCTTGATATTGTCCTCCAAGCACGGGCTAAGTGCAATCTTAATCTTCCCCGAGTTTTATTAAAATCCTCCACCCTCACTTTGCGAAATCAGCCAAAAAATTCTGAAGATTTCTTGACCATAAAGCATATTTTTTGACCTTCTAATCTTTTGATTTGAAGCACAAAACAGAATGCTTACGAATCACCGAAAAAGGAGTTGTAGAAACCTTCGGAATTTGTGGTTTCAGACAACGGAAATTGAGCGCAAAAAAAGACTTCGAAATGCCTTTAGGGGATGGGTTTGCGTGGGGGATTTTGTCAAAAAAAAAAACCGGAGGAGAACAAGAGCGTCTCGTGGGTTAATTGATATTTATTTATCAGGGAATGGGAGTTCGAGGAGGGGAATTTAATTCCGCATTTCGTTTTTAAAAAACCGCTGATCAAAGGAGGGGGTGGCCAAAAATTTAGGGGACTGTGGTTGGAGGTGTCGGTAACAAAAATTGATGATTTTGGGGTGTTTTGGCCAAGTTCGGATGCATAAAATTGACTCGGATTTTGAAACCTGCGATCACAAACTAGCTTATATTAGAATGTCAAAAGCTATGAAAACTACTATTATGTATAGCTAGTATATAGCCGAATTGCGCTGCGAGATCTCGCTAAAACTTCCAAAATCTCCGTCCACCCCCCTCTATGATGTGAATCCCATAAATTGAATTATCCCGCAAATAACACGGATATTTCCTGACACTACTCCGTCTGCTATACGTTTTTCCCTCAGGCAGATATGTGTAATATTTGCAAAAAAACAGATGGTCGATTTCCCCAAACAATCCCCGTCCAAATTATTTATTGCTAATCAAATAACGGGCGTTTAATTTTTTTGCCTCCGAAAAAATGGTTTGACCAAAAATTGTTGTACCAACGATACGAATACCTGACTTTCGCGCCCTTTTAGTGGTGGCGAAATGGTTGGGAAATCACCCTCTTTTACTGAGTAACTTCATTTTCTTTTTACAACCTACTGGTTTCCAGTTTCGTCGAGAAAAAACGTGAATTTCCTTCAAGAGTTAGTTCCTGGGGGAGGCGTATAAAAAGGAGGCCAAGATAAACTTGGAGAGCGGTCAATGATTAGTCTGCACGCAATGTTTTGTCTGTAAAGGAGTTGCTAATGCGGCTAATAGTAAGAGAGAATATCTGCGGATTACCGTAATTCTGGCTACGAATGACTTCTGTACTTTCCGTTCCATTTTTTAGGAAAATTGGAGAATCTGTTTTGGTCTATGTTTGGGTGTCTGTCCAACAAAAATTTCGAGGCCATAGGAGACCATTGAGAACAAAGGGTTCTTGGAGCGTGGAACTCGTGTTTTTGCCAAAAAAAAACCACAAAATTCTTGTAAAAAAATTATTTTTGGCCTTAATAAGACTTATGGTTCCTGCTGGTGTTAGTGTCCTATAATAAATGGGCAAAATTGAGTAAATTACCCTTTTATTACCTTATCTTTAGGTCTAAAAATCCTTGCTTTATTCTAAAACTCACTATTTACATATCAGACTGCTTAATGTGCCCTTAGAAAATTCTCTTAAAATTGTTTTATGTTAAGAGTTCAGTTGACCAGACGCTTAGTCTAACGTGGCTGTTATTTCACGGTGCTTTGCTCATCGCTACAATTTTTAAACCCTAAAGTGGTTGTTGAACCCTGGGCGGTAAACAATTAATCAAGATAATCTAAATGGAAGCTGTAAGCTTCCTGTTTATAGTATTTCGCGAGTTCAGCCGAGAATTTGAACTTTCAAGACTCTGTGGACGTAAAGCCACGGATTTTTGTTCCACGGCGGCTTTTGTGGCTTGCCGACCTTGTCGTTAGAATGGCTTTGAAATCCTAAACTTTTGTCTGCTTACGGATTAAGAAATTTGATTACGGAAAAGTACTGTAGTCTGGCCACCTTCCACGGCACTTCCTCTCTCCGAAGTTATATTTTTGGCCATCTGCATGAATCTGAACTAATATTATACATGACATCAGATCGACCTCAGCCCTCTCCGTCTCATTTTTTACTTTCTTGTTTGAGAATTTTTTGCGCACTGATTTATGACGATTTATGACATCCTTTCCAGATGATTACATTTTTCTCGTCGGGGTTGGAATAGTTCCTCCCAATTCATCATATTTTCTGGAGGGATGCTACGTGAGCCATGATGACTTGGCTTAATGGCCACCTTCTTGTCTATGATTCAAATTGCAGGCGGTTTGTTTGGATGTGGGGGTTATGAGCGGGTCATGAAGAGGATTACACGGGATTTTATGAGAGTTTTTGCCCGGATTTTTGATTTTGACCCATTTCTTTGTTGTTGCACATAAACAGAAGGTGATTTTTATCATCCACCGGCTTGTTTAACCTACAAATTCTTTGCCTTCTACTTTCAAACTTCTTCTCCTTCCAATTTCTTATGAAACCATCAAAGAGCACCCATTAGCACAGACTACCGCATTCCTCTCTCCTCTTGACACTGATATCCGCCTCGAACGGCGATTATCGACGTTAATTGATAAGCGAGTGATCAGTCAGCCGCCTTCGGCGAAACTCTACCTTGTGACTTCGGTTCGGACACTTGGGGTTCTGACTTCTTTGTTTACTCGATATAAGCCCAAGAAAGGCGGGATTTCTCGCGAAACCGGGCTTTAAATATCACTTTGAACGGCTTCTTGCAGGGTTTGTGGTATCTTCGAAGATGAGGTATTTAGCTATGAGTTGTGTTCTGGGGTTGAGTTGCAATTTTGCAATGATTTTTACAGGCTTATGACCTTCTTTATCTTTTGTTTATTTTGACAAAAACCAGTGAATTTTTGATTTAGATTTGCTTTAAGAATGCATCAAGATGACCCACAAAAAATCATTTTTTTAAGAGTCTAGAGGACAGTAACTCATTCTAAGCAGTTTAGGAGCCATTGCCATACCATTTACGTCCAATTTTATCCTCTTTTCCTTCTCATCCTCTTACAATCTTCTCCCATTATTGTAATGTGCAATCTCCGTCCATCCCAATTTCCGCAAATATTCATGCACTGGAACGGGTGTGATCGCTTATTACGACAAACAACACCGCAGATTTCTGGTCTTGACAATGTTTTTCACCGTCAATTTTATGATAAGAGCTTTGTTATTTTGCGGTGTTTAACATAACTCGCTTCTGCAAAGGGGAACGATCTCTGTGTAAGCCAAACGAATAGGGATGGGGGTAATTTACGGTGGTCTGGTTAGCAGATTGTTTGCATTGGTATGACGGCTTCCTCTACAGTAATAAGGGCCGTAATAAGCTAAGCGTTCAACAGGCCAATTTCTAGCGATTTATAAGCCGTTAGACATGGTTTATTATAAATAAATTTTGTTCCTCCTCATTGCTTGAAGTAGTAATTTTCATTGCTTTGTTAACAACCTCCAGAAATTGCATGTTTTGCACCTGTAGTACGTCCCTTACATTTGGCTTGGTTTTTACGTACAAGTTTAAGCAATTTTTTGCCCGTAGGCAGTCTGCATTTTAATTTTTTTGCTGACATTTATTCCGTATATCTTTTAGACTCTTCTGGCCATAACTTCCAGGTAATAAGATTAATCCCTTCCATGATATGACCGTTATTTTAATCTTGGATCCCTTTCTACTTCTGAGAATTTTTCCCAATCTTCAAACCCTTAATCTTTGCTTTTTTCCACACTTTCCTCTTGCAGGTGATTTTGAACGTCTCGTAGACTGTTCTGCTCATAACTTCCAGGCTATTGTTCCTTCTCCTTTTTCAATGTATCCATTATATTCAGCTTTGTCTTCGCTTTCGCTGAACCCCAAAATTCCCTGTCATCTTCTATCTAAATCCCGTTTCCACTCAAAAAGCTGTGTTATCCCAAAGTACGAGCGGGTTCCAGGGTTCACCGGGCAATTTCCAACCGTATTGTTTTTGGTATTCCTTGGAATTGGCGCCTAGACGACAGCTGTAAAGAGCTTGACGCACTTCCCCCCGCGAACTTGACAATAATTCGAATGGTCTGTATACTTAATAGCTGTCTTTATTCCGTTGACTTTAGTCTGGCCGCTCCTTTGTGAGGTTATGCGATTTGCAAGCGCTATTATAAACTCAGCTGCCTAAATGTTTTCCCGTTTTTGGGCCTTCTTACTTGGAAAGAAAACAGGGATTTAATGCTGTTGACACTGCGATTATGTTGTTTACTTGAGAACACGTGCGAAATTGGCGAATTTCTCTCCCAAAAACGCATCCAATATCTCGCGGTTCTCGGGGCGTATTTTTGAAACTTTTATTCGTGTTCAAACACCCGTAACTCACCAATCTATCGTTTTTATGCCAGTTCAAAGTGCCCCTCTTTTCGTGCGGGGATTAAGCGGCCAAATAAAAATAGCCGTTCTTTTGTCTCGGAATGCCGCGGGGGATTCGGACGTCTCCGAATGGGAGCGGCGGGAAATGTTTTTGGTGTTATCGTTGTCGCGGGAGATGATTCTGAAATTTCCGGAAGATTTTTAAAAATGATGCTAGATTTTTTTGTCGTCTGGCCGATTTTTTAAAAGTCCTTAGTTTTATATTTTTTCGAGCAAATTGAAATTCCTTCACCTCTTATTTCTATCAAAAAGGATGACGATTTTCTGGATTTCTTGTGGTTATCGTGACTCCAGTATCAATCACGAGGAACTGCCCATAAAGCGCTTAGGATCTTCATTGTTAATTGCTGTTTACATTATCTTTTTTTCTCCTCTGGTCACTTACAGTGCAAAATTGGTATGATCGCGTTTTAAGCTCCGAACGCCGTTGTCTTTTTTCCGCATTTCCAACAATGAAATTTTATGTGAAAAGTGCCAAAATTACAAAAGGATTGGCCATTTGGCATTTTTTATTGTTTGTGTATTTATAATCGGCTTTTCTCAGTGTCTGATCCGTTGTAACGGATTATAGGTCTTTGAGGTCTTTTTTGCACTTTACATATAGCTAATTCCATATATGGTCTTTTTGAAAAACACGATTGGACTTATTATGACATATTTTTTTGGATGAGGACTGTACTTAATGTTCCTGGAAAAGAAAATTTTCTAGTTTTCGATTTTTCATGGTCAAATGACGTTATTAAAAAGTTTTGTGTCTCCTCAAAGAAAAAAAATCGTCTGAAGTTCCTAAAGTTCCAGACTTTTTGTGACTTCCTCAATCTTTTTGTTTTTTTCCGGTTCAACTGCCAGTTTTATCATCTTATTTAACCATTTTTTTATTAATTCCTTCAATTTTTCAGTGAACTCCAAATTCCGCAAGAGAACGTCCACATTCCCGGAGCCCAAAGCCAAGTTTTCTCCGGCCAAGTGCTTGAATCAGGAGAAACGAAGACTGGACACCAACAATAATCGGACAGCGGACGAGATGCTGGGCGAGGACAAGAAGACCGGCGCGAAGAAGCGCAAGCTGTTGACGAAGTTGTTCCGTGTCCTCACGCTGAAAGGTGGGCTGGAGTTTTTGAGATTTTATAGGGCTAGGTTTGACTGTAAAGTAGTCAATTTGATATCAGTAAGTCCTAAGGGCTGTAGAATTAACATGTTTGTCAAAAAATGCCGTTTTAAGTTTATTGTGAGAAAAGTCGAAGGTTAAGATCGAAAAAAGCGTCATTTTAGTGTTAATTCTCCATTATTATCTTTTGTCTGCGCCTGCGCTACTTTTTTTTACATTTTTATCTACTCCATTTTACCAGGCATTAACCTACAGCTCCCTTGTTGCGATTTCAAAATCAGATTCACATGATTTTCATCCATAAAATTACTTTTTTTCCGTAGTTTCTAACTTCTTTCTCCCCCCGTCATTATCTTTTTCGTAAAAAATCAATCAACACTGAATTTGACGTAGATTACGACTTGTTCCAACGGGTTTCATGACGCACTTAATCATCGAATTGGCGTTTTACGGGGTCTATTTTTATAAAAAAGGGGTTCGTAATGTCGTAAAAGACCGTGACTGGAAAAATAAGCCTATAAAAGTGTAAAATACGAAATTCTAAATTGTAGAAAAATAATTTCACAGTTTTTGCATCGCCTGAAGCAAGATTATGCAACTTTTTTCAGTCTCTGAACTTCCGAATTCAGTTGAAAATTTGATTATCTTTGACCGGAGATTGGATATTCTTTTATCGACAAATAATATTATGTCATTCATAATTTTTTGGCCAAAAATAGACTCCTTCTATTTATGGAGAAGCCTTTGAAATAAAATAATTGAATTTTCGATACGAATGTTTTGGCTGGCAAAAAAATTTTTCTTTTCAGATCTTATAAAACAGTTGTTACAGTACTCCAAAAAATACGGATGAAGATTTTTTTGTTTTCTCGCACTTCCGACAATAATATTGTCTTTCCGAGCTTATTGTCTTTACTTTTTTTATTTTTGGAAGTAAAACAAGTAATAAAGCCAAAGCGGAAACCTATTACAATGTTCCCGAGATGAACTGTGTTGATAGGGTAGTGTTATAAACAAGATAGCAAAATATTTTTTTGCACTGTGCAAAATATTTTTTTTTTGATAAGCTTAGATTGCGATAAGACTCAGGAGAAAATAAGATAAAGATTTTTTAAAAAGCAAGGAAGATTTTTTAGAAAGCGTTTTGCAGAAATATTTAGAATTTTTTTTTCTAATTTTCAGCAAATTTTTTTAGCTTCTCTATTAGGAAATACGTTATTTGATGTGTGGAATACAATATTTCTACTTTAACATGAATTTTTTCCTCGCAAAATTTACAAAACTTTCGTCTAAAAACGCATTCTTTTTTTTGTCTGACCGTCTCTCCTAATTTTCCATAGTCTCTCGTTGGATGAAAAATTGATCAAAAATTCAAAGAACTTTGAATCTTTCCGAGAAGAACACCTCATTAAGAGGCTTCATTAATTTTTCTTCCAACAAATGTTTTCTCCAATCACTTGTCACTACAGTAATCACTTGAACATGTTCATCAGCAACTTGTTCACATGTCTCCGAACATGTGAACTAGAAAAGAAAAAAAACGGTTGTTTGATGGGCTGTGGCGTGATAATGCGAATGACTAATGAGAGCGAGTAATTGAGTAGTGGAAAAACATTGAAGAAAGTGGTTTGCTGAACCGGGGTTCCGATGACGACAAAGTTAGTGGGCTTATAGTTATGAAAAATAAAATGTAGAAAAACGTAGATGTTGTTTCATGAACGACGAGTCACCGGAAGTGAGGCGATCGTTCAAATTGTTGACCTTTTTGTTGTTTGTTGTCTGGTTGGCGAAGAAATCAGATGTTCGCGTGTTTAAGATTAATGTGACCGGAAGTCCATAAGGTTTTAAGGTTCCGGAGGCAAAAAGAATGCTATAGTTGAGACCTTTTTGTCTGGGGATTTATTACAGCTTCTAGGTGATCCCAACGATCTCAAAAACTTTTTTGTCATGGGTTAGCTCCTCGGCTTGCACATTCACAATCAAGGAATTAAAAAAAACCCCCATTAAATCACCGAGGTTGTTATCGAAGGAATAAAGCTCGTCATCGTTTTTTTCCAACGAATTTTTATCTCTGGTCACTCCCCGAGAAACTCACGAGGTTTGTAGATCAAAGAATGCAAATCCATTTCCGATTGGTACGACCAATGAGTCGGATTAGTTTCTTATCATCTCGAAACATGCCTAGGGGTCTAAATTTGGAAAATTGGCGATAAAATAAGATTCGTACGAATAATTTTTTAATTTTTTGTGGCTATCGGTTTTCTATGCTTCTCCAATTTTTCTACTTCAAAATCACTCCAATCCAGTCTTTGGTCGATTAGCCGCAAACAATCTTCAGCTCGCATCAACTGCAGTCTAATCGAATTAACCTTCTTTCCGCTGCAGGCTGCCCTTTTTATTATTTGCTTCGTAAAGAGGACCATTCCTTTTTCACGTGGCCAGGAAAAGTAATGTCTTAAGAATCCGACGCATTTGTTGTTTTCTGTTTACGACACATTCAGAGATCAGTCGGTTCTTTGTCTTTTTTCCAGTTATCAATTGATTCTAGAAGGGCAAACTTTGGGGGGAAGAGCGGGGGGAGGAACTCTTTAAAGATCGCTCGGAAAGGTTCTAGAAATTTTTCGCATTTTTGGACGCTGCAGCTCACATGAAAACGTCGTAAAACAACTATGGGTAGTGAGTTTTTTTGAGAAAAATTGTGAAAAAAAAATCATGAAAAAAAATTTCGTCAAAAAATAGTCTCAAAAAACATCTGACGGTTGAAAACACCTTACAAAATTTGGATCATTAACTCCGATCAAAAACGTCTTCTTTAGCAATATTTTGAAACAAAAAAAATCGCAAGAGCAAAACAAGCTTCAAAGATTGCCCTGTTGTTCACATGTTCTGATAACTGTTTTTCAAAGATTCGTGATCTTTGCGAAGCGCGGGCTGTTTACCGCTGCAATAATAAAAAGTCAATTCCCTGGGCTATTTTGGGTGTTACTTTACTGTAATGTGTGACTGATGAAACAAGGCTGTATACCGGGTCCCTATTTATATTCTAGGTTAATGATTCCCTCGGGCATTACTTGCATTTCAATTGAAAAATTGCTTTATTCCAATTGCATAGGCTACAATTTACAATTTTTCCCATTTTCCTGCAAAAAATTGATCAATTCTTTAATATTTTTTTTTCTCTGCCGTCTCTTCACTCTCCCCACTCTCTCTTCTCATTACACTGTACGTTGTTTCCGTATTTCCGGGGCATTCCGGTACTTGTTGTCCCCCACACAACATCCACATGAATGGGCGTGGCCTCTTTTATTGCGCAACGATCTCAATTCTGAAGAGATATCGCACAAATCAAAGAGACGCCCGGCAAAAAGGCCTTTGGGAGATCGCTGATCAGTCTCGAAAGTTCGTAAACAAACAGAGTGTGGAAATGAGAGGCGGTAAAGAATCAGCAATCAGTTCGCTGGAAGATAAGAGAAAAAGGCGGCGAAACAGTTATTTGTTCGGTTCAAAGGTGTCGCTTATATAAGCCGGCGGGTCCCTGGAACGAACTGTTATTCTGACGCGCTCCAAACGTGACTATTAACTTACTACGCAATTGTTTTTGAGTACAGAGCAATTTCAACCGCTATTCAGCCAATTATTCCACTGTTCTAAGGGTTATATCCAGAATATAGCCATCCAAGTGACTAATGCTAGACTGCGATTCTGATTTGAAGCTTTTGTCAAAGATGATGACCGCTAGCCAGTCGTTACTCATTGCTCAAATGGACCCGCTAAGCTTGGCGTGGCTGAAAAAGTCGTTAGTTAGGCGGATGATTGAATTGGCCGAAATGCAACAGCCAGGTTAGTAAATATGCCGATTACTGTCTAAATAGAACACATCTAGCCCACAGAGCTTACTGATATCATGAATAGGGAACAAATTCAGTATAGGTCTCTGAAAAGGCTGTTTTATTCAATTTTAACCTTGAATTTTTCAGATATTTCCGTTGGCAAGACCTACCCTCGTGACTACCGCGCCAAGCACGCTTCAGCCAAGCGAAAGCGCGCTCGTCATAGCCAATCCTCAACCCTTTCGAACTACGAACCCATGCCTACGATCCTCGAAGAATCGGATTCGGAACTGGCCTCGGTTCAATCGACTGTTCATCGGTTTAGCGGTCTACATGTAAGCCCTTCAAACAACACGTTAACTGCCGCGTAACTGGATCCGAATCCCGATGATTTTGGACTAGTCTGTTAGCCGGTGGTATTTTACGCGTAGACGTGGTAGTTATCGATTTTCGGATATATCATTGTTTCGATTCTTCACTATCTCCTCATGAAGAAGAAACTTGTGTTTTGCAAATGACTTTTCGGGCAATTTCTTGGTGGCCGGAGAACCCAATTAAAGGAAGCTTGTAGTGTTTGGTAGAGTGGCCTGAAGGCTTTCTGCTGAGACTAGGAATACCTTTTTTCCTTTTGTAAATTTTGAGATTCCCCCATTTTCGACATCAGCTCCAATTATCGATGACCCAGAAATTTTTCTTCTTTTATGACTCCAGAAAACTCTAGACAACATGTAGGTTGTAAAAGGAGAGCATATGAGTCGTTGCTATCTCATTTTTGACTGATAAATTGGGGCGTAAAAAACGCGCTATTCCATTGCAAACATTCCGTAGGGTTCCCCAGCATCGAGTTTCTGACCGGAAGTCACATTCTCAACTGTTGTTCAAAGCTTTACCTTTGTTGTAAATATTTCCTGGTCTGCGACTAAGCACAATTTGAATATACAGGTGCGTTTCTTGATTATTCAAATTGAGATTTTTGGATTCTTTGTTTTTTGGACGGAAGATTGATGACTATCAGTCTTAACAGTCGTATTTTACTACAGTAGCTACCATTACAGAAACGTAATGATAGCTACTGTATTGTGGCTAAAATTATCTCCGTTTGAGGTCACTTTTTGCTGCTCGTTTTTTCCTTAATTTACACTTTGGACCCATTTTTTGCCTTCCATTTCAAAGACAGGAGTGTAACATAAGACTGATAACATCTGACCGTCCAGTCATTTCCCTAATTTATCGTGCAATGTAAATTCACCACTACGAAAACACTCACTTTCGTATCTATGTCCCATTGTGATCAATGTAGAGGTTAGTCTATGTTACTCATCACAAACTTGTTGTCTTTCGGAGAAACGGTGTAATTTTTCTTCTAATATTTTTTATTATGTCTCTTTCGAGATTATATGATCAGTTTATTTGTGTGCGATTTGTATTTTTGACTGGATTATTGTGATCTGAAAGTAGTTCGCTGTATGAAATGCTTTGAAGTTGACAATAAACAAATATTAATAATTTTGGATGGACTTTTTTGGATTTTAAGATTGAGAGAAGCAACAATCGTTTTATTTCAAGACTTGTCACACATGTTTTGCTCATGACACAGAAGAATGCCTGACAGTTCTAGCTTGTGTTCGCCAAAAGCAATCAAGATATTTAACGACTGTTGCAGTCAACATGCCACACAAAACAGACTGAACAAAACAGAAGGGAATTGCTTTTATCTTTGCGAATTTTGCGGCGAACGGATCGTTCTCTGATATGGCAAAGGATTTCTTTTGAAGCGGAATGCAAAGTCTCCGGCTACAACGGACGTCTGGCATTTATAAACCTTAAAATTTTGGTGCTTTCTGGGACATGAACGCAAAAATTTATTTTTTTAAAAAAAGCTTTGAAAAAGAGTAAATCGGTAGGTAAACCAACCATCAAAACATAATAAACTTCGAGCATTGTGGGCATGCTCGTTAAAGAAGTTTGAACTCAAATCTTCATTGCGCAGGCCTTGACATGCCTGTAGAAGATTGGTTATTGATCAAATAATTTTTTATTGTTTGATTGTTTTTGATGGCTTACATTTTTCGAATTTTCCCGAGCTCTTTTTTGAAGTCTTCTCAAACATTCTAGTCTAACATCCAGCAGGCCACACACATACCAACAGTCATAAGAATGCGCTACAGTAGTCAAAATACAAAAGAAATCTAACGATCCCTATAAGCGAAGTATTTGAACCCATTAGATTCTTCACTCCTACATCCTGCGGTCGTAAATCACCGACCGAACTCCCGACGGACCTAAAAGTGTAAAACTGGGAATGTAAAAACTCTCAAAGTTAATTTATACGCGTCCTTCGGGTAATTTTTATTCACTGCCCGCTGCAAGTAAATGTTTATTTCGCATGTCAAATCAATTGAATTTTTTTCTCGGGGTCGTTCCGATTTTTCGATGCAAAGTACTGACTACTAAATATACACGCTTTGACGAGTTGAGAAGAACTTTTTCACCTCATAAAAACGACGATAAAACATATGAGAGGGAAGAAAAGAGCTAGCGGGTCGTCACAGGAAAGTTCCCGGAGAGAAGTTGCTGTGTTGGAAAGAATAACGTAAAACTGACAAGGAAAGTTGTCAACTTTCAAATATGGGTTTACCAAGTTTGAGCAGGGAGTCAGTTTACGCCATATTTTAATTCGTAAAAGCTTTAGTGGATCCCTTGCAGGCGCAGTTGAGATATTACATAAACAATTATGGCCTTTAACTTTGCCTGTCTTTCAGAAAAATACAGGCAAACATTTTGAAAGTTGACAACTTTCCTTGTGCCTGAACTTTGCCTGTCTTTCAGAGAATAGTTTGAACGAACCTTTTGGTGTAAGTGCCCATCATGTATTTATCAAAATCATTCCAGCAGCTTTAGTCCGTTCACAAAGTCGCTGGCGTCATCTTTAGCGTTTGCACTGTGCAGAAAAGGTCAGGGTGCGAGCGATAGCCCAAAAAAGCTTACTGCACGGTGCGAAAAGCAAGAAATTGCACAGTGCTAGGTAAACTTTTGTTTTCGCACATTTCAGGCCGCGAAAATCACTCCAGGACCTTTATGAACGGACTAGTATTGTGAAGGCGTTCTAGTCAAACTATTCTTAAATTTTGCTTGCCAACAAACAGCTCTTCTCAAGCTCTTTTTCTGATATCCGAAGGATAATTGCAAAAGCATGATTTAAACCTTGTACGGCTCCCCTAGCGCTGAAATGCTGTTTTGCGTTTGCAGAAATGGGCAAACATCACAAGGTGCACTTCAGCCGACATTTAATGGGAAGTTCAAGAGGACATCTATTGGACCTTGGGAGTCTGTAGGATCTCGAGAGTACATCTGTAAGATTGCTCCGTACTGACAGCAGACTGCCAATTCAGCAGACAAATTTTTCAAAGTATATGATGAAAATGCAAATTTGGTCTGGTTCGTGTTAACATATGTACTCCACACAACATATTTCGCAGCGATCCACGAGCCTGAATGTCCACAACAAATATTTCTTGTCCGTTTATCAACGCCAGACAGCGGAAGTTCCCGTTTTCCTCGTGGCAACGCGTTGTCAGCGCAGACGTACTCTGATTGAAAACAATATTGTCGCCGTATCTATTATTTTTCGCACTCGTACTTCAAGTACACCTTACGGTATAAAACATGGTAAATAACTCGCGTTTTCCGTACTGGCACGTCGATTCAACGCAACCGGAAGATTTATTGTACAGAGACAGACGGTGAACTGTAAACAAGGCAATTACGCATTTGTCATTACATAAATGGGTGCATAAATATTGTCACAGAGAACGGAGCCGATTTTACTGACGGAATTCAGTCATCTGCTTGAGAATGGAAATTAAAAGACCGGTAAAGCCCTGAGGCCGATGATGTCATTGCTGTAGTTTGGAACATTAGATAAGGCTGATATTGAACATGATTAAAAAATTGACGTTGTCAGAGTAAAGCGAGTTGTTTTAGTAGAAACTATTACACTTTTAAGGCAATGAATTAACAAATGTTACTTTTGCATTGTCGCATAAAATTCCTGAAAATCTTAGCTTGCGCTGAGCACAGCAACCCGGAATATTCAGCGGTCCTTGTCAAGATTCACCAACTCACGATAAAAAAAATCTTTGCTATTCCAGAAACGTACGATCCTGAAATATTCTTGGAAGAATTCGTTTAGCAAAATACCATTGACGTCAGGGTATACAACTTCCGGCAATTGTGAAAACACGTTACTATGAGTTTCATTAAATGGCGAATCCACTGTCAATTATTTTTTCAAATATTTGCACCATAGTCAACAACGTCCACTCTGTATTTTATTGCAACTCGATAAGCGGCCGTTTTTTTATTTTTTGATTCACAAATAACTGTCGCTTCAAACCGCAAGCGAGGATTTTCGCACATAGTTTGTTGTTGGAAAAGAATCTAAATTTGTGGCAAGAGTCATCAAAATCTTAACATCAAACATGGAGTACTTCTTCTGTAAGGGTCGACAAAATCTAGTGCCCTTGAATCAAGGATGTATTACGATTACTATATCAGAAACACATCTCTCTGACCGATAATACAATGCGTAGTTCCGAAGAAAGAAAGAAAACGTTGCCCTTTTGGAAGAAAGAGAGAAGAGAGAGAATGCATTCAAAGCTCACTGAAACGTTTCCTTCTTTCCTCTCTCCGAAAGATCAATCTTCTCGCTCTCTCTTTGAAAGAACGATGTGCTCGATCATAGAGGAAGTATTTAGCGGTTTTCTGAATGCCTACCGGATGGAATCAGGAGTATATCTTCTGTAAAAATGTTTTTGCGATGCGTTTCACATTGCTTCGAGTCATCTGCAGTGTTTGTATAGTCATAAAAAACAAGACTTTTTTGACGTCATTTCCGATACGGTAATAAACAAATTCGCAGTCCATGAAAGGTCATCGCTTTGACCAGCTACAGTACGCTCCATTTCTAATCAAAACTCGCAGCTCAAATTGAGACATTAGCTCAAGAAGAGCTCAACAACGACCAAGAAAAGCCCTCGGCAGCTGCACTTTGTTTAAATGAAGATTATTAGTCCTTCTTCCAAAAGCAATAACTCAACTCTTAAACATCTTAAACACTATTAACAAAGAGGGCGCCGAAAACTTGAGGGTGGTATATTAATGTTGTGCTTGTTTTTTAAACACGATAATTTTGAAGCAGAGATTTTTGAAATTTGAATATGTTGGTATTCGGCAACTTTTAAATTCTTTTTGGCACTCAAACTTAGGTGCGTTTGGACAAAATCTTTTCGGAAAATTTGTTCGATTTTTTGTCAGGATACTTGCCAAAACCGCTTTTGCAAATAGTTTTGAAGGCCCAGAAATTCGGATGTTGTTTTAAAAGGTCATGAAACATTCGGAGACATGCCCTATAATTTTACTGAATTGTAGAAATTTTAAGGCATGAATAAAATCTCAAAAGTTGGTCCTGGTCATTTTTTGCACATACGGTGACGTATCTAATCTAGTGGCAAAAAACGTACCATTTTGTATCCGGGAAGTGTCAAAAACGCAGCAAAATGCCTCCATTTCTGACTAAAAGAGCTTCGTTTTGAAGATCGCGACCACAAAAAGAGCTGGCACTTTTGAAACTGGAGTTTTTTCACTTGAAGAAGGATGCATCTTTCTACAATTTTTTGTACTTCCCGGATGCAAAATGGCACGTTTTTTGCCACTCGATCAGGTATCCCACTGTAAGGGGACGCCGTTCGTCTGTTGAAATTTCTTAATATTTCTCATAAAATATTTCGCTCACCACTAATTGTTTTCGATCAAAAATCAATACATCACCTTCATGGTCAAAGCGCACTATTGTTTTTGCTGAAAGATATAAGTGCGCGAAATTAGTTCAAACTAAAGGGCAATCGTCAAAATCCCATTAGCTCTGGAAATCAGCGAAAAACATTCCAAAGCTTCCTAAAACAGCGCGTATTTACATAGTAATTGCAGTTGTTTCTGATTTCATTTTCAACAAACCGAAAACACTGGCTTCCTGACGTTTTATCTTTTCAATTGGCCCGCGATAAGGAAAAAGTATAGTGCTTTTAATATGGGAAATGTGGTTTTAGACGTCCAAGGTTAATGCCACGTCTGCTAGATACGGTGTTTGACGTAAAGAACAGTTTGAAGTGCAAATTTGATCATTCCAAGGAGATGGTCGAAGAACGGGCGTCCAAGAAGAAAATCAATCGACTAACGCAGCTATGCGTGGCATTGTTCGGAAGTGTGCCGTATGTGGGGCTAAACGCGTTCTTGGTTGAGCAAAGTGTGCATACGCAGGTGCTGGTCGAGGGATGGTCTTTGGGTGCCATCGGAAGTGTAATTTTGCAGGTATTTTGAATTTATAATGTTTTCAGCATGCTGATATTACAGAACGCAGAAAAAGTTAAATACACTACAGTGAGGGACCTGACTCAGTGGCAAAAAACGTGCCATTTTGCTTACGGGAGGTATCAAAAATGTGGCAAAATGTTTCCCTCTTTTAGTGAAGAAACTTCGTTTTGAAGGGGGCGCCCTTTCCCCCACAAAAAGAGCGAGCGCGCTTTTGAAACCGGGATTTTTTCACTTGGAGAGGGAAGCATTTTGCCACATTTTTGATACTTCCTGAAAGCAAAATGGTACGTTTTTTGCCATTGGATCAGGTCCCTAACTGTAGTATTATAAAAATTTATATTCTGTATTGTAATGTAAAAAATGCATTGTCTTTTAGCTTGCCGCAATATGCGTAGTCTCCGCTGCCCTCATCGAATTTTTCTTCCTGAAAATCAAATTGCCAAGAGGACCGATCATATTGATTGTATTTACTCTAGTCGCAACATCAACTCTAATCCTTGGATTCTGCAGTGAATATACGGTAGTAATCTTCGGGAAAGAGAGGTCAATAGTCGTCTACTTGACAATGTTCATCATTTGTCTACCGTGCTCCATGTCGGACGTATTTATCATCCCGTATATGAAGAATCTGCCGCAAATGTATTTCTTGACTTTTTTCGTTGGAATTGGAATCAGCGCATTGTTTCCCATGGCTATTGCTTTGGCTCAGGGTAAGTCGAATTCTTTCCACAGGTCAGATATAATACAAGAGCCCTAAAATGGTCAAGGGCTTTCATACAGCTCATAGGACCGATTGATTTCGTCATGAATTCGTTGACCGTTCCAATCCTTACTGTTTTCAGGAGCCTCCACATACGAATGCGTTGCCTCAAAGAACGACCCCAACGATCTCAGACCTAACTTTGACCTCAGATTCGGAGTCACCATTTTCTACAGCTGTATATGCGCATTCCAAGTCCTCGGAACGATAGCTTTCGGCTTACTTCATTACAAACAAGACTTACTGAACCGACTTTGGTTCGGCGACTCTTATTTATTGAAAGAAACGAGCAGCACCGACGAGATGTTGGAGAAAGATGCGAACTTGAAGAATATCTGCGACAACCGAGACTACATTTTTCTCGGACTGCTGGGCGTGCTGACCGTTCAAGTTTATGTGTTCTTGCCGAGTCTGAGGAGTTATGCGACCTTACCGTATTCTAGAGTAAGCGAATTTTATTTTTGGTTGTGAATAAGATGCTCGTTGGAGTCCCTGAGTCACTGTCTGTCCAGCTAACACAATTTTTCAAAGTGACACAACCAAAATTTTTCAGGAAGCCTACTACTGGGCGTTGGTAATTTCTTGCATTTGCGACCCAACGGGCGGACTATTGGCTTACTTCTTTCCGACAAAGCGAATCCGCCATTTTATGATATGCATTACAATTGTTACAATCATATGGCTCTACATTATAATCCAATCCTTTAACAGTCCGTATCCATGGTTTGTTGGGACACTGTTTGGAAGTTTGTTAGCGGTAGGTAATTTCTTGAAATGCTTGGTACGTATATATATATATATATATATATATATATATATGTATATGTATATGTGTGTACGTGAAAAAGACAAATATGTAACATACGTATACATAATTAACCTGATTACAGGTTGTTCTTCAAACTGCAATGAGGATAATTCAATTCTACGCCGTTTCCCTGTTATTTGAGGCCGTTATGGAGCAAGGAAAAACAGAGCCGGAGAGAGAGCGACGCTTACTGTATTGCGGGTTTGCCTCACAGTTTGCGAATCTCTGTGGAACCGCGGTGATTTACATTCTCGTCAATGCCTTAGAGCTGTTCCAAGATCTACCTCCTTGCTGAATTGGTTTAGTAATTAATCATAATGCAAGTTTAATTACAGATATAGACATAATGTTAAAACATTCGTAAATAGTAAGTATAACTGATAAATAGTATTAGATTCAAAATGTTCCTTGTCTGTCTTGAATTAATACAATGACCGCAGGCTGAGAACAGTGTGATTCTCTATCTTCTGCTGGACGGGAAGCTTGTTGCACATGATTATCCGAAGCTGCTCCGTAAAGGCTGTGTTGTAGTCGCGGCTGAAAAGTTGTATATATATGTATACATAAGTTAAGAAATAATTTTCGCTCACCTCAACGTAAACAGCAATGGATAGTTGAGGACAATGGAGATGTTCATCAGCATCCCAATAAACAGTGGAATCGAGTAGTCTATCGAGACCATCAGCTTCGTCACCGCCACTCCAATCGTCATGTTCAGCAACCATCCACAGCAGATGCACAAACTAATCGCTGTGATTGATCTCAGCAGTTGTTTCGACTTTCGATAATTCTTGTGGCGAACGTTGATCCAGATGATAAGATACGCGATCAACGTCATCATGATTACCACAAAATTAAACATAAAATACAATGGCAATACCGTGAGAGGCATGTCTTGTAACGGTGAGCAAATTCTGGGCGTATCATCCATCTTGAGGTACGAAATGACTGGAAACACCCCCGAAACAAGCACGGTAACCACTAATCCCCAATACAATATTGCGGATTTTTTCTTTTTTTCGTAAACCTTTGGGTTGGCTATGCAAACTAAACGGTCGATGGAGGTAATAAGTAGCAGCATTGAAGAGCAACTGCATCCGAATGAAGGCACGACTTGTAACTTGAAGCATAATGCCGCTGGAGTAAAGGTTGTGGTGAAAACAGTGTACGCCAAGAGGAATATGCCGAATTGGTGGACAATGTCGGCCAAGGCGGTTAGCGCAATGAAAGTGTTGCATGTGGATCGGAGTGAGCTGAAAAAAGGGTTACATAAGTGAAAACTGTCAAAGCATGAAGGAAAAATGTGGTTTGGGTACTGCATTTTTTATCGCCCTGTATTTTTCTTTTGTCCAAATCTTCAATAGTTTAGAGTGGCGGACCTGACACAGTGACAAAAAACGTACCATTTTGCGTCCGAGAGGTATCAAAAAACGTATCAAAATGCCTCCCTATCCAAGTGAAAAAACTCCGTTTTGAAGGGCGCGCCATTTCTCTCGCAAAAAGAGCTCTCCGCTTTTTCCTCAGGATCAGGTCCCTTCTCCACCGAAAAAAGTAGTCGCAAGGCCCTTATTTTCTTACGGTAGAGAGCCAGTAAAGTATTGGTGATTCTAGCCGAAGGACATTTTGCAAGGCCTCAAAAAACCGACTAGCTGCAGCGACACTCCTACTGATTCGTTCGCAATGTCGCTGGAGTGACTTCGGCGACACGCACTGTGCGAAAACAAAAGTTCCCGCTGCACTGCGCACCGGAAAATTGCGGCGACGGGCGCAAAAGAAAAACAAAAAAAAAATATAATTTATATATCCAGTTCAAATGTGGCAGGACTTTATGGCGCAACTAGTAGGCAAGTATCAACTTACAGGGGAAGTACTCCAAGTGCGACGCTCAGATTTTCTTTAAATTTTGCACACACGTCGTGTATGGACTAAATATCAATTCTTGAAAGTTTTAGCTCGCGCTTTGCGGGCGCCGCCAAGATATCGAACGATTTTTGACGCCGAGAGAGCACGCTAAACGTGGAGAGCGGTCAGAGAGAAAACCGCTTGTGGCCATAACTTTGGCAGTTTTGTGCGGAAAAATTTGATTTTTTGTAGAAACATTATTCTTTACGGTAGAAATAGGCATGAAACTTTTCGTGCCAAAATTCGGCAAAAAGTTCGAAATTTTCGCCGACTTTCGATCTAAAAATCTTTTTAAATTTGTGCCAAATTTCATCAAAATCGCACTTGGAGTACTTCCCCTGTTAGTTCTCGAAGAAATAAAAGAAAATAAAAATAATAACCGCTTACCGATTCCTGTATGTCGCCGCAACAATGTTCCCATTGCCGAAGATCCCGAGGACGGCGAGGATCAACAGCAGCAACGCTGCGACCTTCGTGCTACTCTCAGCATCCATTGCTTAGAATTGAAACACAGACATCTTTGCTCTTTCCCCAACGCATTGAGAGAAACATAAACAGCAGGTGTCTACCGTAAAATAATTAAACAACTGTGAATGTTTTGGTGACAAACGTATTCTTATGTACCCGCCCGCATGTGTTTTGAGTAAGAAGCGTGGATTAAATTTACCAAGGAGAGAAACGCAAGAATATTAATTTTAGCTCGCGTAACAAAGAAAGTGAATTATTTTTAAACGCTTGTGCCCCTTTATATCTTGTTAATTTTTGGGTGTAAAAACTGGTGTTTGAACGTTGCTTGAATTCTCCCCGTTCAGTGGGTACAGAATAATTTGCGGGTTTGTAGGGATTAAAACCTTGATTTAACGCGATAAAGGACTGCGTGATGTTTTAAAGATCTTTTTATAACACCGCGTTCACCTGCTTGATTCTATTATATAATACGGCGCTGTCGTATACATACCACGTGATAAAAATTACCAATAAGGGTTATTTTCCTACCGTAATCTACATAGATACAGATTAAAAGTATAACAGGTATTTTCACAGGCACACAGACAATAAAGGCTGTAATTAGATTAAATAAAGATATCAAAACTTGTAAGTCTAAACCAAACAATCACAAACCGGTCAAATGTAACGTGTGACGTGAATGGTCCAACTTCAATTGAATCTTTTGACATGCGTTCATATTGGTATGTCTTTCTGTTTTAATACATTTATCAGAGAAAACTTGCGAGTGGGTTCAATGTACCTGGAAATTATTCGCTTATTCAGTTTGAAATTCATTTATCAAGTTTCATTTTCAGCCAAAATCAATGAAATAAATAACCGAGTTTCATGGCCAACCAAAAGTTCATTTGTGCAGATGGGTATTGAAAAAGTACAAAGAAACACATGAATTTGTCATGTTTTTTTGTATTACGCTTTTTCGACCTTTTTTCGAACCCCACAATGCATGTTGCGCAACGCTATTTTGAAACATTCTGCACTGTGCAATTTCTAAAAATTCGGGTCAACCCCGTTGAGAGAAACTAGCGTCGCAGAGGCATTGCACTAGCACGATGCAAAGCGTCAAATGCACTTAGCAAAAAGGGTTTTGTGCACGGTGCGGATGATGTCAAAAAGTCTACAGACTTCTTTAAAAAAATCAGTGCACATTTTAGCCAGAAAGCATCTTTTTGCTTTGCACAGTGCGAAAAACAGCTTACGAGCGCTTTCTCAGGCCCTTCACTGTTGATTTTTCTACTTTTCCCCAGACGCACCGCACGTCAAACTGAGATAAGCTATATAAAAACAGTCCAGTGGATTGGCCATTTGCCGAAAAAAACCGTGTATTTTTTCTCTCTTTGTCTGCGAAATCAAGACGAAGTGTAAAAAACCGATAGCGAAGAGTCTATTCCGGTCACCGGGCTCCTCAGCTTAACGTGCGGTAGTGCTGAAGTCTGGTGTTCTGAAGTAGCCAGGTTCGACGCTATCTGGAAAAATATGTGGAACAATGTAAGACTATTACAAGGCCGTCATATATAGGGTTGTTTGCCCAAACTTTTTGACTTTGAAGGCTAACGGCAAACCTCAGACTTGTTATGTAACCCATTAAGATGTACGGTAGTAATGTGAATGTTATTAACGCAGTTAATGTAATAATCACTGCGACTGTAATAACTAAGCCGTTTACTTAACACAACTTCTTTCCTTGACTTGTTAATTAAGTTTTAAAAACGTAGTCAGCACATCCGTTTCTTGTAAACCAGTATTTCTGTTAACAATTTTAACTTTCTTTCCGCCTTCGCAAACTTGTAAACAAAGCGTTTTATTTAATTTATTATATATCGCAACAATAGCTGGAAAGCTCAGGTGAAATGAATTTCAAATTGCCGTTTTTGTGTTAACGGATGAAAAATGGGCCATAAGTCCTATTATATAAAACATGAGAAATCTTGCCATTGTTAACGAAAATGCGAAAAATTTGAATCAGTTCAGTTGGAGTCGAAATTCGTTAAAAAATACTTGCATTCATCATCTGTGCATGAGCTTTGCTCTTTTGTCGACCGCTTCAAGCCTGGCACGAAATTGATGACCAGGTCTGGTCTAATTGCCACTTCTGACAAAGTCGTGAAAGGCTCACCCCAACATTATCATATTTAAATGCATAATCTGTATGTTTTCTTGCCCTTTCCGATCAATGATCCTGTTTGACGCTCAGGACGCCAAAATTTATACACCATATTCTGCTTACAATTAGCATTGCGCAATTTTTCTGCAGTCCTCAAAATTCAGTTTTCCGATGTCTCTCATTCATTTTTCTTAAACTCCTGAGCGCTTGGTCGCTTTTTTTCAACTTCTCAATGGTTCTCACACGAGCGCAGAAAAAGGAAAGGCCCGGGGTTGATCGGGATTGGCGCTTGAGCGACTTCGACGTTGGTCGCCCTCTTGGTAAAGGCGCCTTTGGCCGTGTGTATTTGGCGAGAGATAAAAACAAGCATGTTCCGTTGGTGTTGAAGGTAAGTGAAGGTTTTTTTATGACTTTGGGAAAAGTTCCTTATTCTGGCCACAACAAAGGTGCTCTGCGAACTGCGCCCAAGCTTGGGAACTAAAGTTAAGAAAAAGGCTTCGATCTGCCTGGCACTGAATTACTATAGTAGCTCTATAGTTTTAAGGATGCCTACGAAGGCTATGACGACTCATTTAGTTCAACATGGAGGCAATAAGTGTAGCTCCGTATAGGTTTCATCGTATAACGTGTAAAATCGCAGGCTGCAGCCGTTTTAAAGGGTAAGGTGGTACGTAAAAAAGAAGGTACCTCACTAACCAAATCTACTGCATTGACAACGATGAATTGAGCCTGCACGCCCAATTTGGGCCAATTCTGACCAGTTTTCGCAAAGTTATAAGTTGTGGCCAGAATAAGGAACTTTAACCGATTTTTGGGATAGACAATATAATTTTGGCATGTTTAGATTATTTTCAAAAACCCGTTAAAGACCCACAAAATGGAGGAGTATTTGGTCACAGAAATCACAAACCATAGTCATCTAATGTAAGTTTTTGGTTTCATAGTCGTTGTTGTGGCGGAAGTTAGAAAGTATTTTTTTTTGTGTATTACAGTCACCCGAACATTCTCCGCCTCTACAATTATTTCCATGACGAAAAAAGGATCTACGTCATGTTGGAGTTGGCGTTTCATGGGGAAGTCTACAAAGAACTACAACGTCGCGGACGGTTTGAAGAAATTGATGCAGCAAAGGTGAGCAAGGACTAACTTTTTATGCGAATATAAAAAAATTGAAAAATTTTTAGTCATCAATTCCTCGAGTTTCTCAATTTTCTATTTTCAGTACATCTACCAAGTATCGGACGCCCTCGAATACTGTCATCAAAAAAAGGTCGTCCACCGTGATTTAAAGCCCGAGAATTTACTCTTCGACGAGGATTACAACATCAAATTGGCGGATTTTGGATGGTCCGTGCACTCATCGAATCGCAGGTAAGTTGTCGCGTCAAAAACCGGGTTCATTGTCAACTTCAGACGAACATTTTGTGGCACAATGGATTATATGGCGCCAGAGTTGGTCCAAAATCACAGCCACACGTTTCCAGTGGATTATTGGTGTGTCGGAGTACTGTTGTTTGAGTTTCTGACCGGGAATGCGCCGTTCTACGCGCGGAACGAGATTGATACCTACAAAAATATCATCACTGGGGAGTTCTCCGCTCCGGAATACTTGAGCGAGGGCGCTGTGGACTTGGTGAGAAAGGTAAGGGAATTAAATTAAATTAGCTTTTTGAAAACATGGTAAACCCTAGGAAAACTGCATTTATTCCTTTTCAGCTCCTCCAACGAGTCCCATCCCAACGTCTGGACCTCAACGGAGTTATGTGCCATCCGTGGATTACGGAGCAGTTGGCCGCGAGAAAACACAGTCAAAACAATGACTCGGTTTAATCGTCTTGTATAGAAATTTTCACACTGAATAAACTGACAATGTACATAATACATAGCTGTTTATATTTGTATTCTTTTGCTTGGTTCTCTGCTCTAAAGAGAGTAAATACATATTTGTCACGCCGTCTGACGTTCAATAATACAATTGTTTATAATACAAGGTTCTTTTTAACACTACGGCGCCTTTTACTGATTAAAATATTTTTTAGAATGGTGTGAATGACACAAGGTCCACTATGTCAAAAGTTGTGACTCAAAATGTTGGGCCAAAGTCCATGAAAAGTTGTCCGGTTCGCCGATCAGAAGGAAGAGAGGTAACTCAAGTTCCCGCTCACGTCAATCCAAAATATATTTATAGAAGAAAAAAGTTCCCGCCCCTTTTTGGTGATTCGTTCAAAACGAAATGTAACTATCCGATAAAAAGCATTTTCTTATCTTCCTTCTTTCTTTTCGAAAAAATGCAATTATTTCGGACGAGAAAAAGTGCCGATAATTTTGCGGCATTTCCTCTCTTTTTTCAATCAATGAAAACGATACAAAGTTTTGAAACGGTCCAGAAAATGCGCTGGGTTGACGTGGGCTTCTCTTTTTCTCCACGTCCTCTCCGCTTTTGTGTGATAACTCAATTTAGTGCGCCTGTTGTACGTGATCAACTCCCAGAACTCGCAATTAGTAAGAAACACCTTGTTTTTATTATTTTATCCACTTCTAGCAACAACCTTATAAAAACGGAGAACCATATTTTTCCGTCGACCAGACCTAGTGCTTCATCTATCGTCCACTGTAAGCGGTTACTTGAGACTCCCTTGTCTTTGTAATTACGAACGTCGCATTGCATGTCAACAACCGAAACTGTTCCTTGAACGCCAACTTGTAGTCATGACTAAAATGGCACAGTCATAATTTTGTTTGTATCCCATTTCCTACCTCATAAAATACAATAACGGGCAGTTAAGGCTGATCGAAATGTTGAGCAAAGCTCCTATGTATAGGGCTGTTGCGTAGCTGCTGGACAGATGGAATGTGTTGAAGAGGAGGCCCAAGCCCATCGTCGCCAGCCATCCGCCGCAAATGCAAATACTCACTGCCGTAATGGATTTCAGCATCTGCTTCGACTGCTTGTAATTTCTCCTTCGGACCGCAATCCAAACAATTGCATACAGGACAACTGTGGAGCAGATGAGCGAGACGGTGAGCACGAAAAAGTAGGGCGCTAGCGTCCACGGCAGATCCATGAGAGCGCCGCAAATACGGAAACCCGGATCCATCAAAAAATAGGACGTTACGGAGAAGAGTGAAGCAACTGACAGCGATACAATAACTCCAATAGGCAAGATTATCGAGTTGCAAGAGAGTTTGTAGTGTCTGGGAAACACCACACAGACCATCCGGTCGACAGCCGTCATGAACAGCATGAACGAGGAGACTGTGCAACCAAAAGTCGACATAACTTGCAGCTTGAAGCAGGTTTCCACCGGAATAAGCACGTTGCCGGAGAATACGGTGCAACCCATGGCTAGGTTTCCAAATTGTTGGAAAACGTCGGCCAATGCTGCGATGGCAATAAAAATGTTGCATGTTGAGCGGAGTGAACTAAAATTTTATATGTAAAAAGTGTTGGTTTACAGTGAGAGACCTGATCCAGTGGCAAAGAACGTATCATTTTGCATACGGTAAGTATCAAAAAATGTAGCAAAATGCTTCCTTCTCCAAGTGAAAAAAACTTCGTTTTGAAGGGGGCGCCTTTTTCCTTACAAAAAGAGCGGGCGCGCTTTTGAAATCGGAGTTTTTTCACTTGGAGAGGGAGGTATTTTGCCACACTTTTTTATACTTCCTAGATGCAAAATGGAACGTTTTTTGCTACTGGATCAGGTCCCCCCATCGTAGAGCTATACTTGGCAAACGGACTGGTAAACGCCTAGTGAAAGGCTTGCTATCTAGGACGTTTTTTCTCTTCCTAGTCAAAGTAAAATCGCCTACCGTTTTCTACAGGTTGCCCAAAGTATATTCAAATTACCAACGATTCCGATAACACCGATGCCGACGAGTAAGGCCGTTGCATGTCCAATATCTCGCGCAAATGCTTCCAATCCTTCCGCCATTGCCGTCAAAGAATCATTCTATAGGCAGAACTATTGGACAGTTTGCGGAAAACCATTTGTACGTCTCGCAAAACACTCACGACCAGACAATGCCACTAAAACTTCATAAAAACATATCAGCGACACAAATGAAATATTACATTTTTGGAAATAGAATGCTCAAAAAGTAAACGGGGATACAATTACTACATTTTTCAGAGAAATGGAAAGATACAATCACAGACCGTTGCCATCGCAGGCAGAACTTACAGTAATCGTTTATTGACAAGCATACCGAGATAAAATCAAAACCACTTATGACTATAGCGTCGTGTTGTCTACGTATAAATTTTTTTTGCGCTAAGGGAGTGCTAAAACTTTGGTACGGCTTTAAGCAACACTCCTAGTTTTGTCTAGTATTGTATTGCTAAAGTTCACCTGCTGTTTCGCTGATTACACTTTGCTTTGTTGAGATAAATTGGGATTACATTCAACCTTTTTGGAGCTTGTAGTTTTGTATTTTTACGTACGAAATGGCCGATGATTCTACTGTGCCAATGATGGTCACAAGCCGGTTTATTTGAGACATGCAATCGTGCTGGGTTGAACCAACCTTTGCAGACCTTCCCGCAGGCCGAGGTTTGTCAGGTCGGCCCAGGACATTTTCCAGGTTTTCTCCAGTCTGGCTCTGCCTTAGTACCTAGTACCACCTTCTACCCTAGGCATGACGTTCAAAAACTGTTATAATTATAGAAATTGTTGTTACTTCATAAATAAAATCATTTTGTCTTACAATACCCGTTATTTATTCCCATTTCAGGGTCATTAAAATAGATGAATACATGTGTCACACTTGACATTTACAAACATCGTTTAGCAATTTCTCATTGCACCCATTCTGGGCTGCAAAAATCAAAGACTGCGCAATCATCCGGGCCTCTTGATTTACCAGATTGTAATGTAATCTGGAGCGAACTGAAAAGTCATCCGATTCGTGGTCTTTCCCATTTTTCCAGAAAATCGTAATCGGCATATCGATTTTAACCTCAACATAACTCGACATGGTCGATGGAAGCAGTGTGGTGTGATAATTGTTGATCCTTGTCGTCTTGTTGTAAGCGTAGACGTCAACTTTTTCAGCACGCGCGTAGCGGACTGAATCCACGCACTCGAGTCGATAAAGTTGGTTGAGAATTCGGTGTTCGTTCGTATTGATCACCACCTCCTAAAATTTTTGGTTTGAAGGGTCTTAAGCAACGCTCTTAGAGGTCCTGATTGAGGAGCAGAGGAGAAGTTTTTGGCCAGATTTTCCGAAATAAAAGAATGATCTTCTACTGTTCCTACAATGAAGTGCGTAGACTTTTTACCAAGAGACTTTCCGCACCGCTCATTCGACCGTTTTTACAGTGAAATCATAAAGTAGCTACAACTTTATAAGCGGTGGGAAAAAGTCTACGCTTTTTATGGAAATACGCAAACACTCTCCGTTAAAAATATAGCCGAAATTCTGCGTGATAACCTTACAAAAAACGTCAAAGTTTATGAATCATAACAACGATTTACGTCAAACTGAGATAAGCTAAAACGGTCCGGTGAATGGTTGGCTCTTCGCCAAAAGAAAGACGCGAAAAAGCTTTCTGTCGGGGAAGAAATGGGGAATTCTTGGGGCGAGAGAGTACGTTTTTGCGCGCCTTTTCTCTGTCTTCTCTGTGAAATCAAGACGAAGTCTAAAAAACCGATAGCGAAGAGTCTATTCCGGTAATCGGACTACGCAGTTTGACGTGCGATTATCTTTTACAAATTTTACCTCGTCCTCTAGCTCAAAAACTTGATCAGTCTGTATTTTCTCCATACAGCCACAATGCTCATCAGTCGTGTAGGTATCCCCACATGTCCGTATGCCAGAGATTTCTCTGAACAATGACATTCCAAACGTCTCCCGTTCGGATCCCATAATATCCCTCAAAGTTTCGTAGACATCAAAATACGTTGTCAGGCGGTTTTCATTTCTTTTGAGATTGCCGTACTTCTCCGGACTCTTCTCAACAAAACCCTTTGGAAGGCTTATCGCCAACGGCGGGAATCTATTCTCCAGATTGCCAGTGATTGTATGAGGAATCGGGCCAAATGTTGCTACTTGAGTGCTGCTCAAGATAATGATTGTGTTGTCCAGAACACCGTTAAGATCAAGGTTTACCAAGGTATTGGATAAATGCTCGTCAATCTCAGACAAAACTCCGAAGAATTGAGTTGACGCCGAAATCAAGTTGACCGAAAATGTCGAGCGGTCTTTAAAGTAGGTGGCAAATCTTAAAATACCAAATTTTGTTTATCCGATATTTCTTGCCTCTTCATTTCGTCAATGGTCCGAATGGCTGACATTTTACCGTTGTGGCAGATTGGGAAAAGAGAAATCTTTTTCAATGTTTGATGGAATTTCCTATAAAAACTCGGTACTTACAGTGGGAGACCTGATCCAGTGGCAGAAAACGTACTATTTTGCATCCGGAAAGTATCAAAAATGTGGCAAAATGCTTCCCTTTCCAAGTGAAAAAAACTCCGATTTCAAAATCGCGCCCGCTCTTTTTGTGAGGGAAAGGGCGCGCCCTTCAAAAAGAAGTTTTTTCACTTTGAGAGGGACGCATTTTGCCACATTTTTGATACTTGCAGGACGCAAAATGGTACGTTTTTTGCCACTGGATCAGGTCTCCCGCTGTATTTGAAATCATTTGTGTAAAACACGGCCTATGACAAACCCGCAAAATCGTCTTACCGCAAGCTCACGTCGACTGGCAGTTCGACTTCACTGTTCATTCCGTCAAACTTTTTCAAGAAGTCACTGTCATCGTTGAAATGAGTAATGTATCCAGCGTTTCTTGCGCTCTCAAAAATCCAGCCAGCAGTGGATGAATTCTGCAGCCGACTCTTTGATAACTGCATTAGATCGGGCATTGTCGTGTTCAGGTCGTTCTTTGCCGGCTCAAACACTTTCCCGGTTAACATCGCGAATATATTTTTGGAGGAGTGGACACTATGCTGGAAATATCGACTTTTTAAAGAAGCTTGTGCCACTTGTAGTATTTTAGACAAGTATTAAGCATTGGGAAAACTTTAAAACTTGGCAATCACCGTTTCGGAGACCTTATACTCGCCATTTATTATCAATACCGCAGTCAAGCGTTCATAACACAAGTTTTAATGAACGGTATTGCGCACATAGCTCCTAGTAACTTACTCTGTTAAACCCTTTCATAAATGCGGCATTTCTTCTTTCCAGAAATTCCTTTGTTATTGTCATTTCTCGTTGAAAACTGTTGCCGGTAATCCCATCGATCAATATCATTAAAACACTTGGCTTTTCAACCCCCTGGGAATTAGCCGTACTATATCGCAAAGGTGTCTTGAACGGTTTCAAATTACTGTAGACATCATGATATATTGTCTTTCCATCTTTATCAGTGCATTTTACTGTATAGACTGGCGAATCTATATCGATTTCATCGTCGAAAGTGGCCTGAATAAAGGTTAGTTGCAGCTGAAAATGTCAGATGAAGCTTACTAGTGTGTCTTCTGTGCCATTTAAATAATCGACTGAGCATCTGTAATATCCAAGATTTCGTTGGCTTGGATGAACGAATTGAGCCGCTCCTTCTTCTGGATGTTGAACAATCATCGGACTGCTGTACAAAGGGCATTCGAAGATTGAACTATTGGACGTTTTCAGAAACGGAAGAATATCTGGTTCAGCTAAAAAAACGTCTGAGGTCGTTTTCAAGTCATTCAAACAATCTGCATGCCGAGATTTTGCACATACCTGCCGTAATTACAGGAAGCACACATTGGTTCTCCAGAATATGCGTGTAGTTGTAGTCGTAGCTAAAATTTATCTGCTCGTTTACTGTATTATGACATAAAAAGAAGTAAAAGGACAAGTGTAAGTTCAAAAAAGAATTTTTCTTGGGGGTTTCCGACAGAAAAATATTTTTTTATGAATAATTTTATTTCTTTTGGCAATTTTGACACTTCGTTTGGACGAAATTCAAAAGTGGGCGGGAAACATTTTTCTTCTATTATATTCTATTTCGGGTTGCCGTGTGGGGTAGCTATTGGCCACAAAACTTGCCCATATGTCCTTGCAAAATCTTCTGCATTATACTGAAAGTCCATCCACAGTAATCTCCGATAATGGTAGAAGAAATTGTGCATCAAGATGATAAAGATTATTATCAGCAAAAGTAGGACTTTATTCTGAAAAGCGAACGTATTTTATTAGATAGCTACAACTAAAACTTCTGCTGAAACACAAAAATTTCCCACTTTTGTCCTCAACCCTAATTTTTAATCCCAACTTACCCTAGAGTAATTTCCAGACACTCTTCGGAGCAAACTTCTGACATACCGAACTTCCAACAAAAATAGTTGAACACTTTTAAAAATCAAATTGCGGAGGAGCATTGGAGAGAAGAACATTCAAAAATAACAAGCGAATCCTCGCACTCATCAACTTTGAACTTGAACCTCTTCGAATTTCCGGCGAGGCATGCTTTCTCTTCGGGAAGATAAGAAACGGGATTTCCTCAATTCGCAAGTGAAAGTTTTGAATTTTATGAAGATGGCTGTTGGAAGATGAGCGAGAAATTATAACAAATTCAACAAAACCGGAAAATTATTTTTGTAAAATATAGCTTTGCGGGAGAAACATGAAGCATTTTGTAGATGCCCATGTTTTGTGCGGCAGTGTCGCTGCACTGACGAAATGAGAGCCGGTGTTTACAACAGCAACAAAAAGAGTCCGATCCATTGCAAGATTGTTTCCAAAAACGACGCTTCTTCTTTTACTTCATTAGATTTTAGCCCTTCGAGATTAAAATCGGCCCTTTATCCATCAGACTGTATAATTTAAAATAATAAATATAAGAAGAAATTTTTAAAGTTGAACCTGGTAACTGTAGTCTCCGACGAGCATGTTGTTGGTGCCGCGAACGACTCTGAAGAATCCGCTCTCACCAAACTCTTCTCCCCATTGATTTTTCATAATCCAGTAGTTAGTACCATTCTCGGTTCCATAGCCAACTGTAAGGACGGCATGGTTAATTTCCCAGCCACCTGCGGGTTCTTCGGCGTCGAGGATGTCTTCTTCATAGTCTTGAAGTGGTCGGGAATCAAGGTCTGAAAAGTGTCGTGGATGGTTACTCAATTGTACTCACATGTAATGATTGGTCCGGAGCTAGCAATGACACTGGCCATGTTGTCCTCGTCACCGGATGGGAGTTGTGATTGGCTAGTAACCGAGTTGATTGCGGGGGTCTTGCTTTCACACTGTGGAATGGCCGAGTTGTCATCAGTCTCGCCCAAAGTGTAGCCCCATTCTGCCTCACTGGTGATTCCATGGTCAATCGCATATCTCAGCACTCCTGGGGAGGAACCTCCGTCGCAGCCATTGTTATTATCATAGTTCTGGTTTTGGTAGGTACACGCGACCATCTGCTCTTCACTCAGATCCAATTCTTCAAAGGTCTGAAGCTTGTGCTGACTCTCAATGGCAGCGACAGCAGCAAAAGCATAGCAACAGCCACAATCGCCCTGGTCCTTGATGGAGGTGACCCCTTCATGATCTCTCCAGTCAAAGTCTGGGGTATTCTGGCGTTTGGCGCGGATTTTGGCGGGCTTAGAAGTGCTGTGCAGCTTTTGGACATGGCTAACTCCCTTGATTCCAGTGTGTTTGTTAACGAATTCCTGTGCGCTTAGGTCGGAAAACTTGGTAACTCCAAATTTAGTTTTTGGGCTATGCTTTTGGCGGCTTTCTATGCGTTTTAATGACGTTTTAAAGTGACCAAAGCGTTCCGAAGTGGCGGTGTCATTATGATATTCCCTTCCGAACCTATAATCACGTTCATGGTTGCAATATAAAGTAACTTACTTGACGATGAACTGAAAGAAGTGGTGCAAATGCTTCTTGTCATCAGCACCCAACTTTTTATGGATATTAACCGCCGAGTGCAGCGCCTTCTTTGTTTTGTCGGTGACACTTGTCAAGCCGTTGATCAGGTCCTTGACCTTGCCGTTTTTGCAAAGGTCGTTAAATTTGCCCTGATCCAAGAGATCTTCGAATCCCTTTCCCAAATCTTTCGGATTCAGCAATCCGGCGGTGGCTACGGTAGCCAACAAGGCGATGATCACAAATGCTCTCATGGTGAGAAGACTAGGCAGTTACTGTTGAAGTAACTAGTTGATATCTCCCCATCAACATCCAGGCTTTATATACCCAAATTTTGTTATGGATCTCTGCAATTCCAACATTCCTGATTCCTCAGAAATGAAAATTGATGTTTAAAATGTATTTTTTCCAAACTGGGTGATCGATTATTATTTGCATAGCTGGAGATAACGACTAAAGAATATACGCATCCGAGGAAGTTGATTTGTTTTGTCCTTTCCAATACTGATATGTTTATTTGTATTAAAAAACATAGGTTTTTAAAATGTAACTGTGCAAATTGAGAACGGCTATTAAAAGATTCAAATCGGAGAATTCGTAGGTTGCGTGCAGCTAAACACACAATCCTTTTCAGAGGGCTTCATGATGTGCAGCAAGTTTTTTTGTAGCTTTGGTCGCAAGCACGTAGCACGATTCCTAAAAAAAGAAATTCTTTGGAGGAATCTTTGCAGGGTTTACGTAGCACGGTAAGCGGCAACCTGAAATAGAAAAGAATGTTTCCCGCCCACTTTTAAGTTTCGTCCAAACAAAGTGTCAAGCTTGACAAAAGAAATAAAATAATTCAGAGAAAAATATTTTTCCTAGCCGACTGCGAGCTCACAAGGGAAGTACCCCAAGTGCGACGCTCAGATTTTCTTCAAATTTTGCACACACTTCGGGCATAGACTAAATATCAATTTCTGAAAGTTTTAGCTCGCGCTTTGAACGCGAAGCCGAGATTTTCAACGATCTTTGCCGCCGAGAGAGCACGCTAAATGCGGAGAGCGGTCAGAGAGAAAAACACTTTTTGGCCATAACTTTGCTAGTTTCATGCGGAAAAAATTCATTTTTTGTGGGAACATCACCCTTTACGGTAGAAATCGGCATGAAACTTTTCATGCCGAAATTCGACAAAAAGTCTTAAATTTTCGTCGAATTTCGACCTAAAAATCTCGGTGGTTTCTGCGAAGCGCGAGCTAGGATTCTCGGATATATCTTAGAAAAAATTGTTCTAAATTTGTGCCAAGTTTCATCAAAATCTGAGCGTCGCACTTGGGGTACTTCCCCTGTCAGTTCGGAAAATAATTGTTTGCAGCGCTTTTTTTCGGTACCAAAGTTATTGCAGCTGTCGGTGGATTGCCAAGAAAACATGCTATTTGCCCGGGTGAGAATTTTCAGGTCGGGAGCCATGTCTACAAGAAACAATCCGGTTGCCGTGCGTAGCCGTTTTTCGTGTTAATTAGGGAGACTTCTCACAAGAAGAGTTCGTTTTTTTCGGTACCAAAGTTATTGCAGCGGTCGGTTTATTGCCAACAAAAAATGGTGTGCCTGTTGTGGAGCCTCAAAGGTCTCCAAAATTCCCATGGAAATTAGCATAAATGGAGTTATATGTATAAAAGGAACACTTTATCACCAATTAGCTCATTATCTTCTTCGGTTGTTCCCGTTGACGTGAATAAAAGAAACTTGTGTTTGTGTGTGTACTTGTTCTCAACGATCGGTGATCTAAACGTCCCCCGACTCCCCTTCAAGTTGAGCTCCATTTCAGTACCTATGCCGTTGCCTGAATACATATGAGTGGATGGTGTGAGCAAAAAATTTTTGGAGCTTGCAGTCGCCCCATCATTTACTTTTGTATTGCTGATTTTTGTGGAAACAAAATTTAAACCTTCTTTCTCGTTTATATCTGTTAATAAATCTATAAAAAAATTTTTATGGTATTACTGTAAAGACCACCAACTACTCGGATTTGAATTTTTAAAAAGAATTTCGGGTTTATACGTCAACAAAAACGTCTGATACCGCGAAATCAACATAAACAAAGATCCGGTGTCAAAAGGGAAAAATAAACAAATTCAGGAACGCCTCCTCATTGTTTCGTGATAACCGTGACCGCCAGTTATGCAAATAACCTTGAGTCAACGTGATTGCAAGGGAAACTACATTTTAGGAGTCAACTGGCATTTTCTGGGATCCTTTTAGGCCATGGGCCTCATCAACAACCACACATATGCCACTTACAGTTAGACGAAAGTCAATAGGAATTTAGCGCTTTATCTATCAAAGTGTATAATTTAAAATAATAAAGATAAAAATTTTTAAAGTTGAACCTGGTAGTTCCAGTCTCCAACCAGCATGTTGTTGGTGCCGCGGATGGCTCTGAAGAATCCGCTCTCACCCCAGTCTTCTCCCCATTGATTTTTCATGATCCAATAAGGGGTACCATCCTCATTTCCGTAGCCAATTGTAAGGATCGCATGATTAATTTCCCAGCCACCTTCGGGTTCCTGAGCATCAATGATTCCTCCTTGGTAGTCTTGGAGTGGTCCGGCATCAAGGTCTGAAAAGTGTCACTGTTGCTATCCCAGGCCTTTCATATATAGAAACAGATGATAGTTTAACTGTACTTACATGTAACAATTGGTCCGGAACTAGCTACAACACTGGCCATGTTATCCTCATCATCGGATGGGAGTTGTGTTTGGCTAGTAACCGAGCGGACTGCAGAGGTCTTGCTTTTGCACTTTGGAATGGCAGAATTGTCTCCAGTCTCGCCCAAAGTGTAGCCCCAGTTGGCCTCACTGGTGATTCCATGGTCAATCGCATATCGCAGCACTCCCGGGGAGGAACCTCCGTCACAGCCATTGTTATCATCATACTTCTGGTTTTGGTAGGTACACGCGACCATCTGCTCTTCACTCAGATCCAACTCTTCGAAGGTCTGAAGCTTGTGCTGACTCTCAATGGCAGCGACAGCAGCAAAAGCGTAGCAACAGCCACAGGCGCCCTGGTCCTTGATGGAGGTGACTCCTTCATAATCTCTCCAGTCATAAGAATCTGGGGTATCCTGGCGTTTGGCGCGGATTTGAGACGGTTTGGAAGTGCTGTGGAGCTTTTGGACATGGCTGACTCCCTTGACTCCAGTGTGTTTGTTAACGAATTCCTGTGCGCTCAAGTCGGAGAACTTGGTGACTCCAAATTTAGTTTTTGGGCTGTGCTTCTGGCGGCTTTCAACGCGTTTTAAGGAAGTTTTAAAGTGACCGAAGCGTTGCGAGGTGGTGGTGTCATTATCATATTCCCTTCCGAACCTACAATAAAGTCCATTGGTTTAGTATACAGTAACTTACTTAACGATGAACTGAAAGAAGTTGTGCAAATGCTTCTTATCATCAGCAGCCAAGCTCTGATGGAGGTTAACCGCCGAGTGCAGCGACTTCTTTGTGTTGTCGGTGACATTTGTCAAGCCGTTGATGAGGTCCTTGACCTTGCCGTTTTTGCAAAGGTCGTCAAATTTGCCCTGGTCCAATAGATCTGCGAATCCTTTTCCCAGATCTTTCGGATCCAGCAATCCGGCAGAGGCTACAGTAGCCAACAAGGCGATGATCACAAATGATCTCATGGTGAGAAGACTAAGCAGTTACTGTTGAAGTAACAAGTTGATATCTCTCCATCAACATCCAGGCTTTATATACCCCATATTTCGTTATGGATCTCTGCAATTCCAACATTCCTGATTCCTCGGAAACGCCAATTGAAGTTTCAAATGTATTTTTTCCGGGTAACTTGGTGATCGTTTCTTATTTGCATAGCTGGAGTTAACGGCTAAACGCTAGACACATTCGAGGAAGTTGATTTGTTTTGCCCTTTCCCATACTTGAATGTTTATTTGTATTCAAAATCAGACGTTTTGGAAACGTAGCTGTGCAAATTAAAAGCGGATTTTTAAAAATGCAAAGCTGAGAGTTCGTAGGATGCATGCACCTAAACCAACAAGGCTTTATGACATGCATCAAATCTTTTTGTAGCCTTGCTCGGAAGCGCTTAGCATAATTTGAGAAAAAAAGTTCCTTGGGAGAATCTCTCTTTTATACGTAGCCACTGCATGTTCACTTCGTGTAGACGCTCTGTGTCGCCGCAGCGACGAAGTGCGAATACCTCTTTGTCTTGTAGTATATACATGTAGTATTCCGGAGCGATGTAACAGTGAAATAAAGCAACACCAGACGTGGATCCTACAAGAGTGCCGAACCTGGTGTGTGAACTCTATACATATATTCTTTCTTTACGACAAGACGTGATTCTTCAATGTTCTGTTCTTCTATCATGTCTGAACTGTCTAACGTATCCGTTGGTTAGCATAAACTGATTGAATATGACGTACATCATTACAGTGGCGGATCTGATCCATTGGCAAAAACGTACCATTTTGCATCCGGAAAGTATCAAAAATGCAGCAAATACCTCCCTATCCAAGTGAAAAAACTCCCATTTCAAAAACGTGCCTGCTCTTTTTGTGAGGAAAGAGGGCGCGCACGTCAAAACAATTCTTTCAGAAAATTGAAAAAACAAGGAATCTCGGATCATTGATTTTTTGCGAAGTGCCACGGAATTATCGAGCTTGAAAAATTATTTTCCTCTTCGAAAAAACATTTTTCTCGAAATTCTCTGGGAAAGTTTTCTTTTGTGACTCGATAATTCAGCGACATATCGTCAAAAATCAATGATCCGAGGTTCCTTGTTTTTTCACTTTTTCTTTGACGTGGCGCGCCATTCAAACGGAGTTTTTTTAGTTGTAGAGGGAGGTATTTTGCCACATTTTTGATACTTCCCGGTTGCAAAATGATAAAAAAAAATGAACGAATCTACAGGGTGCGCCAAAAAAAAAGAAGGTTCGCCAAGCCTAGGCGCAAATAAGGAATGTTCCCGCTGTGGGGCCCAACACGGATGGTCAAGTCTTGCTTTGAGTCAAATTTTCCCCTAGAAAATAATTTTTTTCTTGTTTCTTGAACGTGGAACAGATAATTGAAGTAGAAATCAACAAGAAGGGTAACTTTTTTATGTTTATGTGTTTCGATTTTTTTGAGTGGAATGCAGTAACATTTCAGAGTGTAATTTCCTGAATTTTCGAACGAAAAGTCGCGTTTTTATGAGAAACAAACGTTGGGATTGGTATTTGAACGTTTTTACCATTTACGCCAATGGTTTACTCCTTTGATCTTCCAAAATGTCTAATATTGCGCAAAACCTGTAGATAACTCAATTTAGACATTAAAATCTGTGATTTCAGCTTCACTCATCCTCCTGCTCTGGACCGATTCGTACACACATCATTTACGTGGAGGAAGGGAGATTATTTTGTTGATTTGCTTTTTGGGTTTCGGCTTCAGATTTCTATGCGTTTCTGGGCGCTGGCAAGTGTAATATAGGGTTTAAAACCGAAAGTCACGAAAAGCGCCGGTCTAAAGCGAATATCTTGCCCTGATACGAATATTACATATACAAAGTTCTTTTATGCACGTACAAGTTTTGTTGGTTATTTCAAGACCTATTTAATACTTCAAAAAAACATAACTAAGAAAACAGAACAATAGATACGCAAAAATTAACAAACAATATGTGTCAGGAATTATAATTCATTTCCGTCACCCGAAGCTTCATCCACAATGGCATCTTGCTTTGGTCGTCGAATTTGCATTATCCACGGCTGCTGGACGCATCAGGACATTTCCGGAATTTGGACACTTCCGGAATGGCGGAATAGTGACACTTCCGGAATGGCGGAACAGTGACACTTCCGGAACCGGGGAAAAATCAAAGAAGAGGCTTAGACCTGCCATCTGAACCATCTGACTGGATTTATTGTTATTAATCTCAAAAATTTTGTTATTTTTTTTCTGATTTTTACTTTTTTCTTAAGTAGTAGTGTTAAAAAGTAATTTTTTGGAATTTGTCCAAAAATACTGGATTTAGGGGTTTTCGAGGGTGCTGATTTCGAAAATCATGTTAGCTTTCCTCTTCATAGTACTATATGGTACTATACAATACGAAGTGAAAATATGGCTTTTGGCGTTAATGGTGTTGTTTTGATGCTTGGTACTCCTCAAAAACACGTTTTAAATAATTGGTACTGTTTAGTACTGTCTGGTACTGTGTAGTACAAGGTAAAAATTTGGCCTTTAGGCATTAGTGGTGTTGTTCTGTTCCTTAGTACTCCTATTTTCACCTTGTACTACATAGTACCAGACAGTACTAAACAGTACCAGTTATTTAAAACGTGTTTTTGAGGAGTACTAAGCATCAAAACAACACCATTAACGCCAAGAGCCATATTTTCACCTTGTACTGTATAGTACCAGATAGCACTATGAAGAGGAAAGCTAACATGATTTTCGAAATCAGCACCCTCGAAAACCCCTAAATCGAGTATTTTTGGAAAAATTCCAAAAAATTACTTTTTAACACTACTACTTAAGAAAAAAGGAAAAAAGTAACAATCAGAAAAAAAAATAACAAAATTTTTGAGATTAATAACAATAAATCCAGTCAGATGGTTCAGATGGCAGGTCTAAGCCTCTTCTTTGATTTTTCCCCGGTTCCGGAAGTGTCACTGTTCCGCCATTCCGGAAGTGTCACTATTCCGCCATTCCGGAAGTGTCCAAATTCCGGAAATGTCGTGGTGCCCTGCTGGAGGGGTAGAAACAGGGACAGCTTGCTGAGGTTGCAGTTGCATCGCTTCCTGTTGTTTGAACAACATCTTTGGAGCCAGATCCGCGAAGACCACCATTAAACGTCGATTTACTCGCATTTGCTTATCAATACCTGGAATGTACAACTATCAGGATGCCTGTTTTGCGCTTAGCTAATCCAACGACTATAGACTTTTCCTCGAAATAAGGCGATCAAGATGGTATAAGATATTCAAAACAAGCGAGAATTAATGTCTAAATTGAGTTATCTACAGGTTTCGCGCAATATTAGACATTTTGGAAGATCAAAGGAGTAAACCATTGGCGTAAATGGTAAAAACGTTCAAATACCAATCCCAACGTTTGTTTCTCATAAAAACGCGACTTTTCGTTCGAAAATTCAGGAAATTACACTCTGAAATGTTACTGCATTCCACTCAAAAAATCAAAACACATCTAAACATAAAAAACTTACGTTTCTTGTTGATTTCTACCTCAATTATCGCGTCCAATTTCGTTCTGGCTTCAGAGAGCCTTCGAAGCCAAGGTTTTGCGGCCTTATTGCATCTAGATTAGGATTCCTGAAAAACGTTATGTTACACTAGGTACTTTAGTGATGGTTTTGCTTGCAACTAGACAAAAACTCAACCATCAGCACTCCTGGACGGTTCTTTGAGAGACCACACCTATTTTCATGCTTCCTTATGTAAAAAAACACCTACAATCGTTCAAAACACAAAAAATATAGGTCCAGCATTCGTAAAATTTTGTGCCGAGCCGCTCTGAATAAGAAAAGACAAAAAACATACCTTTTTCAGTGATCTCCATTCATCTTTCACCTTCTCTGTACGAATATCCGGATTTCTAGCATCAAAAAAAACAAACTTTTTGTTTTAAACGGCGAGAGGCCCGCCGTTTTGGGTCCCACAGCGGGAACATTCCTTATTTGCGCCTAGGCTTGGCGAACCTCGGACTTTAAGAGTGGTGCTTTATATTATTCCAAAAAGTTTCAAACTTACTTCATTTTTAGCCTACATGAAATTTTTTTTTTTTTTTAATCTAGGCAAAAAAAATTATTTTTTTTGGCATAGGTGGTTTTTTTTCATGTGGGCAAAAAAAAATTTTTTGGCATAGGTGGTTTTTTTTCATGTGGGCAAAAAAAATTTTTTTGTTTTTGGCATAGATGGTTTTTTTCATGTATGCAAAAAAAAAATTTTATTTTTGCCCACATGAAGTTTGTGATTTCAGAAATTTCAAAGGTGAAGAAATCGATGTAGGCCAAACCGAGATTTTGGCCTAGTTGATGCAAGCGGTCAAGAAGGTCAAGAACTAGGCGGAAATCATGGTTTTGGCCTAGTTGATTAAATCGAAATTCATTAAATCGAACTAGGCCAAAACCATGATTTCCGCCTAGTTCCTGCCCGCTTGATCATACAAAATCCTAAAAGTTCATGAAACATTTTATAACAAATAAGAGTGAAGGAATAAGAGTGGAAAAAATCTTCTGAAAAAAATGCTTCAGCCTCTTTCCTTTTCGTTCGGAAGAGTGTGTTTACGAACTCTTCCCATTTGGGAAAGAATCTGAGAGGCGGAAAGAGTCTCGAGCAGACGCTCCCGCCATCAAGGTGGGGGAAGAGTGTGGGTCGAGACTCTTTCCGCCTATTGGCTCCGCCCACTTCTGCAGGATTTTGGGGAAAAATGGCGAATTGAAATGTTGCCATTTAGTAAATAAAGCACTGTTCTTTTCAAATATACGATGTTTTTTACATTTTTTCTTTGACAACAAAGTTTGGACAGTACAGTCTAACACTCTTCGTTCATTTTCTATAAAATAAATGAATAACTAATCTTTAATAACAATAAATAAAGGCGTCTAAGAAACAGATATCGGAGAAATCAGATATAATATATAAATCTGATATAAAGAAGGTCACAAAAATGTAATTCAGGTAACAGAGATAATAAACCATGGTGGCTGAATTGTAATAGGAATAATAGCCGGAAAGTTGTGCACTTTTTCGCGTACCTATGGGGTTGTTGAACGGCTGGCTGCGAATGCATTCGGTTAGTCGCCGGGACCAAACAGTCTTGCGCATAGGAGGGGTCCAGAAGATCACGTGTTTCTCATTAGTAGACCACATCTGTAATCGGATTGATGAAGACGGTGTGGTGGTTGAATATTTCCGAAATCAACAACGCAAAACAGAAGAAAAGAACTTACCATCTTTCAAGCCGATGAAGAGGGACTTCATTTACTTCGTAAGCCGCATCATTATTATGCTTGTCCTCCACCTGAACTATTGAAACATCTCGCTGCACATGACGCGGAGATATTTCGGCTTAAACTTACCAATACTATCAACAATTTAACATTCTACGTACCTTTTCCGAGTCCAGACATTGGAGGCCGAATATAAGTCCATGATTTGCAGTAGATCCAGTTCAACCTCTTATGGGCGGTGTTTCCAGGCCTTCAGCAATCGCATATCAATCTTCGTCGTCCTTTTTTGGCATCAAAGTTGTTGGTAAAACTTCATTTCTCTAGCCCAAGCGAAAAAAAGGTTCCGCAGCTTGCGCCCGAACAATTTTCAGTCGTTTTGACCGAAGAAAAGTGGCCGACAACAATAGATGGAGGTGAACCTAGCTCATTGATGAATGATAGCGAATTTTGACGAAGAAGAGCGGACCGACGCGACGAAATGTAAGTTGCCTCATTTTGCTAGCCTGTTTACGTAATTTTAGGCCTAATCTTTCCTACTTGGCCAACTGCAAACTCCATATCTGAACTTGTTTTACACCTTTCAAGCCCACTTGATGTTCGACTTCAACAGTACGTGATCGCTACAGCGATGAATTCGGACGACTTTGTGAGTTAGAATTTTTTGTTTTTAACATTTTAGATATAAATGCGACAAGAAGAATTTGGTCTCCATGGATAAGGTACTCGTGATAGTTGATGAAGCTGGATCCAGCAATGACAGGGATATTCACCACTTGTTGAATGGAAAGTAAGTAACAGTTTCATAGACTTTTGAGGGAGAAGAAAGGGATTTTTGAGGCGTTTTTGGGCTTTTCAGCGGATTGGACCTAAAGTAATATTATTTTTTGTTTGTGCAGTTTTTTGTGAGTGATGAAATACCTAGGAGACGGAGAAAGAAAGTATGAATAGTGATTTAGTTGATATTTTTGAAATTTTTTGCAGGCCTACGTCAAAACCGAGATTTTTTGAAATTTTCAGGTATCTTTGTCTAAAATAAGGTAAAATGTGCAGTTTAGTGAGTGTTTGCAGGTGCGCCAATAATAAGTAGGACCGAGAGAGTTGTTTTGAGGAGTTTTGATGTTATTTTAGATGTAAAATTTTCGAAAAGTTACTAATTTTTCCAAATTCAGCCTCAATGTCCCAAAATTGCTCTGCCAATCTCAGTAACAACGGGGAAGAAAGGGAGACCGTGAATATGGAAACGAATGCCCATGGGCAGAATCCGCCGCGGCCCTCTACATCTAAATGTAACTCGATGTTACTTGTGTTGCACATAAATATATCTGTGAAACTTGTTCTGTAAATATTTTCTTAACCTTTGTGTTAACCAGGAATGTATCTGATTTTCAATTGAATCTTCAAATGACAGCCATAGTAAGGCTAGGCGTATCACAGTTCTAAAACAAATAAAAACATGCCCAAATCACCGGAATAATGAAAAGGCAAAAATTTTCACCCAAGACAACCGTTTTCTGCAAGAAAACCACCAACTCAGCGATTGGCTCAAAATCGAGGGGGCGGGGCTTATAAACGTCGGGAAGAGCCTGCTCGCAGACGCTTCCTCTAGAAGAGAAGAAAGAGTGTGACGGCAGACGCTTTCCCAAGTGGTGAGAATCTGCTCGAGACTCTTTCGACAAAAAAAGAAAGAGGCTGAAGCATTTTTTTCAGAAGATTTTTTTCGCTCTTATTCCTTCGCTCTTAAATAACAAGAATATATCCGTCATTAGGATTCTTTTTTTTTGTTTCAAGGAATTGATCAGTTGGGCGATTCCTTCGTCCAACCCATTGCGGTTCTGCTCATCCTGGAAGACTTCTCGGTCCATTCCTTCGACTTGTTCCAATTGATTCTTTTTTTTGTTTCAAGGAATTGATCAGTTGGGCGATTCCTTCGTCCTTTTATTATCTTTAAATTAAAAGATAATCCATCGAATTTCTTTCATGCAATCTGAACTCCGAAGTGATCTCCACACTCGTCCTCTGATCCAGCTTTGCTCACGCCTTTTTCCAGCTTATTTCTTGCATCTAAGCTGAACATGGGCCGGCTGAAACATAAATTATATTAATTTAGAAAACAAACAATCAAAAAGGCAACGTCACAAACTTACCTTGCAATCTTTTGGACGTCCTCTGATCCAGCTTTGCTCACGCCTTCTCCAGCTTATTTCTTGCATCTAAGCTGAACATGGGCCGGCTGAAACATAAATTATATTAATTTAGAAAACGAACAATCAAAAAGGCAACGTCGCAAACTTACCTTGCAATCTTTTGGACGTCCTCTGATCCAGCTTTGCTCACGCCTTCTCCAGATTTCTTGCGTTTCTCCATCAGTTGACGTGGCGTTTTACAAGGGTTCGTCCATCCACGGTACTTACTACCTTATCCGATTGCAAAGAGTCGCGTATCTCTTTGGCACTAAAAAGGAGTTTTTTACGTAGGCCGTAGACAACACCGGACTTTCCGCCTACTGCAGAGAGCAAGCCAAAATATTGAAAAACTGACAAGGGAAGTCGTTCAGATCGCAAATGAGTTGAGCTATGGGACCGGTATATTCTGATTCTCCATATTCGAAAACGGTAAGAGCTAAAACAATTTTTCCGTCTGGGCCCTGGTTTTCGAGAAAATCGTCCGTAAAGTTTTACCGGAAACCCCGCTAAATAGTCCTCGCTCCGAAAGGCCTTTGGATCAAGAGCCAAATGGCGGAGAGCGAGTGAAAACGCTCTCAAAATTCTTTTGGCCGGGATGTCGGGGAAGGTTCGAGTCCCGCTAGGCTCAAACCCATGTTCAAAGAGCTTTGATATTGAAAATGATAAAAAATAAATTAGTTTTTTGTGGTGAAGTGTACCCCAATAATTTCAGATCAAATAGTTTTTTAGGAATAAACACTTCATTTTTGAGTTCAACGCAGATATATGCCTATTTGACATGCATTTCAAAGTATGCAAAACGAAAAATATTTTTTTCTGTTTTGCAACCATTATGAATTAGGGTTTGCTCCTGGCGGGACTCGAACCTTCCCCGGCATCCCGGACAAAAGAACTTTGAGAGCGTTTTCACTCGCCCTCCGCCATTTGGCTCTTGATCCAAAGGCCTTTCGGAGCGAGGACTATTTAGCGGGGCTTTTTCCGGTCAAACTTCACGGTCGATTTTCTCGAAAACCAGGGCCCAGACGGAAAAATTGTTTTAGCTCTTACCGTTTTCGAATATGGAGAAGCAGAATATACCGGTCCCATAGCTCAACTCATTTGCGATCTGAACGACTTCCCTTGTGAGGCAAGAAAAATTTACGGTGCATCGCACCTTCACCCACACCCAATTCATGCGCCCGCACCGTGCGAAAACATGTCCAGTCTATTTCGCCGGCCTAGTACGTAGCCGTAGACAAAACCGGACTTTCCGCCTACTGCAGAGAGCAAGCCAAAATATTGGAAAACTGAGGCAAGAAAAATTTACGGTGCAAACTTACTACTTTATGGAAATATTATTCACCTCTGCGAAGAAGGTCGGACAAACTTCGTATCCTATGACTGTCAATTCATTGGAAGAGGTTAGGTTCTGCTCCTTCGTCACGTACTCGCGGCGCGCGGCCATATCCATGGGCAGCAGGCAACGGGCAGTGGCGATATCAATTGGGCGTAACGATACAAAAACAGTTTTGCACAGCAGTCGTTGGTGAATTCCCGAATCGGCTTAGCACTTGCGTCCCTAACGAAATCTTTGTTGTTGTTCATGATCTTTTCCATAACTAAACCCATAATCACAAAGTACAATAGCCTACCCTTTGCCTTTGCTCGGCCCTCAGAGTTCGACATTTGGTCTGCAAGTTCAAGGAAGCGACTGTCCAATAATTTCCGTTCGTACTCGACTACTTGGCAAGGGCGTTCTGCACAAAAAGGGGGGAAAAGGTTCAAGAAATTTCTGCCGAGTTCACACGATGCATTAGCAAGACTGGGTGCACGAAATTGGCTAGTGGAGGGTTGCTGTGGATCCTGGTTTTCCTGATTGTCATCAGAAAAAATAGATCTTCTTGATCGACGAACCCATCAATAACTGGGCGTTTTCGGGACATAAAGAACGGTAAAAATTTTATCACCGAAAAAGCGGAAAAGGAAAGGTTTTCTGTAGACGGCCCAAACTATAAAAATCCCGCGAAAATTTAGTGCGAAATCTTGGCATTCTGTTCAAGAGGCGTCCTATTGGTAAACAAGTTGTTGATTTCGCAATGTTTCGCAATTGTTGTCTAGTTTCTCCGGGTTTTTATGGCGTGAAAAATTTTTGGCGAGTAATTTTCCTTGATAAATATTTCAAAGCAGATTTTTTTTCAGAAATATGACTCCTCCCGATTCCCCGTCCACCCCTTGCAGTTCCACCGTAAAACGCAAGAAGATTGTCAACGCCCCTAAAATTGATGGAAAAGACCGGACTCCATGCTCAAAAAACAAAACCTCCGTGGAAAGCGAAGATGAAGCCACTCCTCGACCCAAAAGGAAAGCGGCCGTGGATGCTGTAGGTCTTCTGGCTTCCGAGAGATTGACTTACATCCACTATTTCGGCCGGCATCCCGGCTACATTCGAGTGGAAGATCCGTATTGTTGTACCAATTTGTATGAACTGCTCCCAAAAGCAGGTGGAGTGACAGCGCACTCAACAGGACTTGTGTTCGCTTCTCGAAATGACGGTAAGACTTTTTCACCATTTTATGTTGCCATTTAGTGAAGAATCTGAACCCAATTAATATGAGGTTGAACTGTGTGACGGGTCTATGTGTTTTTCGAAACTCAAGTGGAATCGAAGAAGCAAGAAAATATTTTAATGCGGTTAAGGAGATACTAAGGAAACCATTAGTGTATCCTCGCGAAGAAGAAGCCAAATACTACATTCCATATAACACGATCCCTCCGTTCCAGTATTCGAAGTAGAGTTCAGGTAATATATTGCAAAAAATGCTGCTTAGAAGGTTGAGAAATTTAAAAAAATTTCAGAAGCCCATGCCATATTTGTGGATATGGAAGAAGTGAACTGCAAAAAAAATGGAAAGAACCACAAGTCGCCGAAACGATGGACACTACCGAGGCGGGAAATCCTGAAGGAAACCCGTCTCCACCTACATTCATCGAAGATGATGACATTGAAGGCAGCTTTGAAGATGAATACGAGAATGTAGACAGAGATGAAAATGTGGAAGTGAATGTGGGAGAGAAGGAGAATCATGAACCAGGCGATCTCGGCTGTCTTCAAAGACCTGAAGAAGATGTGGATGTAGAAACGGTGGAAGCGGAGGATAATAATGAACCGGATGTTTCTCTTCCTGCCAACGCCGAACTGCCTGCCATCCCTGGTCAAAATATGAGGAAATCAAGGACGGATGTCATCAATGAATTGAGGAAACAATTGGAACAAGTCGAAGGAATGGACCGAGAAGTCTTCCAGGATGAGCAGAACCGCAATGGGTTGGACGAAGGAATCGCCCAACTGATCAATTCCTTGAAACAAAAAAAAAGAATCCTAATGACGGATATATTCTTGTTATTTGTTATAAAATGTTTCATGAACTTTTAGGATTTTGTATGATCAAGCGGGCAGGAACTAGGCGGAAATCATGGTTTTGGCCTAGTTCGATTTAATGAATTTCGATTTAATCAACTAGGCCAAAACCATGATTTCCGCCTAGTTCTTGACCTTCTTGACCGCTTGCATCAACTAGGCCAAAATCTCGGTTTGGCCTACATCGATTTCTTCACCTTTGAAATTTCTGAAATCACAAACTTCATGTGGGCGAAAATAAAAATTTTTTTTTGCATACATGAAAAAAACCACCTATGCCAAAAAAAAATTTTTTGCCCACATGAAAAAAAAACCACCTATGCCAAAAAAAAATTTTTTTTGGCCCACATGAAATTTTTTCACCTAGGCAGATCAGATTTTGAAGTAGGCCACAAAATTTCATGTAGGCTAAAAATGAAGTAAGTTTGAAACTTTTTGGAATAATATAAAGCACCACACGTCAAAACAATTCTTTCAGAAAATTGAAAAAACAAGGAATCTCGGATCATTGATTTTTTTGCGAAGTGCCACAGAATTATCGAGCTTGAAAAATTATTTGCCTCTTCGAAAAAACATTTTTCTCGAAATTCTCTGGGAAAGTTTTCTTTTGTGACTCGATAATTCAGCGACATTTCGTAAAAAATCAATGATCCGAGGTTCTCACTTTTTCTTTGACGTGCACCACTCTTATTTCCTTTTTTACTATTGTTGATTTTTGTGGATACAAAATTTAAACCTTTCTTCTCGGTTATATGTTTTAATAAATCTATAAAAAAATTATATGGTATTACTGTAACGACCACCAACTACTCGGATTTGAATTTTTAAAAAGAATTTCAGGTTTACACGTCAACAAGAACGTCTGATACCGTGAAATCAACATAAACAAAGATTCCGGTGTCAAAAGGGAAAAATAAAAAAATTCAGCAACGCCTCCTCATTGTTTCGTGATAACCGTGACCGCCAGTTATGCAAATAACCTTGAGTCAACGTGATTCCAGGGGAAGTACATTCTAGCACGCCAATTTATTTTCTTCTACAAAAAATCAAAAAAATAATTCGTGTCAAGTGTCTCCCTGGCCCGTTTGGTCAACTGTTTCCCTCCGCTTAAAAACTACCGTATCATGGCTGAAAAAGAGTTAATCATCGCAGAAATTGCACAAAGTAAGGAAGATTAACAGACAAATCGAAAAATGTATACTCAAGACAGAAAAAAAATAAATCTCTGCCATATTTGGCGGCATCTTTAATGTTTACCGCTGGAGTAAGGTAATTTACTTCGTTCATAACATTCTTTTGAGATGACCGATGTTAACTTCTGAGTCTATAGAATTGTAGCTTTTTTCATGCTCTATCCAATGGGCATAACTTTTTTTACTTCCTGTGATCGAATCGGGTGTTACAAGTCAAAAACTGTGAAATTTTGAATTTTTGCAGATGAATCTTAACATGTTTTCGCAATCTGACAGCCGGGTGAGCATCGCAAACAATGCCAAGATGGATAGAAAGAGACAACTGGAACAGAGGATTCAGAAAATGCTTGAAGCTAAGCGCTTAAAGCAAATTTCGGCCGACCAGAACGATTCTACAGAAACCCAAAATAATGGAAATTTCAATATTTCGGCCAATAAGGTATGTTTTTATCACAAGATTGGTTTGCTTTTTAGATATGACATAGAAGACTGTGAGGGCTTCCAGATTCTGTAAAAAAATCGAAAATCGGTGGTCAACTTTTTGAGAAAATTGGGTTCAAAGTTTGGGTCCTAAGGGCAAAAAATTGTAAATTTTGAATTTTCATGATGTTTGCGCATTTATAACGTTCTAACTAACATCACAAATGCTTCTGTGACTCCAAAAAGGACTCATACGTCTCTAATGAACGGCCAACGTGAACGCGCGGCCGTGGCAACTGCCTCAGGGAAAAAAGTTCGGGAGCTCACAGAAGAAGCGGAAAAATTGCAAAAACAAAGATATGTGGTGAATTAAAGAGATGACAAACAAGATCGACAGTTCATGTACCGGAATTTTTAAACCGCCACCATCAACACCAGTTATTTTAATTCCAACCCAAAGTCAAACCAGTCAAGACAAAGTCAATCCAGAAAATCTAGTCAACCAATCTACAAGTGCAATGACGACTGTGATATTGATGTTACATCTTACAGTTAATTACATTTTCCTATATTTATCCATTTTGCTTCTTAATTTAAAGGATTCTCAATAAAACTGAAAAAATCACAATTTTACCCTTAATTATTACGCAACAGTTGCCAAGATGCGGTAGTACAGCCCTTTTTTTCTGAAAACGTAAAATTCTACACTAATTTCTCTTTTCACTGTTGTTTTCACCAAAAACGGAACTTTTATCTTCCACGTATAAAATGGCAAGCAACATTTTCACAAAGCTCGGGCGCAGCCCACAAAAATAGTTTTTGAAGAAAATAAATTGGCGTGCATTCTAGGAGTCAACTGGCATTTTTCTGGGATCCTTTTAGGCCTCATAAACGACCAGATATATGCCACTCACAGTTAGACCAAAGTCAACAGAAATTTAGCGCTTTATCTATCAAACTGTAAAATTTAAAATAAGAAAGATAAAAATTTTTAAAGTTGAACCTGGTAGTTCCAGTCTCCAACCAGCATGTTGTTGGTGCCGCGGATGGCTCTGAAGAATCCGCTCTCACCCCAGTCTTCTCCCCATTGATTTTTCATGATCCAGTAAGGAGTACCATCCTCATTGCCATAGCCGATGGTAAGGATGGCATGATTAATTTCCCAGCCACCTTCGGGTTCCTGAGCATCAATGATTCCTCCTTGGTAGTCTTGGAGTGGTCCGGCATCAAGGTCTGAAAAGTGGCACTGTTTCTATCCCAGGTGTTTCATAGAAACAGAGAATAGTTTAACTGTACTTACATGTAACAATCGGCCCGGAGCTTGCAACAACACTGGCCATGTTATCCTCATCATCGGGTGGGAGTTGTGTTTGGCTAGTAACCGAGCGGACTGCAGAGGTCTTGCTTTTGCACTTTGGAATGGCAGAATTGTCTCCAGTCTCGCCCAAAGTGTAGCCCCAGTTAGCCTCACTGGTGATTCCATGGTCAATGGCGTATCGCAACACTCCTGGTGAGGAACCTCCGTCGCAGCCATTGTTATCATCATACTTCTGGTTTTGGTAGGTACACGCGACCATCTGCTCTTCACTCAGATCCAATTCTTCAAAGGTCTGAAGCTTGTGCTGACTCTCAATGGCAGCGACAGCAGCAAAAGCGTAGCAACAGCCACAGGCGCCCTGGTCCTTGATGGAGGTGACCCCTTCATAATCTCTCCAGTCATAAGAATCTGGGGTATCCTGGCGTTTGGCGCGGATTTGGGCCGGTTTGGAAGTGCTGTGGAGCTTTTGGACATGGCTAACTCCCTTAACTCCAGTGTGTTTGTTAACGAATTCCTGTGCGCTCAGGTCGGAGAACTTGGTAACTCCAAATTTAGTTTTTGGGCTATGCTTCTGGCGGCTTTCAACGCGTTTTAAGGAAGTTTTAAAGTGACCGAAGCGTTGCGAGGTGGTGGTGTCATTATCATATTCCCTTCCGAACCTACAATCAAGTCCATTGGTTTAATATATAAGAACTTACTTGACGATGAACTGGAAGAAGTTGTGCAAATGCTTCTTATCATCAGCAGCCAAGCTCTGATGGAGGTTAACCGCCGAGTGCAGCGACTTCTTTGTGTTGTCGGTGACATTTGTCAAGCCGTTGATGAGGTCCTTGGCCTTGCCGTTTTTGCAAAGGTCGTCAAATTTGCCCTGATCCAAGAGATCTTCGAATCCTTTTCCCAGATCTTTCGGATCCAGCAATCCGGCAGAGGCTACAGTAGCCAACAAGGCGATGGTCACAAACGATCTCATGGTGAGAAGACTAGGCAACTACTGTTGAAGTAACAAGTTGATATCTCCCCATCAACATCCAGGCTTTATATACCTCATATTTTGTTATTGATCTCTGCAATTCCAACATTCCTGATTCCTCAGACACGTCAATTGAGGTTTAAAATGTATTTTTTCCGGGAAACTTGGTGATCGTTTCTTATTTGCATAGCTGGAGTTAACGGCTAAACGCTAGACACATTCGAGGAAGTTGATTTGTTTTGCCCTTTCCCATACTTGAATGTTTATTTGTATTCAAAATCAGACGTTTGGAAACGTAGCTGTGCAAATTAAAAGCGGATTTTTAAAAATGCAAAGCTGAGAGTTCGTAGGATGCATGCACCTAAACCAACAAGGCTTTATGATATGCATCAAATCTTTTTGTAGCCTTGCTCGGAAGCGCTTAGCATAATTTGAGAAAAAAAAGTTCCTTGGGAGAATCTCTCTTTTATACGTAGCCACTGCATGTTCACTTCGTGTAGACGCTCTGTGTCGCCGCAGCGACGAAGTGCGAATACCTCTTTGTCTTGTAGTATATACATGTAGTATTCCGGAGCGATGTAACAGTGAAATAAAGCAACACCAGACGTGGATCCTACAAGAGTGCCGAACCTGGTGTGTGAACTCTATACATATATTCTTTCTTTACGACAAGACGTGATTCTTCAATGTTCTGTTCTTTTATCATGTCTGAACTGTCTAACGTATCCGTTGGTTAGCATAAACTGATTGAATATGACGTACATCATTACAGTGGCGGATCTGATCCATTGGCAAAAACGTACCATTTTGCATCCGGAAAGTATCAAAAATGCAGCAAATACCTCCCTATCCAAGTGAAAAAACTCCCATTTCAAAAACGTGCCTGCTCTTTTTGTGAGGAAAGAGGGCGCGCCATTCAAACGGAGTTTTTTTAGTTGTAGAGGGAGGTATTTTGCCACATTTTTGATACTTCCCGGTTGCAAAATGATAAAAAAAATGAACGAATCTACAGGGTGCGCCAAAAAAAATGGACACAAATAAAAACGGTTGTGTCTCGCCACGAAAAGCGTTACGAGTAGGGAAAAAGGGACCATTGTGACCACAAACCAGTCACTTGCAGACCCTTTAAATCCCTTTTTTACTTTTCCCACACATTTTTGCAATATGGACAAAAAGGCGAAGAGGTACCAAAATGTGTTTTTATCTTCTAACAAGTACTTTTATGGGGGCTCCTACTTTTTGACGGGACATATCTCAAAAAATCAGAAAAAATGCGCTGATCAAGGATATATAAATCTTAGCTGCCCATTTTGGGCTTTTAGGGGTGAAAATGCCCAAAAACTGGCTCAATTTCCCTACAAAAGGCGCATGCATTCGAAACGATAAAAAGCGCAGTCGGTCTCTTCCTTCGGAAGAGAGCGGTGTGGCCGAGTGGTTAGTGCTGTAGTCTGGGAATCAAGAGGGAGGACGCCGCACGGGTTCGATTTCCCTTTTGGGCCGAGTCAACTTTTTTTGAAGTTGAAGGTCGGAAAAATAAATTTTTGGGCCACTGATTTATTACGTCTTAGAAACTCAATAAACATCATTTTAAGCCAAAATAAAAATTGTAAACCCGTGAAAAATTAGGCGAAAAGGGGTTCATATAGGACTTTAAGTCAACTTCCGATTGAGTTTTCACCCCTAAAAACCTAAAATGGGCAGCTAAGATTTATATATCCTTGATCAGCACATTTTTTCTGATTTTTTGAGATATGTCCCGTCAAAAAGTAGGAGCCCCCATAAAAGTACTTTCCTTGTAAAGAATTTTCCCGGAAGAAAATGGTTTGTCGTTGTGGTTCTCTCCGTACAACTGTCACCCGGGCTTCATATATATATATGTTTAGGGATGTTGGCAGCATCCAGAGGTTCCCAGGAAGTGGTAGACCCAAAACAGAAAAGGCTCCGGCTCTGAAGAAGAGCATCAGAAATCGGACTGACCCAGATCTTTGCAGATCTTTGGAACGAATGGCTTCTAAATTGAATATCTCGGCCTTATCGGGTAGAATAATTGTAAAAACCGACATGAGATGTTCCCCATATTCTATTCTATGCGGGCCATGCGTTGATTCAACAGAGAGACGCAAGACACGGCTTCAGTGTTTCCGAAAGTTAAGAAAAGAAGCCACTGACACGGTACTTTTGCGGGCACCCACCGGTTCCCATTTTGAGCCCTCGGATCTCCGCTGAAAGCAGAGGTTTCAGCATGAAACTTTTTGACGCTATAGAATAGACGTAGATTTATATAATAAGTGCCGTTTGAGCGAGGTAGGATCAACGGCAGCTTTGTAGCAGATCTTTAAGGAAAATCTCCGGTTTTCGTCCATTTTTTTGGAATTTTGTCACTACCTCGAAGCATGACGACGGTGAAAAGTTAAAAATCCGTGTGTTCAGTACGTCCTTCGTCGGGAATTAACTCAAAACTTTACAGCTGTCCGAAGCCTCATCATTTTCACACTACAATATTTTTTCTGGTTTTCGGAATTTCGGGTTTTATTTTAATGCCTCTGCTACTCAAGTTTGGATGTCCATAGCATTGAAATGAAAGGTTACTATTCCTTTATATATATGATAGTACAGATCCTAACGAATTGGAGGACTTTTATTTGAAGTTTTGGTGACGCTTAAAAAAATATTTATGCCACACTTTCCAGAGGACACACTTTCGAGAATTGTGATCAGGACATGGTCAACTTGAACTCCCAGGAAAAAAAGTTGGAATAAAGTTATACCTCCGTTCTTACCATTAATATATTGCTTGAACGTCGCGTTTATTATACCTAAACGTTTCCCCAAATACCTTGACCCAGGGCCAGATATTGGCAAAAAATTTTTGTCCATTTTTTTTGGCGCACCCTGTATACAGGGTGTACCAAAAAAATGGAAACTTGTTTTTATAGCTATATTTTTTCGGAGAATCAAAATTCAGCAAAAGTAACGGTTATGATTAGTAACATAGAGCATTGTTTATAACATGTTCAATCTGTTTCACAGTGGCTGCCTTTGGTGGCGATATAGACTTCCAAACGTGACGTAAAATTTTGGGGTCCGGGCCGCAGCTTTTTATGGGGGAAATCGGTCCCGTTCTTGGCGCATCATTTACGTTGCGGCTTCAAACCTTTGTGGAGCATAGTACAGGTGCTGGCCTTCTATTAAAAAAAATATATAGTCCATTGGATTCAGATCTGGCGAGCAGGCGGCCATTTCGCAGGCGGGACAAAATCGGGAAAATCGGTCCCATTTCGGGTCCTGAGTCGATTTTGCCTTGTGAGCCGGCGCTGAGTCCTGTTGAAACCCCAAGTTTGCATTGCCAAGGTTCTGCTGAGCTCACGGAAGCACGACAAAATAGAAATTAACGCGGCGCTAGTATTTCGTCCCATTTATTCACGAAAAACATGGAATTCTTGCCGCTGGCACAAATTCCGCCTTAAGCAATGACGACCCGGATTTTGGTGGTATTTGACGATGGCCAACAGGCTAGGAGCCTCACTGAAGCAGATTCTATCGTTCTGGTGGTTGTGTATCCGCTAAATATTAAACCGCGAACTGAATGCGCTCACGTCTCGGAGCTGCGGCCCACCCGTTTCACTTTCCGACATTTTTGCGCTGTATGCACTTTCTCTCGACTTTAAAGATCTGAATTTTTTAGAGCTTGTATGACATGAGGTTGAGCTCGCCTTTGACTATTCGACCGAGCGATCGGTCGCTGATGTCAGTCTCAAGGGCTAGTTTTTCTTGAAAATCGCGGATTTTGCTGTGGGGGATCTTTCGGTTGAAAGAAGCGCTGGCGGTGCGTTTTCTTTCACTTCCTGGGCGCTTACTATCCGTATCAAGCTCCTTGGGCCTCGTGATTACTTTCGACACAACGTTCTTTCTATACCGAGCAAATTAACTTTTCGAACAGCTCCAAAAACAAGTCCAAAATCGAGGTCCCTTTGTTTGAAGTTCAAAAAAGACAGGTCGATTAATCGATAGGGCGTAAAAATCAAAACACTAGGACAGAAAAACACAGAGAATTTTGTAGTAATAAACTTCTTTGGCTACACCTAACCATTTTCGCGTCAGGACAAATGAAAAAAAGTTTCCATTTTTTTGGTACACCCTGTATATAAAAAAACATTTAGATTTGAATTTTTAAAAAGACTCGCGGGTTTACAGATCACCAAAAACGTCTGATCCCATGAAATAAACATAAACATTCCCATGTGAACAAGAAAAACAAAACAAAACATATGATTCAACTTTGAGGAACACTACTGTCTGATTTGCATATGCCCGCGGCAAAATTTGAGTATATAAAGCCGTCGATACGCTGATGGAGCATATTATAAACTTGTTACTTCAACAGTAACTGCCTAGTCTTCTCAGCATGAGATACGTTGTGATCATCGCCTTTTTCGCTGCCGTAGCCTCCGCCGGATTGTTGGATCCGGAAGATCTGGGCGACGGATTTGTGGACCTATTGGACCTGGACAAATTTGACGACCTTTGCGAAAGCAAGAAGATTAAGGGCCTCATCAACGACTTGACAAATGTCACCGACAACACAAAGAAGTCGTTGCACTCGGCGGTGAAACTCCATCAACACTTGGGTGATGACGGTAAGGAGCATTTGCACAACTTCTTCCAGTTCATCGTCAAGTAAGTTACTGTTTCATAAGCATAGACTTGATTTCAGGTTCGGAAAGGAGTACGAAAATGTCACCACCACTTCACAACGCTTCGGTCACTTCAGAACTTCCTTGAAACGCGTTGAAAGCCGGCAAAAGCAGAGTCCAACGGCCAAGTTTGGGATTACCAAATTCTCAGACTTGAGCCCACGGGAATTCATCGACAAACACACTGGAGTCACAGGAGTTAGCCATGTCCAGAAGCTTCACAGCAGTGCCAAGCCCGCTCAAATCCGCGCCAAACGCCGGGATATTCCAGATTCCTTTGATTGGAGGGACTATAACGGAGTCACCTCCATCAAGAATCAAGGACAATGTGGGTGTTGCTACGCGTTCGCTGCGGTTGGTGCCATTGAGAGTCAATACAAGATCCAGACCGGTGAAGAATTGGATCTGAGTGAAGAGCAGATGGTCGCGTGTACCTACCGAAGCCGATACTATGATGATAACAATGGCTGCAACGGAGGCTCTTCTCCGGGAGTTTTCCGATACGCGATTAACAATGGAATCACTACTGAGGAAGATTGGGGCTACACTTTGGTTGACACCGGTGATAACTCGGCCATTCCAAGATGTCAACGCAAGGAGTCCGCACTGTCGGTTTCCAGCCAAGAACAACTCCCATCCGGTGATGAGGTCACCATGGCCAGTGTCGTTGCTAGCTCCGGACCGGTTGTTACGTGTAAGTACAGTTGAATAAACATCTATGACACTTTTCAGACCTTGATGCCGGACCACTCCAAGACTATCAAGGAGGAATCATCAATGCCCGAGCACCCGCAGGTGGCTGGAGAGTCACACATGCCATTCTTACCGTCGGCTACGGCGATGAGGATGGTACTCCCTATTGGATCATGAAAAATCAGTGGGGAGAAGACTGGGGTGAGGACGGATTCTTCAGAGTCATCCGCGGCACCAACAGCCTGCTGATCGGAGACTATAGTTACCAGGTTCAACTTTGAAATTCCTTTTGATTCATTAATTGATTATTTTTGAATAAAAGGCGTTTGAGTTATATTGCACGTGTTTTCGACTAGAAAATCTTATTTTTCGCACAGAAAAGCTAAATAAGACCGTTTAAAAACACTAAAGATCAACGACGTTTCCATGACGAAGTTTCGGCGCGCTGAATATTGTGGTGTCGAAGGGCGCGTAACCGATCAAGCCGAAAGCTCAGGAGTCAAGTGATTTATTCATGAGAAAGGAGGCCTTTTATAAGGAAACCCCACGTAGAAAAGTACAGTCAAATTTGAATAATTGAAGACAGTTTCTCGTGGGAAGCTCCCTGAAGCTCGGTCGTTCCGCCTCACAGAAAAAAAAATTGTTTAAACCACTTTATTTGTTAGCAATTTCTTCCTGATAGCTGTAATGAACTCGGTGCAGCGTTCATCAAAGATCAAGCAGACTGTGAGTGCAGCCGTTGCTTTGCATGCGTTGGAAAGTCGGTATAAAATTAAGACGTATCAAGACGAGAGTCGTTACCAACGCCGTTATTTGCGTAAGTCGCAACCTAATCCAGATCAAGTTTTCTCCCTCAAAATGCTTCAAAATCTCCTCGAACCCACCGAAAAGACCAGTGAATTCCAATGAACGTCACTTTAAATTTCGCTGCGAATTGCGATGACATTGTAAAAAAAAGTGTTGAAACATCCCTCATAAAACATTTCAGGCGGTATTCCACATGGCTAAACGAGTTTCGGCGAAGGAAGAGCGGATCTGGAATGTCTGCGGTATTCGCTGCCCATTTTTTATCAACCCTTATGCCGCGAATCGACGGCGAAAAAACTCAGAGTTTACTTTCTTACATAATGCAAACGGCGTTTTTTCCACATTTTGGTTGGGTTTATGTTATTCGGAAGTGGATTTATGGGATCGTTATGTAATTTGTCTGGTGATTTTTGAGAAAAGATGACGTTGATGAGAAGGTTCCGAGATATCAAGATATCTGGTTAAAATTTTGAAATTTTGAATGATTTCTGTGTAGGCTAGGAGGGAAATTGCTCGGAACGAGACGCTCAGAATTTTAACAAAACTTGGATACCAATTTGACTTTTCTCGTGTCTGGTCCTCTATTGTACTGTGGCCGACCGAATTCAGTGGCAAAAAGCATATTGTTTTTCATCCGAAAAGTATCCAAAATGCAGCAAAATACCTCCCTCTCTGATCAAAAAAAATAGCGCGCCATTTCCCTTACAAAAAGAACTGGCGGGTTTTTGAAATCTGACAATGAGTCTTTTCACTTGGAGAAGGAGGTATTTGGCTGCATTTTTTATACTTCCCGAATGCAAAATGGTACGTTTTTTCCACTGGATCAAATCCGCCACGGTATAGTATATGTTGTGTGTTTGAGATTCCTAGCTCGCGCTTTGCAGGAAACACCTATGTTTTTTGATGTAGGTTGGCAAAATCTGAGACTTTCTGCAAGTTTTGCAATAAAAAGTCAAAATTCTCATGAATTTATATGGCACCACGAGCTATGACGTTCCTCAAGTTCTATTAGACTTATTATTTCCGTTTCCGGTATCCCCGCTCTCACACACGCATTCTTTGGTTATATAGAAAACGACCAGTTTGTCAATCGTCTTCATCCGCACATTTTTTATTAATCTTCCGATTCTGAAGCGGTGCAAATCCCAAAAAGCTCATTGTCAGAGAGTTTGATCTTTGCCGAACCCACCAGCACAGAAAACTGGTTGCTCTTGTTACCTCACTCGTTACCCCATCGGGAATTCAAACAGCTAATTTTACTGTTCTAAAGGGATTCACGCAGCCTTCTGGAGAGCCGGCTAAAAGCTCTTGAACGGATTGTTTTTTTCAACGAGCGGGATAATGATTCCCAAGCTCTTCCTTCTCGCGTCGGCAGTGCGCTCCGCGCGTTACATTGTTTTCTGTGAATTGTTTTCGTTTTTTTGGGTGGTTTGACTGTTCCGCGGTGTTTGGTATTTTCGGAATTTTAATGCGGTGATACCCTAGTTATCGAGCGTTCAGTTTTTTGGAAGGCATTTGAAGAAAGCTATCGGATACTGCAAGTGTAATCCAAAATTGCAACTTTTTTTAAAAAGTTAAAGCAAATTTAACCAAAAATTCTGTCGCTTTGCAGAAACCGTCGAGTTGTTGAGGTCAAAAATTGGCACTCTGTTTTTTTCTACCGTGAGCAAAATTTTTCCAATTGACCGGGTTTTACCTGCGTTTTCATTTCGACAAATACCTGTGTTGTGCCAGAAAACCGTTAGTTTAAAATTTTCAAAATTTAATGAAAAGTTACGTGGAGTAAAGGAGCAAACTTTTGAAACAACTCTAGGTTTTTAGACAATGGAGTTTGGATGCCGTGTTAGATCGTCTTAAAGAACCTCAAGGGGAAAGTTGCGGGAGCTATAATTAGATCCAGGTTACTATGTTCCAGCTTTGCGAGCCGTTAATTGGTTTCCTTCTTGTATGGTTTACTATTATTCCAGCGTTCTTCGCAACGCTGTAGTTTTTACTTCCTGCAGGGAATTTTTTTTTTCAATTTTATAAGGTATTTGTGACTTTTTGGTATTATTTTATCTCCCGTATTTTTTACAAATTTCTCAAGGCTTCTGAAAGTACAGCTCTATCGAAGGCCCTAAAAAATCCAACATTTCTTGATTACTTTCAACCGAAAAAGCCCCAAATTTCTCGGTCCTTTTCAACCAAGAATGACTGGTTTTCGGGCTAGGAATGCCCCTACTTCAGAAGGTCGTAGCGACCTCAGTTTGCGCTTTAAAATTTTGTTATTTCATGGACAGGGATTAATGTCGCTTAAAAATACATATTCCCAAAAACGAAGTCGCTGCGCCGTCTCCGCCCGATGTTATATAGTCTCCGACTTTCCTTCACGTTTTTTAAGACCCTGTATTTTTGTGCCTACGGTTTTTAGGATTTCTTCCTCAATTTTATAAGGTATTTGTCACTTTTCTTTGTTTATTTTATCTCTCTTATTTTACGCCAGTTTTTGAAGGCTTCTGAAAGTAATCGCTTTCGTTTAGCAAACCCTCAGGGTTTGATGGATCTGAACATTGAGAACAAAAAGAAACAGATCCATTTTGCCGGGGTGTTGGTCGACCAAGGTGGTGAGGATGATAACGAGGATATTGCCTACGGCAATGTTCAGATTGTTTGGTGAGGCCAATGCTTATGCCTGAAAATGGTCGCAAATTTAGGTTCTATGTCTTCAACTACCTTGTTATGTTCATTTTCACGATGATTGCGGTTTATTTGGCAGAAACGGAATATGATCCACAAACAAACTTCCAGTTAAATGGAACATACCGAGTGTTGCATGAAAATATTGGATATTGCGTGGTAAGTATTGTGAAGATGTGGTTGTAACAAATTTTTAACTTATTGTTGGCAATGTGTCTGTGAAATGAAAAGCAAATATTAAAAAATTCTCTGCGATTTTAGGAGATGAAACCTGCAGATTCAAGGGTTGAATGGTTGTCGTTGCTACGAATGGTCGACACTTATGTGTTGTCAAATATTATGTTCCGACTGGCTTGTGGATTGTCATTGTGTTATCGAGTATTTATGCCGTGGGCCTTATGGTGAGACATATAACATTTTTTATCAGTTTTTACGCAGCTCATTGTGCTTTTTTTGCGATTTAGCTTACGTAGATATTTCGTAGAGCGGCGACACAACTTTCAATGCGCAAGGGCATTATCTTCTAGATAGACTGACAACGGCTCATAAGACCTTTATAGGTTTTTGGTTTTGACCGTTAAAGACGCCTTTAAAACACTTGCTTAAACAGGAATGGTATAAAAAAAGTGTTCGTCTACCTTTTCGGATCTTGATCTCTCTTTGAAACCTGCTTCCAAGAGCATGAAAATTACTAATTAAGCAAGCGCATTTCAGTCAATCTTTGATCTTTAAATCCTAGCTGGTTTTATGCTGTTACTACCGAAACAACAGGGTATGAATACAAATACACGCAGTGTAAAAAATTGTCGTATTCGTTTTAGTACGACTATTTTTTAATCATTCGAATACGTTGACCGTTGTAAATGTATGATAATTGGACTGCCTATAAATTTATGGTAGTTTAAAGTAATAACATAGTAAAATAGCATTACTGTCGCTTTCATCTAATTTACCATGGATCCCCATTCTTCAATTTCCTGAAATTTCAGGGCCAAACTCGTATTCTACTACCCTCGCTCCCTGCCATTCAAGATCTCCGCCGGGATTATGTTGCTTCTCCAAAAGGTGGAAGTCTGTTGTCTGATGATCTTCTCCATCAACATGCTCAAGTTCGATTATAAATGCAAGTGGCTTATAAAAAAATAAGTATAAATAATAGTTGTTATAATTATAAAATTTTACAAAAATTTTCTTTTTAGATGCCTATCATCTTTGCTTCGTAGTGTGGCTCGTTTCAAACCCGATAATTATGGCGATCTCCACCTGGCTTCATGTTTGCGACGCGTTCGAAAACTTAATCGACCGATTGGGCATTTTTATGAAACTCGCCGCCTCGATTGTCTTTATCTGGTATGCGCCGAGCTTCTATTTCACGCATTTGGATTACATTTGGCAGCCGAAATGCCATCCATACGTAAATTATGGTCAAGCCATGTCCGAATATCTAACGTTCATATCGTATTTCGTATTTAATTTGTGCTTGTTATTCGATATCAGGGATTTGCGAGGACTTGTGTACCCGCGGAGCGTGGCCGGTGAATGCGAAATGGTGGTGCCGAAGAACTTCAAAAAAGGCGAGAGATACGATCGATGTCGGTGATTGTTGACTGTCATCTTTCGCCTTGTAATTGTACAATTTGTCGGTTTTACGGTGTAATAATTATTTCTGTTATTCGGTATAGAAAAATCGAGTGCTATATTGTCCATATTTTTGCTGCTATTGTGCCTTCTTTGTTGTGTAAATATTAATAAACAATGAATATTTTGAGAGGCTTCTTTTGATTTTTGCGCTGCACGGCAACCCAAAATATTAGGTTGTCCAACAAATAATGACCCTCTTCGAAAAATTTATTTTTTCGGCAAAATTTACCGTAATAACTGCGATGTATTTAATCAAAATAATTATCATGTGCTTTATCACGCTTGTTACAACGTGGCAAAAAGTTTTTTATGTCTGTAGCTTAGGAACCCCGGCTTCTGGAGCCGATGAAACTTTTGAAGGCCTTTTCAAGGGTGTCTTGATTGTCGAATTCTCTACCACTGATGAAACGTGCTAGATTCTTGAAGTGATGGTAATGTGTATAGACCAGCTCTGACAAATAGGCTGGACAAGGGACAGTCTCCTATCTCTATTAAATCCGCTTCTGAAGGGTCATCTTTCAAAGGGGAGGTTCCGTGTAGCCGCTAAGAATTTTTGGACTTCTGCGGCGCATCGTTGAAGACAGACGCTGCCAAAAAACTGTCTATCTGGATACAGTAGGGTATGGTATCTACATTTTGGCCAGCTTTCAAGAAGCTGTATTGTACTATTCCCGTGCTGCACCATCAAGAAGTAGTCATCACCTTGTTTTGGGGGGAGTCGGGCTTTGACAAGTCTCGCAGTGATACCCTAGGAGGCCTCCGTTCAGCATATCTGGTCTGGTTGTCCCAGTAGGTCCTCTTTCCATCAGAGGCAACGATTCGATCCAGAAAACGGCACGCAAACGCGAGAAATGTAATGCTTCCACTCTTTGCTTTGATCCAATAAAATGGGAAAAATTTGCCGAGCATTTTTTGAATTCCATCGACATCGAATGGTTAGCCGCCGATTATTTCAACAGCCAGACGACGTCAGAGACGCGTTGAATGTTGATTCTAGGATGTTCGCCAACCGACGACCTCAGGGTAAATTGATAAAGTTCGGATTCCGTACTTTATCTTTGGGTCCCTTGCCGTCAAATCGTAATTTTTAAATCCATCGTTTCACCGTGTTCAAACTCAGAACACACTAGTCGAACACAGCGTTGATACTTTGCGTAGCTTCGGAAACTTTCGCGTCCTGTTTTTGCCCGTAAAAGATGACAGCACGAACCGACTTTTTTTTGATAATCTTCGATTAGGGCTAAATTACTGGAATTTGGTCCCAATATGACAAACGATACATCAAACGAAAGCCTGAAATCTCGGCTACAAAATGTTGTAATATTTCAAAATTCCATCATCGGTTGCCTTTTTTAGAGGCTTTAAACTTTTCCCCTCTCACAGAGGGTCATTATTTGTTGGACAACCTAATAGAACAAAAATGTCTCCCGCCCACTTTTGAATTTCGTCCAAACGAAGTGTCAAAATTGACAAAAGAAATAAAATAATTCCGAGAAAAATATTTTTCGGTCGGAAAACCACACGAAAATTCATTTTTGACATTTCGTTTGAATTCAACCGATACTAGGTGGGCGAAGCGCCGAAACGAGGCGGGAGACTCCCTGGGTTGCCGTGCGCTGTTATGTAATCAGCGTTATCGGGTAATAAAATCGGACCCAGCTGATAATTTATTTCCGCGATGCGCTTGGTTTTTCAATTACAGAAGAAGTGTTCGGGTAAGGGGTTTTGCTCTTGATTTTTTAAAGTTTGTTGAAAATGACCGTTTATTAGAAAGGTAGTGCAAATTAAAGGTGGCAATCGTGCCATACAAAAGCAATTAGGCCGATGCAGGGCTTTTTGAAACTTTCGCCAGGGCCGGGTTTTCAATCCACAGGGTAAAGAAACTTTTCTCAAAAAACCCATTTTTTCAGACGCGTCTAGACGTCAGAAACTGCTCTTCTTTTTGGCGCTAATTCTCAGGGACCAATTTGACAACCCCAATCTCTCATACATTTAGTGGAAAATCTGTATAAAAATTGAATTTTTGCTCATTTAGGGTCATTTTAATTCTAGGGTGAGGTTGTGTGGCCGCTCTCTGAGAGCTCTGAAAATTCGAAATTTCCATGATTCCAAACTTCGATTATGCAAATTTCCAAAAAATTCAAACTCTTGAGAAATTTTTTTTGCAGATTTTGCACTAAATGTATGAGAGATTGGGATTGCCAAATTGGCCCCAGCTAGCAAAATGAATTTGTATAAAACCAACAGTCGCGAAGAAGATAATGTGGTAAACTCGCATACAAATACTATGTATTTACATTCCGGATGCAAAAAAACATGATCCCTTTCGGACCAAAAGGATCGTTTACTGAGAAGCTGCGAAAGGATTCATGTTCTTGCATTCCATGACGCATTTCGGATACGTTTTTTGCTACATACATATACCATCTTAATAGGACTGAAATTGAAGTGCACTCGCTACGTAAATCTTGTGCTTTCACATGAAACTCCTCTCAAAATAGCACTCCAATACTCTTAATCCTCTACGTTTTGTATTAGTTCGCTACAAGTCGCATGTGTAGAAACGCCAAAACCCCACTCCGTACTTTTGCTTTGTTTACGGCCCCGCACGGGCTGAGTGTTAATCCGGAAGCGGCCAAGATGTCCAATTAGTCGTTCAGGGCCGGATATATTCATCCAGATTTGGCTTAAGGCTGTAACACGCTATGTTTTTTCGAGTGTCTCTACTTGATATAACTGTTGTTTTCTAGAGTCATATACTGTTAAACTTGCCTTTTTAACGTCAAATTTGCATATGTTTTAGGGAAAATATGGGTATGGATTTCTGTGGAAAGACAATCTTCCCTAAATACGTCTATGTGGATGGGGAATTCAAGGAGAATATTGCAATTTCTACCGACGAAAAGGGGAAAATCACTAAAATCGTGCCAGTCTCAGAAGCAGAGCACCCGATTATTGAGCTTCCGGAGTTGGTAAGTGAGATTTTGAAAGTTTGGGTGACGATTTTGAAAGACCCAGGCAATGGCTGGAAAGTTATGGTTCCAAAATTTAAGGCTAATGCAGCTATCTTGCAAAACAATTATTTCTAAGCATGTAGAATTTCACCAAAATTTTTTACCGTTATTTTTGGTATAACAGATCAAAACATTTTTTGTGACATTTTGTTCTCCAGCCTTCAAAAGTATCTCTACTATCTCTTTAAACTAATTTTGACAATAAACCTATGCTTTCAGTGTATTCTCCCTGGATTTGTTTCCGCCCATTCTCACGCATTTCAACGTGAGCTTCGAGGCCGAAGCGGGATTGGTGCGGTTGGGACACAGAACTTCTGGCGTTGGCGTGATGACATGTACAAATTGGTGGAGGAGGCAGATTATGACAAAATGGTGAAGGTAAACACTTTTTTGATTGTGCGGGGTTTAGAACAAACATAAATTGGAATTCTGGAGCCACTAGAATCCATCGGAATTCTGGAGCCATTAGCTAGCTATGTGGCCTACATAGAACTTGCAGTCAAAGTTCAAAGATTCCATAAACCACCTAAAATTATATATTATCTCTCCCTGCTTTCAGTACACCACCAAAACCTTCAACGAGATGCTTCTGGCTGGAATTACGACCGTCGGAGAATTCCATTACGTTCACCACGGCACAACACCTTTTGATCTTGATCTGGCCATAATCAAAGCAGCAAAGCGAACCGGAATCCGACTATGTCTCATTGAAACTTTATACTCACGCGCTGGTTTCAAAGAACACGATGTGAATGATCAACAGAAACGTTTCAAAACAAGTGTTGACGATCTAACCGCGCAAGTCATCAAAATGGGCGAGAATTTATCGGAAAGCGTTACGCTCGCTGTAGCGGCACACTCACTTCGAGCTGTTCCACTGGATCAATTACATCGACTGCATGCGTTTGCCGTAGAAAAAAGCATCCCATTTCACATTCATATCGAGGAACAACCGAAGGAAATTCAAGATTGTCAAAGCGCTCATAATTGCACACCGAGTGAGCTGCTGTTAGCCACACTGCCAGGACTCGATCCATGTGTAACATTGGTCCATTGCACCTACACTGATCGGTAGGCAAAATTAACGGAGCTTTCGACAGCTTGCTGACTTACTCTCATGTGGTGTTGCGAGAGAAATTCTGAGGATTTTTTCACCCTTACAAACCAACATTGTGCAGCTAACTTTAACATATTTTGAATCAGCAAAATTTTTTTTGTTATACCTGTAGCTCCATACCCCCATACAAGTACTTTCCTTATCAAATCTTTTTTCCCTTCACATTCGTGATTTATAAAATCGATTTTCTTCAGAAAATCCCTGAACGAGTATGCCCGACGAGGAGTCAACGTCTGTGTCACTCCAACGACCGAAGGATTCTTGGGCGACGGAGTCCCGACCTTGGCGGAATTCGACCACATCTCGCTTGGAACGGACTGCAACAATCGGCTCTGCTTTTTGGAGGAAATGCGATGGCTGGCATTTTGTCAAAACGTAAGAGAAAATTCGGGGCTTTGGTAGTTCAGCCCCCCACGAAAGGTAGCTAGCTTTAGCTCAAACCCCACTGTTTTGCCCATTTCACAACCCCCATAATGGAAAAATTAGAATATAATACAAAAAATGCAAATTAGAGTAAGATGTTAATTCTGAAACGATTCATTCATTCTCCTTGTTCTTCTCCTTCGAAGCTGGTTGTCATGTCGGAAAAATCCACGTTGGAGGGCTTGATCTAAGACGTAGGGGGCTTGCCCTAAAACGTTCCTTCTCATCAAGCTTTCATTGACGCTTTCTGGAGCACTGTTGCTGGATTATACAACTTGGAATAATTTTATGAAACAAATTTTGGGGTTCAGAATGGACGAGGGGTGTTTGTACTGGGTCATGGGGGGCTGAACTGGACTTTGGGTTGTACTACCTTAGCCCAGAAAATTCACAATACAGCAAATCTTCAATTTTAGACCAAGACGAACACAAGAAACCACGCCGAGTTTGACGCCAAAAAACTGATAAAATGCGCCACGGAGAACGGCGCCAGATCGCTGAGACTCCACGAAAAGGTTGGCCAACTCCAAACCGGGTTCTTTTTGGACTTTGTCGCTTTCAATCTCAACTCTCCGAGGCTCAAAGATATCCCAGCTTCGGACTTGGCAGATGCCATTGTTTTTGGCGCCGGAAATTCGGATATCGCCATAGTTGTTGTAGGTGGTGTGGAGAGGGGGCAGTTCTGATGGACCGGTGCATAATAAACAGGTTTCGTATGTTGCATGTGTGTTGATTTTAAAGAACAGAATAAAGTCTTTAGAGATTAATTTCAACTTTTTTATGGTATGAAAGTTTATTTGACGAATAACTAACTTTATTTCCGGTCTAGACCACTTGTGCCTCACAGCCCAGGGTCTTGATTTGACTCAAGATGTAATCCTTGTCCTCCTCTTCCAGCTGGTTTACCAGCTCGACTACTCCCAGAGAGTTGGTAATTATAGCACCCCACGACGATCGGCACTGCTTGACAGGGTCTTTTTCTTCGTATGCAATAAAGTTTGTGTCCACTCCGATTACCACAGACTTGTCATCAGCGTTACAGATGGTTGGGCCACCCGAATCTCCCTGTAAATAGGGGGCATAGCTAGCCTAACATTCATCTCCTTAAACATCCACATCCTTATATGGATGCTAGGCAAATGACACGTGATAAGTGATAAAAAGCCTACACCACAAATTTTGGCCTTTGATGAGTAGGTTGCGGTGAAGCACGATGCTTGCCTCCCAATGCTCACGTTGAAATAACCCACTTCGCGGACTTCATCAGACATCGGCTTGTCTAAAGAAATGTACTGTGAGGGCTCTGATCCAGTCGCAAAAAATGTAACATTTGTATCCAGGAAGCATCAAAAAAGTGGCGAAATGATTCCTTCTTCATGTGAAAAAACTTCGTTTTGAAGGGCGCGCCCTTTCCCTCACAAAAAGAGTGGGGGCGGTTTTGAAATTATAGTTTTTTTACTTAAAGAGGGAAGCATTTTGCCACATTTTTGATACTTCCCGGATGCAAAAACGTTTTTTGCCACTGGATCAGGTCCCCCACTGTCTCGCATTGAAGTCAAATTACTTTCAGTACGCCCATAGCCGAAGGCAGTGCAATTAGACAACCACTGGGTCCCACAGGCCAGGTACAGCTGCTGATCCGTGATGATAGGCTCTTTGAGGATAATGAACGCCGAATCGTGACATGATCTCTATAATGAGTTTTCATAAAGTGCGTAGACTTTTGCACTGTGCAAGATGATATTTTTCTTGCGCTACGCGGCACACAACGCAAAAGTCCACGAACTTTATGAAATGCTAGGAGCGCGGGTTTAAGATCATAGTGAACCTACCGTTTTGGCAAAAATCTTGTTAATGAAAATTCGAGCAACACGACTGGTTTTATTGCCAACCTTTATAGTAACGTCATGTGCGCTAAAATTTATTATTATTTTTTTTTTAATTATTTTTGGGCTAGCTAGTTATCAGTCGAGGCGCATAGCCCTGTTGCCATTTTGGGCGAAAATCGGGACCGATGGGTGGCGGCAAAAAACCTCGGAATGCATGTCCTTACGTACTATGGCCCTATGCAGTGAGCGGCAGTTAGAACAACACGATCGGACAGCAGCACTCCAGAACAATAATCACCAATTCGAACGACGTTTTTAGCGACATCTCGGTGCGAGACTTTACTGTCGACAGAAGGAACGGCTAGAGCCGAAAGAAGGAATGTGAGGGCAACTACTACTCTCCACATCTTCGCAATGTTCCCTCCAGCTCAACACCGGCTACTTATACAGCATCGATGAACTTTGACTAATCGAATTTGTTTGATTTTTCTATTGTTTTTCTATTGTGTCAATGGCATTAAAGGAGGAAAAGATTGATCGATAAAACAATAGCAAATAAATTAAATTATGATCATGCATTACGGTATGCAAGCACGGCGTATGGGCACGTATTGGCCGATATGAGGAATGTGAGGAGTACAGAAACCCGTCACATGTCGCAATTAAATCTTGAAATTTCCCGCAGAAGAATTTATACTTTATGTGTGAAATTTTGCTCTAGGATATCAAAGGGTCTCATAATTTCATTTAAATTCAGTATGGGCAGATAGCTTTTTTAGAAACATTCAAAAACTAATTAATTTTTTGTCAAATACACAACTTACAGTATTCAAAAAACAAAAGGCTATTCATTTTTTAATTTCTTTTTTTTGTAAAAGCACTCTGCTTTTGATATGACTCGTTTGACATACAAAAAATGTGTCCTCTGCTTGAAATAAAGTAATCCTCGTCGACAAGGGACTGCACATTCCTCCGACCGCAACGATTTCAACAATCAGTTAGAAATGCTGCCGGTTTCTGTACTGTTTGCGTTCCTGGTATCGGCCACGGCTGTTCCCGTTCCATCGGTTGACAGTCAGGTTTCTCACAACCCAGTCGCCAAAAACGTTGTCAGACTTGGAGATTTCTGCTCTGGAGTGCTGCTTTCAGAGCGCATAGTGCTGACAGCCGCCCATTGTTTTGCCTTCGGACCACAGTGGGTTATTATATGACATTATGACGATTTTTTTTGGATATGTGACTGTCGTCTCAGCAAGATTACATTGTTAGTATAACAGGCAGCTTTTCCAGCCGGACCGACTTTACAGTGACAATTGGAGGCCAAAAAAGCGATGTTGCGAAGAGCTACGTAAACTACGTATATTTACAAAAATTTTCTAGGAGGTATATCATCCCCTAACATTCAGAGTTGATTCATTTTGTAAATTTTTTGCGGAAGGCAGCGTCATGACTGAAAAAAATCCCTAAAATTAACAAGGAAAGTTTTGGAGAATAGACTTTTTTTACATATTAAGCTTTACTCACTGGTCAACTGGAAGTAAAGCATTAGCTTCAGTACACCAAAAGGTTTCATGTACTAAACGCCCTTTTGAGTGCCTACCGCATAGCGATCAGAAAGGAAAAACTCTGGATTTCTGGGGTTGGTATGCCCTTGAAACGATGACAATTTCAGAGTTGTAAGTTGAACCCTTCAACCAAACGTTAGAAATAAATAAAAACTTTAGACCGGCTGTCATGACACTGCGATTGTTCTTCTGAAAGATCCCATACACGTGCCACAACAATTACCTCTTGCCTGTGGGATCCAATGGGCTTCCAACTGCAGTGGGTACGGCTACGGTATCACAGAGGGTAAGGCTGTTTAAAGTAGGTTAGAAAATCGCGCTTTCTTTGCAGATTCAAACAATGAATTAGTCCGCGAAGTGCGCGAGGTCAGCTTTAAAGATGTAGTAGGAGGGGCAGATGCTTGTTACAACACAACATACACGTCCAAGGCAAAAATTTGCAAAGTAAGAATATTGCATGCCTTAGTCAATAGTGCACCAAATACAAACAAATCCTAGGGGGATTCCGGTGGTCCGGCCATCTGCAATGTCGGTGGACAATCCGTGATCATTGGAGTTAATACAAACATGTTGAACTCAGTTGTCTATAAGGACAAAGCGAAGCAATGCAGAGGAGCCCCAGGCTCTGGGATGACCAATTCCCTTGGAGTAGTTGAGTTGATCGATCAGATCCCCGATGATGACCGAAAGTACATTTTGGACAACATTAAGACTGTCGGCTGCTATAATTAACATAAATTACCACACTTGTCAAAGTTACATATGCAATAAAGTAAAAATTATTCGCCAATATTGTACAGTGCGCGACAAAATTATAACCGCACTTTAGAAATTGCTGTAACTTTTTTGGTTGTCAACAGAAATGTGTCATATTTGGCTCCAATATTCACTAATGTCTCACGAATCATGTGCCAAAAAATTATTTCGGGAAATTTCCCCAATTTGGAAAAAAATTTGAAAAAACCAAAGTTTTGATGATTTTCTATGCGACAAAATTACACTCCATTTCAAAATGATAGACACGCCTATAAAATCTGCAATTGCGGTGTCGGGGTTCAGTTGACGGATACGAAACCTTAACAGATTGAAAGAGGAGGTTTGAAAACCTATACCAACAAATCATTTTTCTTATTGCACTGTGATTGCACTTTACACAAAAGATTTTCCAAATTTTGGGTGTTTCAAAATGATAGACACGGCTGCTATGTTTGCTAAAACCTTGGGAATATGGGCCCCATAGGGCCTGAAATTATTAGTATGACTGTATTGCAACTGTCTGGACTTTACTGAGCTCAAAATGCCCAAATTTTTGTGCAATTTTCTCGGAATTGCACATATACTTCCATTTTTTGCAATCTGACCTGCATCTGTCAGAAGTCCACTTTCCATGGGCACAGACAGTGCAGAGGCGACCTTTGGTATGTAATGGACTAGATCTAGTCAGTTTTCAGTGGTATGCAACAAAAAAATGCGTATAAATTGCAACAAAAACTGATTCCGCTGCGACATGGTCAGCTTTGAAGGCTACCCTACGTTTCGAAACAAGCTAGATGCGAAGAAAAACTTCATGACTGGAATGTTTAGGGTCTTATAAAAACGTTTAGGTCAGTAGCATGTGCAGCTTTGCTTCAGCGAGTCCGCAGAGAACCATTCTTTTGCCAATCTATGCGAAATAGGCTTAAAAATGGGTCAAAAACGGCCTTTTGGAAACTTGACCTTTTCTGGCGTTGGCCCGACGGAACCTGGACATAAGGCTTATGCAATGACGTTTTTCTGTGGTTTGTCAAGATAGTTCAGGGCTTTCTGGGTTGTGCAAACGACAGGCAACCGCTTGAGGAGCTTTAAAAGTGACGACTATCGTTGCAAAATCAGTTTTCGTTGCAATTTCCACGCGTTTTTTTGTTGCATACCAGTGAAAACTGACTGGATCTAGTCCATTACATACGATAATTCGCATCTGCACTGTCTGTGCCCATAGAAAGTGGACTTCTGAAAGATGCAGGCCAGATTGCACAAAATGGAAGTATGTGTGCAATTCCGGGAAAATTGCACAAAAATTCGGGCGTTTTGAACTCAATAAAGTCCAGGCTTTGACAATACAGTCATACTAATAATTTCAGGCCCGATGGAGCCCATACTCGCAAGTTTTTAGCATAAATAGCAACCGTGTCTATCATTTTGAAACACCCAAAATTTGGAAAATCTTTTGTGCAAAGTGCAATTGCAGTGCAATAAGCAAGATTATTTTTTGGTATAGGTTTTCAAACCTCCTCTTTCAATCTGTAAAGGTTTCGTATCCGTCAACTGCATGTCGACGCCGAAATTGCAGATTTTATAGGCGTGTCGGCAAAATAGGTTGATCAGTTAAAGGTTAGTTTAACACCATTACAGTGCCGAAATCCTTGGAGATTTTATGGCCAAATGATGTACCTGACGGCTTCACACATTATCTACATTACAGACGTAAAACCAGAAGAGAAACGCGTGATTTTCCGCGCCGTAGCGTTTTAGGTGGCTAGTTGATGATTTGGAGCGCCTTCCAAGAACCGGAGCGCTTCCGTTGCCGGCCACATCAACTCAAATGAGTATCCTTGAGTACTAGGGAGTCTTAGGCAAGCATCTGGTAACGTATTGGCAATCAGGCTACACGTTAATGCAGGGCAGTGCTCGCGTATACCTTAGCTGGTCGACAAAGCTGTTCTTCAAACAGCAAGGAATTGCTATCCCGAACGAGCCTATGCGTTCCTTGGATTTAAATCCTATAGAGAACATGTGGGGCTTCCAGGTTTGCTAACCAACACCCATTATTTTACAGTAACTGCGCTATTATAAAATAGGCACTTTTCCGATTCTGGCACAATATTGGCCAGAAGAGGTTAAAAAAGCTTGACCAGAGTATTCCCGGCTATCCAATCGACGTTATTGAAGCCTCAGGCAGCGTAACTAAACATTAGTTATTGTTATTCAGTGATTTAATTAGGCTAATTAACCAAATTCGTAAGTGCGGTTATAATTTTGTCGCATAGAAAATCATCAAAATTTTGGTTTTTTCAATTTTTTTCCAAATTGGGGAAACTTCCCGAAATAATTTTTTGGCACATGATTCGTGAGACATTAGTGCATATTGGAGCCAAATATGACACATTTCTGTTGACAACCAAAAAAGTTACAGCAATTTCTAAAGTGCGGTTATAATTTTGTCGCGCACTGTATTTTGATCAAAGCTGAAAGCTGTTTATTGGTCCGAATTTGCGATAGAATTGCTTTTCCTGCATTAACTCCGTTTGATTCTGGCACACAACGCTTTTGACGACCGTACTTGAGAACCTCTGTACCTCTTCGAAGAGAGGTATTTTCGACGATCCTTTTCTTTAACGTCTCATATCTATACCCTAAAGGGCCGCGCAAAGATTTCCCCCTTTGTAGATGATACTGACTGCGTGAGTCCTACCCGATCAACTTGCACGACCTCCGGTTCAAATAGCGATTGACACCTAAAATGCATTTCCTTGTGTGACCTGACTGTTGATTGTTCGAGAACGAACATAAGACGGCAGTGGGAGTATAGTGGCCGAAGCAATTGAAAAACTATTTTGAAACAGAGGCGCTCAGAAGCGCTGGTCGGCGGGCTCAGCGGCTAACCACTTTGCGGGCAACTTTAAAAACCACGGAGATTCTGCGAGCATGTTTTGAAATCAGCCAAACTTCGCTTACAACTGGATATTCAAACGATGCACGTCAAACTGAGATAAGCTAAAACAGTCCGGTGAATTGGTTGGTAATTTGCCAAAAAAGACGCGAAAAAACGTTTTGTCGCGGAAGAAATGGGGAATTTTTGGGGCGAGAGAGTACGCTTTTGCGTGTATTTTTTCTCTCTTTCTCTGCGAAATCAAGACGAAGTGTAAAAAACCGATAGCGAAGAGTCTATTCCGGTCACCGGACTCCTCAGTTTGACGTGCGATGGGCTTGAGAATTTGATGTTGCGGATTAAGTTTCCAGGTGTATAAGTGGCTTGAATCGTTACCATAAGCTTATCCAAGCATTTTTACAATTTTTTGAATACAAACATCCATAACTTTGAAAGCAGTGGATGAATTTAGTAGATTTGTGATCTTAGCAGTGCCAGAGAGCTGTCAATGTAAAATTTCTTAAGTGGCGCGACGCCCGCTGATCATTTAAACACGGTCTGAGAAGGTGCCACTGAATGCCATCTATGGCATTTTGAATTTCACCCGGACGATCGAGATTTTTCTTGCAAAAAACACATACAACCATTGTTTTTTGTACACCGAACTAATATCATGGACACGGTCTTTGAAACTCATTTTCCAAAAGGTTTTTCGGCGTATTCCCGATTACAAAGCTTTCCAGAAATGAGAATTTTCATTGAAGCCCTCTTCTTCCTGTCTACTGAGTATTCAAATGCATCGTTTACTTCTTAGGACCTTAATGACACAAACAAAATCAGTCGAGTGGACAGTCAAGTGCGTTGACGTATTCTTTGACGAACTTTCTATCCTCTTCTGGAATCTGCTGGAGCAACTCAATAAACGCCTGAACGTTTGCGAGAACGCTGGCACGAGAGACTTTGCATCTGCTCAAACGGTCAGGGAGGTCTTTAGTGATCCCTAGAGATGTAACGGCAACAAAGACCGACTTTCCAGCCACTCTGCATATGGTTGGTCCTCCAGAGTCGCCCTAAAACATCGATTATACATAACCAAACGCGGCTTAAACCGTCAGGCGCTACGACTTTTTTGGGTCAGCGACAGTTCGGGCGAGCGATGGATCGCGTCGATTCGTTGTTATAAATATATACGCATGGGGAAGTTAGGAGAAGGCTTATTTAGTAGAAATAGTGCGATTGATCGGGACCTAGGATATAGGCTATCACCTATTTTGAGGTATTTTACATCTACTCACACCAATACTACCTAGATAAAAGTTACAGATCTTAGTTCTTTACCGCAAATTTTTATTTTTTCACATGTTGCCTTTGCCAATTCTCCGCCGAGCCTTCTCCGAGCGTCCGCCGACTATCCAACGGCTTTTCTAGGCCCCGACGCATTTCCTAAAACCTTCTTTTGGGTGTTCACCTACGCCTAGAGGTGGCAATCGGGCCGGGCCGGGCCGATTTTTGCGGCCCGGCCGCGGGCCGAAGTGACCAGGCCGGCCCAGGGCTTTTTCAAAATTGCTCAGGCCCGGCCCGGCCCGGTGAAAGCCCAGGCCGGCCCGGCCCGGCCCTGTTTGGCCCGCTAATACAAAAAGGTTGGATAAAAGTCTTTGCATTTTCTATTGGAAGTTTTTATGCTTTCCAGAGGGTTTATATGTGTGTATAAGTGAAATTAAAACGTCTAGTCGGATGACTGGGACAGCCGAGCAGGTACCTAAAACGTAGCCAAAAAGTTGGATTGTGTCGATTTTTTTATCCCATAGGAAGTTAGCTATGTAAATATATGGGCGTTATAAGGCAACATGTTTAATCAAAAACTGCTTAAACACTTTCATTCACATCATGTCATCAAATTATAGTGAAATGTTTGAGTTTATCATCAAAAATTTGAAGATTTTCACCCGACCCTTGCATATTTAGGTGGCATTTTATATACATAATCAGGGATTTTAAGGAGTTTTAAAAGATAGTAAAACAGCATATGGGTCAAAAAGGTTTAATTTAATATCCATGCATCAATTCTGCAAAGCATTTTGTGCCTTATTTTGCTGTTTTAATATTTAAAATTTTTTATTTTTCCACCTTCCGGGCCGGGCCGGGCCGAAAGTCGCGGCCCGGCCCGTGGGCCGAAGCGGTCAGGCCGGCCCAGGGCTTTTTCAAATCTGCTCAGGCCCGGCCCGATTGCCTCCTCTACCTACGCCTCGATCGATTTTGTGTTGACTTGAACTGTCGTCGACTCGAAAAATCCGGAAAAAACCGTCTTACCCTGCACAGCTTGGATCTGGACGGATATGTCCCCGTGAAACAAGTGGGTTTCTCATGTCCTTTAATTTTTGACTCCGTCACCTTATAGTTCACTTCTCTGACGTCAGGAGACAACACGTTGTCTGAAAAGAAGTTGAATGGACTTTCACTATTCCTTCACAGCTCAATGTTTCCTCTTCCTTACCCTCTGTCAACCCGTATCCATAGGCGTTGCATTTCCCAGAAAGCCATTTCAATCCACATCCGACGTATAAGGGCTCAGAAGGCAGGGCTATATCTTCCTCAAGGATCATAATCCCCACGTCGGTGCAGCCACCCTAAATTCATGGTAAATCACGCTTCCATCCAGTTTTCAAACTACCTCTCCATCAAATCCTTCATGAACAAAAAGCTTCGCGGCATGCGCCTTCTGGTCGCCCAATTGCACGGTGAAACTCGAAGGCCTGAAATTCGGGTTATTAAATTCGGTATACCGTTGACGAAAAAGATCTGGCCTACTCTTTAAGTTTTCTGTGAAGACAATGCGCGGCTGTCGCGACCACTCTTTCTGACAGCAAAACTCCCGAGCAGTGCGAAACTCTTTTCTTGTCGAGACGAACTTCCAATTTCACAACTCTTTTCGCCTCAACACTGGTGGAAACGTTGCTGTACACCGAACGCGAATGAGCCAACGCAGGGAGCGATAAGGCAAGAAACAGGAAGGCAAAATACATGTTGTTTGATTGTGATAGAATTTTGAGGATTATTTATATACCTTATGGACAATTGAATGTATAGATCTGTTAAATTATTTAAAATGCTATCGATTGATATTGAAAAATTTAATTAAAGATTTATCATCGATATTAATGTAGCTATTGTCGTTTTATAATTAAATCGGTTTGTTAGGGGCTAATATGAGTTTTTTGTATGTACTACAGTATAATGTAATATATCAGTCCGAAAAATAACGGCCGGTTGTCGCAGAATTGGCCTCGTCGCACCAAATTTCCAGCTGCGGCTAACCTTCGCAAAAATGATGATGGGCGATTCATTCCTAAGCGCAACGAATCCACATTATTTTCCCGACAGACTATGGGGCTTCGGTAGTTGAGCCCCCCACGAAAGGTAGTTCAAACCCCCACTGTTTTGCCCGTTTCACACCCCACATAATGAACAAATTAGAATAATACAAAAAATGTAAGTGGGGGTTTGATCTACTACGTTGGGGGCTTGACCTAAAACGTAGGGGGGCTTTATCTAAAACGTATGGGGCTTGATCTAAAATGTAGGGGGCTTGTGCTGGACCATACAACTTGGATTAATTCTTTGAAATAAATTTTGGGGTTCAGAATGGACGAGGGGGTTTGTACTGGGTCATGGGGGGCTAAACTGGACTGGGGGGCTGTACTACCTTAGCCCCCAGACTATTACTGCCACATTGAGACTGCAAACTATACAGTGGGGACCAAATCCAGTGCCTAAATAGTACCATTTTGCATTCGGGAAGTATCAAAAATGTGGCAAAATGCTTTCCTCTCCACGTGAAAAACACCGATTTCAAAAGCGCGCCAGGCCTTTTTGTAAAGGAAAGGGCGCGTCGCAAATTCTTTTTTGTTGTCCTACAAGTCGTCAGATATCCGTCCTGCCAGAATTTTTAGAACGTTCGCGAATTCCAAGCAAACTTCAGTGTTTTGAGGGCCTTTGATGTCAAACTCGTGCCCTATCCCCCTGATACTTCATCTATTCTGTCACATTTTATGTAACGAGTTCAATAGAAAATTTAGTGAATTTCTTGCAAGCTTTCTTTCCGCAAATTACAAATCAACAGCAAAGTGGTTTGCCAGGGCCGTTCCTTTACACTTCCCGATGACCATTAAACCCCTAAGGCTGTAACATTTTTGGGTGTGGGTTCGGACCTTGAAGAGTTTTTTTGCATCGACCTTTAGGCTCTTTGAACTTTGTTAAAGTCAAAAAAAAAGGTAACTTTGGTACTTTTTCATAGTCATTAAATTGCTTTTGCTGAAAATTTTACAAAGCGTTTGTAAATGAGTTTAATAAACTGACAATAAGTCCGTTTCGAACCGGGTGTAAGAAGATTCCCTTCTTCGTCAAACCCTTTCCGGTTGGCGCTTCAAATGATTTAAAGATGGGCAGGCAAAAAAATTTCCAGTTTTGCAATATACGTGAGTTACGTGGACAGCAATTTCTATTTTTTTTTTGCGATTTTTTGGCAATCAACTTTAGTCCATAAAATCTATATAAAGATTTTTATAAATTTTTTTGTTACAAGGGATTGCGCAAAGCATGACAAAAACTTGTGTTTTTTCAGTTTTCAGTGTTCAAATTTACCATCTACTTTTTTGCAAATGCAATATCAAAGTGAAAAAAAATTTACAATCCGCCCATCGTCTGCTCGCCAACTTCCGTTCCACCATCGATGAAAAAAAAAGAATTTTCGCTCTTCCGTTCGACCCACTGGACGAATTCTTTCTCGCAATTTTCTTTCCCAATTAACTTTTGCGATTAGCGCCTTAGGTCAAGCCATGTTTTCCGCAAGGGGAACTATATCTTTTCTTTTCTTGGAAATTCAATTTTTTTTGCTATTTTTTGATTTTGCTTTTGTTTTTTTAATACAGGGTTTGGTGGCCCGATTTGAATTGGCTATAACTTCTTTAATTTTGGGCCAAATTTTAAAATTCTTTTTTTCCCTGAATCCTCACACATCCCCATTTTTTTACCAAATATGTGGCAGGAGTACAGAAATCTTGCCATCTTCGTCGTGAAGAACAAAAGAACTGAAAAAATGCCGAAAATCAGTCGTATCTTGTGGACGGTGTAGATAGTTATGGCAAACCTAGGTTCATAAGGTTTAGAAATTTGTGTAGAATAGTTTGGAATCAAAAACCCAAAGCAAATCCGCTTCTAAAGAGTGAAACCCGGAGGGCACAGATATCAAAATTTTGAAAATCCGCAAAGTTGGGGAAAAGGTTTGGCCCTAAACAAGGATGAAATTCAATCTAAGTTTCGCAGTATAAGTTTTTTTGGTCCAACATGTTGAAACATAAAATTCCATTTTTAGGGCCGACAATTTTAACAACCGAAAACAGTGAAAGAAACTATTAGTTTTTCGTTGTTTGTTGCTTTTTACTGTAGTTTGCTAAAAAGGTATGTTATATTTGATATTAAACAAAATGGGGATGTCTGTGGACTCAGGAAAAAAAAAGAATTTTAAAATTTGGCCCAAAATTAAAGAAGTTATAGCCAATTGAAATCGGGCCACCAAATTATAATTGGTACACCCTGTAGTTTAAACACAACATTTCCTTTTTGCCACGTATTTTACAATCTTTCAAAGTGTTTTTTACACTTTTGTATGGCGACACTTTATACGAAAAATCTTTAAACTTTGGGATTTTTTCATAAATAGATTTTCACAAAAATCTGGCGCTTTCGCAAGAAAAAATGTCCTATCTTTCTGCCCTAAAAATTCTCACTTAAACTTTATTTTTTCTTCCACAACCCGTCATTTTTCGTCCTTCCTGTTTATTCCATGACCTTCAATACTTTTGATGAATGGCCTTATACAATCAACTTTAAATTCAGATCTCTTCCCAACCCTGATGTTATCAATTGTAATATTATTTCTTCCGGTGACTTTTAAAGACTCAATTCGTCTTGTTCCCCGACCAAGCAAAGGCTAACATTGCCTTCTTCGTTGCGAAAAACGTTTGCTCTGGAACTTCAAACGAAAATACAATGTTGTAAAAAAGAAAAAAAACGAACATAGGGGGCACCCGGATTTGAACCAGGGACCTATCGATCTGCAGTCGATTGCTCTACCACTGAGCTATACCCCCGCGCTTCCAAAGGATCCCGAATTGGGTGTGAGTCCTTTTCCGTTCGTTTTGCGAGAAAACTGCGGGGATTAATTCGCTGAAAAGGCGATTTTTTATAATTTTTCAGAATTTTGGATTTGTTTTCTTTAATTTTTTATCTTCTATTATAACACCCTTTTTAATGCCATATATATAATATTTACTTTTATATTTTACGTTTCTTTTGAGCTCTGTAAGCCAGATATATTATGTTTATCATATGTTCCAGGTTACTTTTTAGGGTCTTTTAGATTTATTTACGTATAAGAATCGATTCTGAAGGAGAAATAATGGCGTCGCTTGAAAAGAACATTCCCAAGTCATGTCTCCTTTTTTGATGTCTTCATCTTTAGAAGTCATTGTAACATGGATTATAAATAAATAACGTCATGAGCCTAATATTTTTACAACGGTATTTTCGAAAAATATTCGTCATTTGTCTACGCGTTTTTTTCAAACATACGAAGTTTGTGATTATGATGTAATAGACGATTTTCACGCCTTTTTGTGTTGAATTATTACTATAAAATTTTATGTCCGACAAGTGAATTTGATGACAAAACACGACAGAATTTGCAGCGTATTTTACCTTGGTTTTCAGCTGGCAAAATTGCTTTAAATTTATCACATACTTCGTGCACTGACTACATATCAATTACTGAAAATTTTAGCTCGCGCTTTACAGAGGCAGCCGAGATATTGAACGACCTTTGCGGCCGAGAGAACACGCCAAACTCGGAGAGTAGAGAAAAAACTTTTTCGCCATGTTGTTGCCCTCCTCATGGGAGTAAATTTTTTGTGGAAATTGCATTTCGTCATGTTATTTATTTGCGGTTTCCTGATTTCCCACTCATCTCTCCACATGTTACAATTTTTCCATCCACATCTTCCCTTCCTTGCCCTTCACCGGCGGTTTGTTTGTTTGTTTTCCACCTGATATTTGCTTCAGCGTCCGTTCAACTTCCTTCTACTACTCCCGAATTTATCACTCGTCTTTTTTCGGGTTCCGTTTCCATACAACTGAACCTTTAAAAGCCGCGCCCAAAGATTGTAGGGTTACGCCTTGAATTTACACAGTTTTCATAAATTCTTACTTTTTCCCCGCGGCGGTCAACTGAGTCTTGCAATTTCTGCGCGGCGGTTCCAGTCTTTTTTCATTATTTTTTTGGAATTTTTCTTTGAAAATAGTAAGAATATTGGAGTTTTAAGTTTGTTGTCCTTAGTGGAGGTTAATTATCTTTCTGTAGGTCGTAAAGAGCCCCGAAAAAAATGTGTCCATTATTCAAAATTTTTGCAATTTTTTCTTTTTTTACATGGCGACATTCCAATCAGTACAACACTCAAGCTTTTATCGAAACTTGTGACAAATTTGGACTGTTTTTTCTAGCAAGAGAGATATGGGAGATTCCTAACACCGTCTTGCAAAATTGACCGATTTTACCGATTTTTTTATAAAAAAAAGTTGGCCAAAAATAAACAATCTTTTTTGAGTATCGTTGCTTTATGCTGTACTTTTACCAGAGAGTATAAAATTAAAAAATTTCTGAGGCCGTCTTTTAAATTTTTTCCACTCTTTTCAGGCACCTTTTTTGTAAGCATTTTGGAAACTATCCGCATAATATTTGTCATTGTGAAGACTTTTTCACATTAAACCTTTTGATTCAAGGTTATGAAGTGGGTACTCAAAAAGGCAGTTGTTTTTGAAGGGATCACATTGCAGTTATCTTTTTCGGATCTCTTGCGACTGAAGAGTCTCTCACGGTCAATAACGATCTCTTTTTTGAACGAATCAGTCGTTCCTTGCGTCTATACCGTCCGATGCAAAATTAGGGTTTATTGAAATTTTGCCCACTCTATTTTTCCAACAATGTTTTTTCCAAGCCCTCGGCGCTCTATGTTTATTCTGCCTTTTTTTAAAATTCCGATTGCCATAGTAAATATATACTACTCCCCTGCTTCGAAAATTCCTCACATTCTAGATGCTTTTATTAAATCTCATCATCGTCTGTGCAATACCCTGGCTTAAAGCGTCACCCTCGAAGCCCCGAGGCAACCTGGGAACATGTGTGGATCCGTTGGGTGGACGACGGAGAGTTGGCGAAGAATGGGTAGGTCTAGGAAAAATATTACACCGTTTTTTTATTTTCATTTTATTTTTACATCCTTCTTGTTCAACATTCTTGTGGATTGAGTAATCATTGGTGATTTACGAGCCGGAATTTTTGTTTTACTATTCTTTTCAACCTTTTTTGGAAAGGATTTTTTGATAGTGGGTAATTTCGCAAAATTTCGAAAATTGTTTTTCCGAAAGTTACTATGCTATCTTTCCACCTATTTTTTCGCCCAATTTAATTTATAGTATCCAGTCAATGATATTTCAACAAATTTAATCCTGACTAATCTTCAATCTGATTAGTTATCCTAAATTTAGCATAATTGAAGCAATTAGCAGATGAGTTTTACAAATTGCTAATCTCAAAAAAAACGATAGGTGATCGTATGGGGTACAGTAAACTGTCAGGCCTAGGATAGTCATTGCCGGGATGAGCTGGTCAAATTTATTTTAAAAATTTTGATGAAAAGTCTTATGTGATCTTTGCTGGAGCGGCCGAGATATTTGGCCGGCCTTCCAGCTGAGAGAGTTGAGAAAATGGAGAGACGGTCAGAGAAAACTTGATTGCTGATCGTTTTTTATGAGGTACTCGGAGAAAGCTGACCTTCTACTTTTTGACATAAAATTTACGGTCACTTCTGTAAAGCACCTGTTAAAAATGCCGCATACGTTTTCGAAGATAGTTTTTTTTCATGATTTGAATTTTTTTCTCATTTTGCACTTCACATTTTTTTGATGACAAAAGAAGACCCCATACGGCACTTCCTAAATGTCATTTATGTTCTCTGTAGCTTTTCATTCATTGTACAGGGTTTTCGACTTTTTTCTACAACCCTTCCATCAAACCGGCCCGAATTCCGTCGCTTATTCCACAGCCATTTGTCATGTTCAAGGCCGGCGGAATCAATCAACTTTTGTTTCAGCAATACGATCATAAGTTTGCACGTCGCTGTGTGGAGACAAAAAACGGCTGGCGAATCGAGACGTTCGCCTGCATCCTGCCCAGCGGCGAGTGGGTCAAGATCGGCGAGACCAAATACGGTGCGTCCTGCGAGCGGGACGAATACGGTGTCACGAAGCTCTCCTTGCCGTTCACACTGAATTGTGGGGCACGGGAAAATGGTGGGTGAAAGCTTGGACACTTCAAACATTTTGAAGCTCAATTTTTTGGGCTACAATGTTTGGACTTCTAAAAAAAAGTATTAGGTCTAAAAGTATGACTCCGCCGTTTTTTGGCTCGACAATTTTAATCAAAACAAAAAAAATTACATTAAAGCTTATTCAATTATTATTACCGCTACTAACTACGATATTTTCCCACAATTTGAGCAACTTTGGAATACCATCAGTGAAAACGTTTTTTTGTTTTGAGGCGACTTAGTCATCGGGCCAATTTTGGACATTTTTGCATTCAGCGAAGCGCTGCCACCTCAGATTGGGTTTCATCGGTCGAAAAAAGTGTTATTCTGAAAGTTCGATGTCAGAAGAGTATAGCGGGTAGGGTAGGACCTTTAACCTTAGGTGTTCTAGCGTGCAAAATAAAGTTTCCCGCAAGTCACCTCTTCTTAGGATGAGGTTGTACGAAGCGCATATGATTAGATAGCGTTTTCAACGTCCTTTCATAGCATATAAACAGAAATTGTAAAATAATATTCCAACCTGTAAAAAATGAAAAACAAAAAAACGGCGGAGTCATACTTTTAGACCTAATAGTACCAAAAGTTTATGACCATCTATTCTTTTCTTTGTCATAAATTCGTGATTTTTCCAGGAGAGCAATGGGATGAAGACGAGTTCCGAAAAGAATGTCACTACGGTTCAATAAGGCCGATTGGTTGTTACACCAGATATCGACATCTCATTCCAGCCAATGGAGTTTGGGTGGAAAAGAATGTTACTTACAAGTAGGCCCATTTAATCTTCTTTTCGTCTATTTTTGTTGTTTCCAATTTCTGAAAGTATCGATATTTCATCCACTTGTTTAGATGCGTCGTGACTGGACGAGGCGGTCTCGCGATGACGACCGATTCCACCATGAAAACCTAGACACCTTCTGGGCCCGGAAACACGGCCAAGTAGGCCATCAATCCCCACGAATTCACTTAATATATTCTCCATTCTCATCGACTCTGCCAATCGACACAAAACGGATACCGCCATAATATTGCACTTGCTCTCTCTCTTGCGAACTAGTCAATCCTCCCTTCTCATGATGTCATAATAATCCGTAATATTCATTCTTCGCCATTTCACAATACTCCTCTCATCAAGCCGAGTACAATTTTTTTCAATTTTTAATCATTTTTTAAAAAAATAAAAACAAGAAACAAGAGATCACTCGAGATTTTTTTTGTAAAATTTGATAATTTTCTGTATTGTCAAGGTAAAACAATAATTCAGCGAGTTGGAAAACAGAAGAAATGGTAGAAGGGTTACAATGAGAAAAGAAAAAACCTAGTACAATTAGTTGGTGGCCGGAAGTTTAGAAAATTCGAATGAATATGAGTTTCAGTCAGGTTGTGGATAATATAGTGCTTTCGGACAGGTAGAGTCAAGTGGTTCGCGGGGTGTGGGAGGATTCGAAAAGGGTTTTTTTCGACTTTTCGGTGGAAAAATTGAAAATTGCGGGAGAAAAAAAGACCGATTTTTGGACAAAATCGAAAACCGGTAACCGAGAAATGTAGGTTTGAAAATACAACTGGTATTTTGGTATATAGAATATAGGCACTATCGAATTTTAGCAAAAAACCTCGAATTTGCCTAATGCTTTACACGAAAAATCTGTTTCGACTTTTCCAAAAATAAATCAAATTTTTCCACCAAAAAAATAAAAAAAATCCTTTCAATTCGCTCCCAAAACACACGAGACGAGGCAGATTAGTACTTTTTGTTTCAATTATTAAGACTCGTAGAAGTTATGACCAACAATTACAAAAGACTCACAGAACGGGGCCAAACCGGGATAAAAATACAAAAGAAAAAGGTCAACGGGATTCGAGAAAAGAAAAGTGTAAACTGTAAATCGAAGCCATTACACACAGCTCGGCGTACTGTAGACCAGCGCCTTAGGGAGTGAAGACGTTTACGTGGGGGTGGGGTGGAAACTCGCTTATTATGGATACCAAGTATAACATAAGAACCGGACAAACTGGAGGCTTGGTTAAATTAATATGACTAAAAAATTTAGAGACGTCAGGTAGTCGAATGGAACGAAAATCCTACAAAGAAAACAAGGCTTGGCAGTGATATAGAACAAAGAATTTAAAGTTTTTTAGTCATCGTCCTGGGATTTACGAAAAACTCAATGCATTACGGTAAAATGCTCTCCCTGTGGGGTTGAAAACCACGTGCCGACCACGTCAAGTGGTGGCGTTTTCAACAAAAATGCTATCCTATTTGTGCAATGACCCAAAACCATCAAAAAAACGATGATTTCGCCGTGAAATTCATGATTACTATCGGCTTTGGTTCGTATTAGTGTAAAGTGGAACGTGCAGTCCTGGAAGTTTATAATGCGGCTACGATAACAGTGCTATCCTAGGTTGGGGTCTGGCCTAAATATGTAACCTTAAACGGGAGAGTTCTGGCAGTCACAGAAAGTGGAGAAAATGGGGGCAGACTTTGGTTGAAAATAGAGAACAAAGATATTAATTAACACACCTAAATGGGTCCATAAATTACTACAGACCTAATGTCACTAGACTAAAGATTGCGGACGTTCGATGACATTCCTTTGGCCACAAATATGTTGATATTGTCCTTTGGATATCAGGTCGATCCTAAGCTGGATTCGAAGAAGTGTCGACCAATTATGACCTCAGACCATGCTGTTTTTGCATTTCACGCACTGCGCACCGCTCACACATTGGCCATGGTACTTGAGGTTGCATCGCTGACATTCCAGCCAAGCCGTTCGTTCGGTCCCGTTCTGAACCAACGGGTCTTTTCGATGGCATTGTGCACAAGTCGAGCGTCGCTGACTATCCAACTCAATGATCGCTTTCCTCACCAACTCTTCGAATCGTTGATTCTGCCCCTGCAATAGGCCCAGACCATTCCCGGCCAGCTGCGGCTGTGGCGGCACTACCGCGGTCTGCTGACTCTGGCTTACGGCCAACAGTCCGGCTTGACTCTGCTGCTGTTGAATCGAGTTCGCAAGCGACGTCAGAACGTTGGCGGCAATATTGTTCTGCCCCAACAGTTGTTGGCCAAAGGCGGGCCGTTGTTGGGCGGCGGCGGCGGTTAACAGGAGATTCAGCTGAGGTATCGTGTTGACGAGGGGTTGCTGGTTCAACAAAGGCATCGCAGAGGTTGAGATATTGGATCTACCGGATTCCCGTAGCAATTGTTGGAGCTGCTGGATTTGTTGGTGATTCTGCAAGATTGCGGCGTTGATTTGAGGCGTGGAGGCGGTCGCAAATCCGCCAACTGGGTTGTTGTTCAAGGGCACTGTGGGTTGGGGTCGTGACCGAGCGCGACGGAGGATTTCGATGATTGCAGCGGAGGCCTTCTCAATTTGATTAAACTCTTGCTCAGCTAATTGGCCTTCCGACTCCATGAAAAGCTCGGCTTCGGTTTGGAGGTCCTGCAACAACCGCATTAGGAGGAGATATAAGGAATATTTGTTAGAGAAAAATTTAGAGAGTCTCCAATATAATATATAGGCTTTTATATGGCCTGGGATAGATTTAGAATGCTTCAGGCAGCTTCATGGTAGCAGAGACTGCTTAATTAGAATTTAGAAAGCTTCCAAGCACTTTAGCTTTGGTATACCAAGTTAATATCTTCAGTCGAGCCCGCAATAATCTATATACGGTAAGAATAAGCAGTAACTAGCGGTGCAGCAACTTTTTGTAATGATCGTCCGATTGCCCGCTCCTCCCTTCGCAATAACCGTTTTTATTGTCTGGGCATTCGAATCGAATTAGTTGGGACGTGGGCTCGCCTGCGGCGTCACGGCGGAAATTCAGCGAAATCTGACTAATCTTTGGCTTCCCAATGGCCACCTGCCCCCAAAGTCATTACACCTACTCGTGCGGAAAAACCCCTCCTCCCCATTAAAGTACAGTCCCATTTCGTCGTTCCTTTTCGTCGCTTCTCGCCTCATTTTTGGTGCGGCTTCTTTGCAGTCGGCTCATCCGACTAATCTCTCCCCACCCGGCTTAGGCATACGGTAGCCTACAGGCCGAAACTTGCTGTAAGACAACGGGTTTTGCTGCGGTGAGGTATTCTCTGCGTCACAAACGTTTGCAAAGATTGGTACTAGGAAGCGGAGTTGCAGGGTTTAAAGTGGGATTTCAGTTTCTATGAGGGTATAAAAACTGTTGATAAAGAGGCTAGGAAACTACAAAAAGCTGGATTTGAAGCTTTACGTGCAAAGGCTCTATCCTAAATTTTGAAACAAAAAGAAGCCGTCAGAGGCTGCTTTATGAGCAAACGCAAGACAGAGAGGCTGAATAAATTGCTGAGACCAAATTTTTAAGTCATCAAATCTTTGAACCTACCAAAGCCACCCTCCTCAGCTCGCTGTTGAAATCCCGTTTCACGACCGGATCCTGAAGGCACTCATCTTTGACATCGCCTTTGATCAGATCATCACGTATCGGACTGATGTTATGACTTCGACTACTTCTCGAGCTGTCCGGCGATATACTCGACGATTCGTCCGTCTTGACGGATCTGTCCATTTGCAACGACATTGGCGTCGACGGCTTCAATTGCATCGGCATTGTCGGCGTTGGAGGGGTTGGAGTTGAGGTCGTGGTGGGCGTTAGTTGGGTTGCAACACTCGGCAAATTGTTGTTGTTGTTGTAGACACTCAAATCGTTGAAGTCGACGCGATGCCCGAAATGCGATTCGCACCCGCGGACTTTGATGATCCCGTCAATAACTGTCACATTCAAGTAAAAGGTACAGTAGATCCCTCCTCGATTCGCGGATCGTTCAACTCCGCCGTTCATGGAACGACGATACTGGCCGGAGTGGGCGCAACAGAGCTCAAACGACTCGCCAACTTCGTTGTCAAAGGTTCGCGACAGCATGAGCTGACAGGAAGTGCGGTCCTGCAGCGATTTCATGAAGGATTCGAGCGAGGGCTTGTCCGCAAACTCCCGCACAATGAATTTCAGGTCTTTCTCGTGCGAGGATTGCACATGATCGATGAAATCCTCCATGTGTTCGCAGGAAAAGGGACATCCGGCTTGTGAGCACTCAATGTGGAATGTCTGAAAGGGAAATCGTAAATAATCTCGGCTATATCCGTCCGAATTCGTATAGAATTTTTAGAAATTATTTTTAGGCCAAAATAAGCCAATTTTTTGGAGAAATTGAATAGCAGCACTGATATAACGCAAAATTCAAAAAAGTCCCCAAAAATGATGACTAAAGTTAATGAATTGCCTAAAGCCCGTTTTCCAGGCTCAATAAAATCTTGATGTTCCTGAATATCCCTTACATCTAGCCTCTGGATCTTGGCCGACGGGCTCCCGTCTCGGAGATGGCCCTGTGCGGCGGCCTGCGCGGCCATTTCCCTGAGTTGAGCCTTCTTTTCGTGGATTTTGCGGTGTCGTTGGAAGTTGAACAGTTTATTGGTTTGATATCCGCATTTTTCGTGACTACAGGTATACTTCTTGGGCTGGCAGCTGATGTCTTGCGCCTCCATCACTGCAAAATCGGGATGTTTAGAAAATTGGCGATAAAATGGAGGGAAATATCGGAAAAATCGCGAATAATAGCCAAAATAGAAAAAAATATAATTGAAAATAATACGAGAATGTTAAAAAACTTCGAAAATTTACTTTATGCAAATTTTTCAAATTTGCATAAATTTTTCGAAATTGTCTCGAAACTCATATTCAAATCCGTGAAGCCTCAAAAATGAGAAAAAATTAAGGATTATCAATACTGGCATTTTTCCTCTACGCTCAGAACGATAATTAATCAAAATGATATGGCTGAAAAAACTTTAATCCAGCAATTAATTAGCAAATTAAGATTTGTAGAAAAATTAATCAGATTTAGCAATTATTGGCCATAAAAATAGGAGCAAATTGGTCCTTTGATGTGGCACAGTATGTGACAAACCAGTAATTGAGTACCGTGTCCCCAATTAGGATGACATTTAGTGTGAAATTTGACCAAAAATTACATTACGCTTTCATATCAATTTTTTGCATTTTTTTCAAAATTATATACTTAACTAATGAATCATGAGTGCTGAGTGGTGTATTTAGGGTGTTTTACTTTGGTCTACGAACTTTTTTGCGGCTTTCTACAGATGGTGGGAGAGTGGTGAAATCGCCGGGATTAAGCGGCGGAGTGTAATATCAATTAAAGAGGCGTTTCAGGTGGAGAAATCCGCCATAACTAGACTTTATACCGTAGATTATGTGGGACAACAGGTGTACTGTTTGAGGTGAAAAAGCGATGGTACAAGGATGATAAGTTAAAGAGATTGTAAGAGATTTTTAGATCAAAGATGCTAAATATAAACTGTCGCGATGTACTAGAGACGTGAGAATATTAAAAATGGCTAACTACGAACATACGAATGGCTTAGTAGAAGCACAAGGTACGGCCATTTTACGGTGATAAAAAATCCTAATCACAAACGGTTCGAATTTTTTTGCTGAAACCCTTAAAATTTCAGCCGCGGAGCTGCAATGACACACGGTATCTATGACCACCTTTGGTCATAAAATAGTCTTTCTTTTTCGTGTCTCCTTATCCAAAACGGTTTAAAATTTCAAAACTAGAAAGCCGCTTTCCATAGTCATCCTAACTTCTAAAGACCAAAGGAATGTTCATCCCTAAAACAACTATTCTTACCCATTTACAACCCTTAAAACCGGCCAATAATCAAATCTTTTGGTCATTTTTGGTCAGCTCCTACGCTCGAACGTACGAAAAAACAGCGAATTTCAAGGTAATTGCTTAATAAACAAGGCCAATTCGGCGAATCGCCGCGAACCCCAAAAGTACTCTAAATGCGGGGTGTAATTGCACTTCTGATATTAATCTAATCTGCCAAGAAAAACTGGAAACCCCTCTCTTGGAGCGGGAACACTGAGCTTTCAACTTGAACTCTTTGTGTTACATAATCATATTATTCCAAACGCCCCGGCATGAAAAACGATGGGAATGTGTAGTGGTGTGAGAGTTCGGGTGGGTTATGTGGGGTTTCGCGTACGTGATTATTTCACATTGCACGCGGTTGTATAGCCAGCACTTTGGAGCAAGTTGGGTGGGTCGAATCCAGGGATTTTTTTCGGGGATTTTTTGGGGGTGGATAGCGTGGAATTACATGATTAAGAGCTGCTAAGACTTAGACAGACATACAACTTCTGTAGTATGTTATACAATGAATATTGAGAATGATATAAACGAAAATTTTGAATTATGCTCATTGGGTGACATTTTATACGCAAAAAATTAAAAGCCTTGGAAAATTCAAAGAAACTGTCCGATAACTGACTAAAGTTAAAACTTAATGCAAAAAAATACGTTTTGTTAATATTGCAGAGTATTGTATTAAATTCGTTGCTTTGAAAAAATGGAATTTCTTCCATCGTCAGTACGAAAAACAAAAATTTTGAAATTCTGTACAGCGCTTTATGCCCTGAGGCAACTAACTTCCACTCCTCAACAAAACCGATCTCAAGTATTACTCGACAACTTCCAAAACCACTCACCAACGTCCATATCATTTTCTCAGCGCCATATTTTCAAACTTATTGAACCCTGAAGGAAACCCCCCAAAAAAAGCAGGGCTCGCGTCGCGACATGGATACATGTCCAGGTAGAGGCGAGATAATGCATGGAGAGCCTGCGAATGGACACGTCCACACGTAATTCTCGTTTTTTGTGCCGACGCAAGGAATGGCGGAGCCGGAAAGCCTTTTTTTCCGAGCCGAGCGGTCTCGCTCTCGTGAAGGCAAAAAAAGAAGATGGCCGTCTTTTCGTCGAGTGCTACAATCCTCTTTACGCCCACTGTGCACGAAGCGGGCACGGTGCAGAAGCGGAAGCTTTGGTCGCATTGTTGTACGTACTGTAAGAGGGGATTTCGGAACGGAAGGAATTTCGCAAAAGCGTCTTTAAAGTGGCTTAGACTGGCAAAATTTCCATACGTCTTCAAAAAATAATCTCTCAGAAATTCGGACAATACCGGTAGCCTTTTACATGCACCTTGGCTGCTCGTTTTAATCCCCATTCGAGACGAATATAGATCCACCGTACTTTGTCGGTGGAGAACTGAGAATTGTAGGGAATCAGACTACGTTTAGATGTACTTGAAAGAGAAGCTTGTGCTGGTGAGACAAGAAACAAAACTCGACGGAAATGAGGATAAAAGGTCTGCTATAGAAATAAAAAAATGTAGTTGGACAGCCAAAGTTGCACTCCAATTTTAATGCACGGAGAATGAAGAGCTGGGTTCTCTGTCATAAATCTCTTTGGCAATGTTCCAAAAGTCAATTCGCGCTCCTCGCCCTCAAAAAACGAAATCCCCGCGGAGCCGCGAATGCATTCCATAACCACCTCCGACTCCTGCGGGCATGAACATCATCCCGTCGGGGCCCCCGTGGGGCACGGAGATTTATTGCATGGCGTCAGAGTGCGAAAAACTCTTTCGCCCGCTCCTCCACGGCCGGGCGTCTGCAAAAACCGAAAGCGGAAACGAGCTGAAAACGGCGAACGATGAAGTGGCAAGCAAAAAAAATTAGAGTCCAAGTGGAGAGGAGGCGAGGTCCAGACGTAATTGTGGGAGAATTTCACGCGCCTTCTCCCAGAGAGAACAATAAAAAGGCATTGTGCCCGGTGGTGTGTGATATCAAATGTAAAGTGCATGCTGTAGTGTGGTAATCTAAATTTGAGTGGGTTTGGAAAGTAAGGAGACGAGGAAAAATCGAGAAATTTTAAATGAGCTAGTTACATCGTCTAGATGAAATTTTTGAGTACAAATTTATATTTTTGATTGATCTTTGACCTCAAAATTTGTTGCTGACCCTCAACATTCACATGCTTCAAGTCCATACGTTATTATGCATGTACCCTCTCAAAAATTCTATTGTAACTTCCGGCTCGCCCTATTGTGGGCCGCCATCTTCAAAATAATTAAAAATGATCGCAAAAACTCCCGTCATTGTTTACGTGAGCTGCGAATATCTATGCACCAAGATTGGCGTGATAAACAAGCGTGACATAAAAATAGGGATTTTGGAAGCGGTGGAAAAAGTGCAGGAAATGGAATTTGCAAATTACGATAAATAGGGTGCAAAAAGCTCGAAATTGGAGGAATCAAGTCTTTCCAGGCCTCCATAGCTTGGAATTACGTCAACATTATTTTCTACAAAGCATGCGGATTCAGACAGTTACAGGAATACGAACGAAAAGAAGCGGAAAAGTCCAAAACTTGCAAAAAATCAAAGTTCAAACTCTGGTTATCTCGCCCATCGCATCGCTGTCTCGTGGCCCCTCTGCAAACAGCCCTAGTTTTCCAAAAAAGGCTAGTGCCTTATCATTTTCGTTCCCTGCTCGGCCTTGAACGCTTGCTTGCAACACTTCCCTATCTGTTTCAAAAAAAAAGTGATCGAGGCTCGCGCAAACCCCAAAAAAATGTTCGGCTCGCTTCTCCTCCCCCCCTTTTCGGAGAGCAGGACGACCTTCGGAGCGCGCCCCCGTCTGACCTTTCCGTCCCCCCGTCCCGTTTTTTGTTTCGTCCGTTTTTTCCCACTCTCCTCTCTGTCTCTCCGTCTTTCTCCTCTTGCCGAAAAATCGGGACGGAACGAGGAGCAGCAGCCGATCCAGCCTCGTCTCCCCCATCGCGCCGCACTGTGCTCCACATTTTCGTCTTTCGTCGCCGTCTGCTTTCGTTGTGACTGCGTTTTCGCTCCCAGCGCACCGCAAACATTTTTTTTGAGCGGGAGCGTAGCGGGCGACCCCGCCGACAAGCCGGGATATTGGGGGGAGGCGGCCCCCGGCTCGGTGCGGAAGGCGAAGGAAATCACTTTTTGGTCCCGCGTTCCGGCGAATTGTAAACAGCGGGCCGGGGGTCGCGAACGCGGCGGAGCCGCCTGAAGTGTTCTTCAGTCTCTCTTCGCATCGGGGCGGCCGCCCGCTTTAGAGCCCCATGCATGGTCATTTGGCGGGGCGGGGTGCAACAAAATGAATGGATGGGGTCATGGAGGAGAGGCGAAGAGATTAATGATAACGTGACGCCGGTTATTAATCGCGCCTTGCCCGCGGGTCATAACCCTGCAAGATGGAGAGGATCGTGGTGTTTGAGGCTTCCGCGGCGTGGAGATGGCACCATACGCAAAGAAACGCATTCTGAAAGAGAAAGCCCCCGAATTTTAGGTACTCCTGGAAAACCCCGCGATTCACGCAGAAAATCTCATCGCTGAATGCAGAATAAAACGTCAAAAGACAGCACTGTATTTGAGCGCGCAACCATCTATCTCCGAATCGCCTGCGCAACTTTTCACGGCCGAATTTCAGCCTAATACTACTGAATTGTCGCCCTTTCCCCCCTCGAACCGCGCCGTTATCTATACAGTGTTCCATTTATTATATGTAAGTTCCGCGATAAAATCAGCACCGTTTGGAAGTGAATGCCCGCGGAGAGGTCGCCAAGGTTGCACAAGAGTTCGGCTGAGAAAAAACGGA